TTATAAATTAATCCCGGCGCACCCGCCATTTTTGGGAAAACAACATTTTTGAACTCTTAAGTATACCAAATTAAATTAATAAAATATTTGTATTTTGAAAAGTGTACCCTAAAAATTTCATTAGGATTAAAGCTAAATTGTGAAGAACGTGCGTTTAAAAAAAGTATTTTTAATTTTTTACTTAAAAAATTGTTTCATTCACAATTTAATGAGAGTTTTTAGCCATTCCACGCTACTCGGGAATTTTTGTAGCGTCCGTTACAATCAAAAACTGTAAAAAAAAGCTACCGTAATTAAATTAAATACTGTTACAATAGTTAATATTGCAAACATGTTTATTATGCTTGTAACAATTAGGCCTATAGGCTTAAACTTATAACCATAATAATTACGGTCGTTTTACACAATTTTTGATTGTAACGGACGCTACAAAAATTCCCGAGTAGCGTGGAATGGCTGTTTTATAAAAGTTGAGGGATATATCAAGAAAAATGCTCTCTTTAAAGTGAGGCTAAAAGATTTTTCGTAAAATCCTTTTTAAAAGGTTACGAGGCTTTTATAAATTAATCCCGGCGCATTCGCCATTTTTTGCAAAAACAACAATTTTGAAAATTTTAGCTTACCAATTAAATACATATTTGTATATTGAAAAGTATTCCCTGGAAATTTCATTAAGATCAAAGCAAAATTCTAAAAAATATACCTACGTTTTAAAAAAATTAATTTTTAATTTTTTACATACAAAATTTTATCAACCACAATATTAATAAGAGTTTTATAAAAGTTAAGGGATATATCAAGGAAAATGCTCTTTTTAAAGTGAGGTTAAAAGATTTTTCGTAAAATTCTTTGTAAAAGGTTACGAGGCTTTTAAAGGGTGGGCCATCTATAAGTTGAATTTTAAACTACGTGCTATTAATGAAGCTTTCAACTTAAGCGCTATGAATTGTTGACAGTGGTTTAGTTTTAACCTTCCGATTACAAAATATGCACCGAATAAATTTGGATCAACGTTTTGAAATACTCAAAACTTACTTTGAATGTGACTGTGATCGCAGAGACGGCAAGAAAATTGCGTTTGGAAGAAATGAGGGGCCGTCAAACCAAAGTATTACAAATTTGATGAAAAAAATTGCGCAGAAATGGAATGCTGGTGGACATAAAACATGTTTCGCATGCTCGTCCTAGACGTACACCTGAAGCAATTGCTGCTGTTGCCGAAAATGTACGCATGAACGCGTCAACACCAACTCGGCGCAGATGTCAACAACTCGGCCTTTCCCGTACCACTCTGAGGATGATTCTGCACAAAGACCTCGGTATGTTTGCGTACAAAGTCCGGCTTGTTCAGGAGTTAAAGCAAGTTGACCATCCACAACGTTTTCGCTTTGCTGAGTGGGCTTTAAACCAGTTGAACGATGACCCTAATTTTGCAAGAAAAATCATCTTTTCGGATAAGGCGCATTTTTACCTCGCAGGTTATGTCAACAAGCAAAATGTAGGATTTGGGCCACGGAAAATCCACACGTCACCGTAACAAAGCCTATTCACCATTTAAAACAAAACATTCAAGCTCAAATTGCCTAAATAGAGCAGCAAACTTTTGACAAAGTGCTCGAAAATTGGTGTTCCAGGATGGGCTACTGCCGAGCCAGCTGAGGTGGCCACTTAAATAAAATCATTTCCCATACTTAATCGGAAGAAACATTGTATCAAATAAAGCAAAATTCGTTGAAAAAAAATCAGTTTTACTTGTTCTTATTGCTATTTTATAATTCAACATAAACATGGCCCACCCTTTATAAATTAATCCTGGCGCATTCACCATTTTTACATATTTGTATATTGAAAAGTATTCCCTGAAAATTTCATTAAAATTAAAGCAAAATTGTAAAATATATACGTTTTTAAAAAAAATATTTTTAATTTTTTTCTACTCCAACCTTTAAAACGCGCTTTATCGTACATGTTTCCATGACACTAAGTGACCTTTTAAATACACATTGACAAGTTGTGGCTTTACGGCGCTTTAGTCACGGGCTGAAGTTAGCAACAGGTTTTTAGTCACGGGCTGAAGTTAGTTTTAAGTTAGTTGACAGTTGTCATATGTCATACAATCGTTAAAATAAAGTGCCTTTCTTGTAAAATAATACTAAATGTGAAAATTATTTTATTATCTCAATACAAAAATATTAAATAGTTTCTCAAGGCCAATATTTGAAAAGTTTATATGAACATTGTACTGACCTTTTAATTTCGCCGGCAACTTTAACTTAAATTCTGGCACGGACTCTACTGTAAAATCCTTATAAAACATTTCCTTTACTTTCACTGTGAAAAACTGTCAATTTTCAATATACATTTCTATTTATAACCTTTATAATTGTTTTTATAAAATGTAAAAATGTGACATTTGACAGTTTCCCCTGTTTTTTCAAATTTTTTATTTAAATCATTTTAAGATAATAATTTGGCGTTGAAAAAGTATAGTTTTATCTGAAAATTTCATTAAGATTAAAGCAAAATTGTAAAATATATACGTTTTTAAAAAAATAATTTTTAATTTTTAACTTAAAAATTGTTATCTACTTGCTTTATTATAAATTGCGAAAAAGTGAGATTAAATTCGTCAAATGTCAAATATTTATGAATTAAAATTGGCTTTAAATTCTTATTTCTGCCCGTCGTAGATAAAGTATAGTATGCTACTCGTTTTATAAACTTCTCTAGAGACTCGTTTTTATTAAACACTCGCTCGCAAGCTTCGCTCGTGCCTAATAAAACTCGTAACTAAATTGGCGTTTATAAAACTTGATACATAATATACTATTATCAACCACAATTTTAATAAGAGTTTTATAAAAGTTGAGGGATATATCAAGGAAAATGCTCTTTTTAAAGTGAGGTTAAAAGATTTTTCTTAAAATCCTTTTTAAAAGGTTACGAGGCTTTTATAAATTAATCCTGGCGCATTCGCCATTTTTTTGCGAAAACAACAATTTTGAAAATTTTAGCTTACCAATTAAATACATACCTATTTGTATAAGAAAAGTATGGAAGAGTTTTATAAAAGTTGAGGGATATATCAAGGAAAATGCTCTTTTTAAAGTGAGGTTAAAAGATTTTTCGTAAAATCCTTTTTAAAAGGTTCCGACTCGGAATTAATTTATAAAAGTCTCTGAACTTCCGAAGCTTTTATAAATTAATCCCGGCGCATTCGCCATTTTTTTCGAAATCAACAATTTTTAAAATTTTAGCTTAAAAAAAAGTAACGTACTTTTTTTTAAATTTTACGAGGATTTTTTAAATTAATCCCGCCATTTTTTTCAAAAAACAACATAACCTATTAAAATTTTCAGCATACCAATTAAATTAATTAAATATCCGTATTTTGAAAAGTATACCCTAAAAATTGTATTAAGATTAAAGCAAAATTGTGAAAAATATAAATATCACGTCAACTTTTGAGTTTAGAAAATATGTATTATAGGTACCTAATTCAAATTGGTTTAAAGAAAATCATTTTTTTTATATGTTGTCCGCAAAGAAATGGCTAAAATCTCACGTGAGGGATGGGGGATCTACCACATCTCAACAAGGGAGAGGGAGTCCAAATTATAATTATCAGAAAAATGCCTCACGTAATTAATGGATGTCCCCTTACTCCAATCTTTAAAAAGCGTTAAACAATTATTTTTATGTTGATAATCCGTAAATACTTAAATTAAGATTTTCTTTATCTAAGTGTAGCTATGTAAGTATTAAAACATAAAATCACTTAAAAATGATTATTATCTACTAAAAAATATTTAAAAATCACTTACTACTTTGTTGCTGATTGCCTAGTTAATCAGTCCCGTACTGGACCTACCTGTAACAAAGAAAAAAAACATTAAAAAACAACTCAAACAAGCAAAATCACAATTTTTACCTTTAAAGCCCTTTCCCTGTCACCATCGTTGTTATTGCATCTCCAGACAAAAAAACATCACTCACGCACTAAAATATCGCACCGAAACAAAAGTCAATAATAGGTATCTGCATTTTTATCAAAAGGACGCCCACCAAGCACTTTGCCGATTGTTTTGCAATTATGGCTGCCAAAGTGACAAAAGCGAATCGCCGGCCGGGCATGCGCGGTGGCTCTGTCAAAGATGACACGAAACAAATGATTCTGAAACTTGGACCTTATAATGTTATATTACTTTAATATTATTTTATCGATTGCAGTTTTATACGACAATTGCCTAGGTACACGAAAGAGTTTGTTTATCATTGTCTTTACACTGTAACAAATAAAAAACATTAAAAAACAACTCAAACAAGCAAAATCACAATTTTTACCTTTAAAGCCCTTTCCCTGTCACCATCGTTGTTATTGCATCTCCAGGCGAAAAAAAGGTCACTCACGCACTAAAATATCGCACCGAAACACAAAAAACTGCAATAATATACTCATTTTATCAAAAGGACGCCTAGCATGTCAAATTACCGGTTGTTTTGTTATTATGGCTGCCAAAGTGACAAAAGCGAATCGCCCACCGGGCATGCGCGGTAGCTCTGTCAAAGATGACACGATTATACTTACAAAAAAATGCTGCTGAAACTTTATAGTGTAGTATTATTTTAATATTATTTTATCGATTGCAGTTTTATACGACAATTACCCACACGAAATATTTTATATTGTCTTTACACTGTTACTGACGTATACAAACAATAATAATTATTAATTTAAAACAAATTACAATAAAAAAGTAAAAAGTCCATTTGAGGGATTTTTTCAATCTATTCAAAGAAATTTGCAGTGTTTTTTAAGTTAATGGAAATTTCGCTAATAAATGCAAGCCTACTAATTTTTGTAGATTACGCGTTTAATTCTTTAAATTGTTATAAAACACAATAAAAGCTAGCACAATCCTCGGTGGTATGCAACTAGTGTTGTGGCAATGTTATTTGATTGCCTAAGATACAGGTACATAAAAAAACATAACCTCAAAGAAAAACAAACAGATTATTATTATAATAATAAAACAGTTTTTTGGCGGATAAAGCAAAATAATTTTTCTTAGAGAACAAAAGAGAATTTTCGGGATGAGCACGATAAATATACGGGGTGTTGCCGTAGAATTCCCCTTCGAACCGTACGAGTTACAAAGAGAATACATGGACAAGGTGATTGAATGCCTGCAAAAGGAAACAAATGGCGTTTTGGACTCGCCCACTGGGACCGGCAAGACCCTCTCGTTGCTGTGCTCGAATTTGGGCTGGTTGCAGGTGAAAAAAGCGCAAATTCAGGCGCAGAGAATGGACAGCATTGTGGAAGAGGAGAAGCAGGCTTTCATGGGGAATCTGAAAGAACTGACTGGAAAAGTGGATAAATGGATGGTACATAACGCAGGCAAAGCGGACTGGCCTTCATGGGCTTACCGACCATCATTTGAGAATGAATACTCAGTTATTGCAGGCAATGAATGAACCTAAACGGAGTGCATACAAGCACATGAAGGCCTGCATTATAGGATCAAGGAAGCAAATGTGCATACATCCAGCAGTGATGAAGGAACAGAGCAATTCTGCCAGAGTAAATATTTATTAAACAGTAAATTGTTCAAATTATTTAAACAACCAAATAAGTAAATAAAATTAAAACGCTAATTTTAAGAACTTATTAGTTTATAGGTACTTGGTCCATACGAAATAAATACAAACATTAGTTATTTAAAATTCACAATTTTTAATGAAAAATATTCATAATTCTTGTTACAATGTTAAGATATTAAATGAACAGTTAACAAAACAAAACAAAAATCCAACTTTTTATTAACTTGTATTAAAAAATATGAAAGACACAAAACAATTTATTTACATCTATGAGTATCTTAACAAATACGACCACAAAAATATCAAAATATCTGACTAGATATCCAAAAACATGATTCTAATGAAGGACTAGGTGGCCATGGCAGTTTTATATTCATCGAGTGTAAATCCGGACACCGCGAGGCAAAACTTCTCGATTTCCTAGCAATACAAAGAGACAAAAGTTAAAAACAATCAACTTCACTACGTGAAGATTTACTTACCGTTCTTCTCTCCTTCGAGTCCTCCTCGACGGAGTTAAAACCTCATGGACGAGGCGTCTTGCTGTATTACTGTTGACCACGTCCTGTAGTCCCTGTCCTTACAAAGTTTTGATATCCTCGTTAATATTGTATTCGTATTAGTTTCAGCGAGCGGCTTAGCCTCTCCCAGATAGCAAACGTGAATACGAAATCACGCGTGAGTGAATAATGTGTGCTATATGATTTCACACGTGAAGTCTTGAACTCGTAATTCACACGTGAGTAGATTATGAATTCATATTATAGTCTCGTGTGATTTAATCGATTTTATTTTAAAATACATGGATTGCATAATTAAAAACTGCACGTTTAAATATAAATAGAATATTAATATTCTAATATCAAAATATTACCTGACGCGCGAATTTTGGAATTATTTTTTAGTTACATTTTTAAAATTCGCACAGCTCCATTGCGCAATTATATAATATATTAAGTTATAAGTAGTTTTATTATATAATTATATATTATAATATATTATTATAATTATATATATTAAAGTAATATATATAATTACATAATATATATTGGTTTAAAAGCTATATCCCTATATATCCTTCATATGCATTGAGTTATTTTCTATCGGTCTCAATAGGGAAAATGTAAAAGTTATGGTGTGCCTATAGGTAATTTCCTATACATTTTCTATCGGGCTGTATCCGGAAAAAACCTTGGACAAATGCACATATTGAAACCGGTAGCGCCCGATAGAATATTTTGTATAGGTCTCTATGGGGTATTTTAAGCAGAGAGGTCACAATTATATGTTATAGGTACATTAATAATTAATATATGTATATTTTATATTAATTAATTAATTAGTTAACCTTAAGGTTATAATTGTAATGTATAACCTATAATTGAGGAGCAATCAACCAAAACCAGATAAATCCATTTTGACTTCTTGAATGATTCATATTTCTTTTAGTCGGATAAATCAATTGGAAAAGTGAATTTCAAGATAAACTTATTATAATAATATATATATTATATACTAATATTAATATTAGTATATAATATAATAATTATTATATAATATTAATATTAATGTTATGATCATATCATATTATGATAACAAGTTTAGCTTGAAATAGATATTTCCAATGGATTTATCTGAACAAAAGAAATAGGAACCATTCAAAAAGTCGAAATGGATTTATCTGGTTTAGTCTGATTGCTTCTCAATTATGGCCTTTTAAACCAAGTTTTTGTGTATTTTTTTAAGATGTTAAAATAAATATTTCGACAGATTAAATTATTTTGAAAAATGAAATCCATATTCTAAAAGCGCATGCGCAAAAAATAAAAAGTTCACGCGTGATGGCAAATTGAGCATCAATTGAGGACTCATCTGTCGCGTTATATGAATTCACGCGTGAATTTAATTTTCACGCGTGAATTCGTAGTGAATTCATAGTGAATTCATTTTGCTATCTGGGCTTTAACATACTTTTTGGCTATATCCCATGCTACAGGAGAGGTGCACAGGTGGATGAAATCTTTCCTGCTAGCAAACCGGATTATCGTTGCGTTTTCGGTTTTTTTGTCGATATTGCGAGCCATTGCGTCCTAGAAGAAAAATTTAATTAGTTATATTATAATTTAGATTAAGATATGTAAATTACTCTCTAAAAATAAATTAGTCAAAAATTACTATTTACTACAGTTATTAGTGGCTGCTTTTTAACTGTAATTTTTGACTAATCCATTTTTAGAGAGTATAGTACTGGAGTTAGGTAAGTACTCTTGGTTAAGGCATAAGCAGTGGCGCCGAATTTAATATTAAAAAAAATATTTTTTTTATTGTATATTTTTTCCACAAAAAATTAGTTTATATTATATTCAATAAAATGCCTGAACCTTTGACACTTTTGAAGCCCCCCAATTTTATGTGTCTTATTTTTCTAGATTTTTATTTACTTAAAGCTAATCTAAGCTAATTTGTTTGTTTTTAATGAAAATAAAGCTCCTATTATTATTATTATTATTATTATTAGTAGGTTGACTGTCAGTTCAGGACCACTTAAGTTAGGAACTGAATCGAATCAAGTAAGTTGATGAAAATTTTCATTAATTTCATTAATGAGCTTAGTAAACAAATTTCTACGAGCTGTTGCTTCTTTAAACTATTGTTTTACGACTATTTTGTTTTAAAACTATTTACAATAAGGCTGATTTTAATAAAAATGATAAGGTAATATTATTACCGTAATAATTTTTGTTAAATATGTATAAGGTTCAAAATAATCTGCAATCCGCTGAGCCAAGAACAAAAATTCTGCCCAAAAAGACTTCTAATTAAAAAAAAATATCCATAAATAAAAAAAACTTACCCAGTGGTTTAATTTCAACACTCGCGTCACTATAAATTCTGGATACGAAACGATGAAAATTGTTTCCTTATTTACGTGTAGCAAATTAGGATGACTGGTATGAAATAACAAGTTACGGTGTAACTTATTAAAACAGAATAGTTTTTTACACAACTGCTTGGCTGAGTAAATTCTAAGGGTAGTTGGTGGGAGTAGTTCTAGAGTGGGGTAAATTAAAACAAAGGTAAAAAAAGGTATAAGAACTATTGCAAAGGTTTAAGAATTTGAAACCTAACAATTAATCTAGTAAACTAAGGTAAAAATTGCTAAATTTCTCTAATTTTATGACGGTCAGCGTTGTAAATCCAAAATATTGACGAACATTTTTTTACCTATGTTTACAAAGTTTATGGCTACAAACAATCATTTTCAATTTATCACGTACAATCGTATGCAAATAAAAAGCGTACAGAATGAGAGGTATATACCGTATATACAGTAACTGTGAGTTGGGTTATAAAAAATACAATGCCGTAGATGTAAACCAGCCGTCAGTTAACTGTCGGCTGGTTTACATTTACGGCACTGTATTTTTTATAACACAACTCGCCATATTTGACAAGTGCAGTACCTCTCATTTTAAGGCTGTACGCTTTTTATTTGCATACGACTGTACATTTGAAAAAAATAGTGAAAATTTACATCGGTTTTTACATATATTCGATAAAATATATTGAATATATTTAAACTTTTAAAAAAGCATTAGATATTTAAAAAAAAAGCCATTTTTTAAGAACAAAAATCGGAACATTTTTCGAGAATATTGAGAATAAGAAAAATTGACAAAAAACATTCATTGTTAGCTGTTAATAAATTCTCCTCTAGTTACATAAGTAATGATACCAAGATTTTGTTTTTTTCTATTAGAAAAATTAAATAAAACTTATTAAGATCATTAATGCAAACAACTAAATACTAAATTTTAATAAAAAAATTTAATTAGGAATGATTTGTAGCCAAATTAAAAGTGCACAATAATTACTATTTACAAAAATTTATACTGTCAAGTAGGTATCCATAAAAAATATTTGAAATAAAATTAAACTTATGGTATAAATATTCTTATGCTTAGTTTTGAAAAATAAATAACGCAATATAAACTTAAAATTTCAATTCTTGGCCAAGTTTTGTCCTGGGAAGGTTAATAGGTCAGTATAATAAAAGAGGGTATTTTTAATACTTTTCTATATTTTTTTACAAACAATTTATTTAAAAAATGACAATCTAGCTTTTGATAATACAGGCTGCAAACTTATTATTTGCTAAATTTACTATAAACACTATCAATGTAGTAACAATATTAAATATTACCTTTTCACTATACTTAATAATCCTTCTTATAACCTAAAAGTAGCTAAAAGACCTACACAGGAAATATAATTTATACAAATATAAAATAAACCAACTTCCAAATGTTGTTATTTATGTTTAAGATGCAGACAAATAAGTAACAATTAAATATAAATCAATAAAGGAATTTATATTATATTTAACAATTGTACAGAATAGCTTTTTCACTCACCTTTTTAAACCTGCAAAATCTCCACTTTCATATTTTATTTGTAAAAAATAAAAGTAGAGATATTGGGTGATAATATTAGTAATAATTTTAGAAATCTCGTCCACTTAACAATAAATAATATTAAGTCAATAAGATTTACATCAAAACTGAAAATTTTCAGATGGGTACAATAAATACATAATACAAAATTATTTAGTTAAAAAATACAACACAACACAGTGATATGTTAATTAAGAAAAAAAAACAAACACTGGTGAACAATACAATAGAAGTAAATTAGTAAAAAAGCCTTAAACAGCACATTCAAACATACAAATCTCAACTATAATTGAATGGGTGAAATCAAGAACAAGTCCAAAATTTAAATTGTTTACAAGTTATTTTATAAACTCATTTTTTTAGTTTAAAATGCATTTTTTCGAGAATTTTTCAACTGTTTTATAAAATATAATAATCATATTTTGTACAATAGTTTAAACATTCCCACAAATATGCATTTTAAACTATAAAAATAATTTGTCAAAATTTCGGACTTTTCTTGAACTCGCCGATTCAATTGTTTTTAATAATTTGTTTTGAGAATAGAAAAAAGATTTTACAACTTTGTTGCTAAACAATAAACTATAGAAACTTTGGTAGTGTAGACATTTGAAACCTTACTTATGAATAATTACAATAAAAAATTTGGATACTTTGTTCCCTTATTTTTCAAAATATAAAGTATTAAATTATGTACAAGTGTAACATTTCAAAAATATATTAAATACGTGGGCATACGAAATGCCGTCTCTAGGGTATAAAATAAAAAAGGAGTCCATTTTTTTTTGGGAAAAAATCGAGAAATAAATAAAAGCACTTTTGTTTCTTACATTACAGGATTCTCGAACTTCGGTCCTTTCATCACGAATATTTCTTGGTACGATTCTTGTTGTTCCAACTCCAACACTTGGAACTTTTTCAGTACCAGTAAACTGTAGAACTTTTGAGACGCCTGAAACATCACAAATACAATACATTAGTATAGTAGTATATTTCGATAAATGATCATATGTACAATAGAAACTTAACTTATTATACAGTGTACCCTAAAGGTGTAGATCGTGTCAATAAATAATTCAAAATAAAAGCATACCTAAGTATACACAATTAAAATTCTAGAAAAGGATAAAACTACAGTTAGAATAAGACATTAAAATATTTAAACAATACATTAAAATATTAAAACCATACATTAAAATATTAAAACAATACATCAAGTGCTGGAAAGTATAATACATTCTAGATCATGGAAATCTTTCTCCTCCAAAAATTCATTAATACTATAGTAACATTTTTTGACTAGAAACTTGTTTAGTTTTGCTTTTTGTTGGTTGATCTTTAATGTTTTGAAAAATGTGGGTAGTATATTCCAGATTTTGACTATCATATAATATGTTTTTTTGCAAGTAAGAGAAATTTGCTCGATCAGGATATAGCAGATCCTTGTTTCTAGTATTATATATATGATCATGTTGAAGATCTGTTAAGGTGGAGCTATTTTTTATTGCAAACATTATACATTCATAGACATAAAGACTGTGTAAAGTAAGGATATTATTATTCACAAATGCCTCCCTGCACGAATCTAGTGGTTCCATTTTAAATATGGTTCTTAGGCACCTTTTTTGTAATGTGAAGATTCTTCAACTGTTTACGGAGTTTCCCCAGAACATTATTCCATATCTAATTCGCGATTGAACAAAAGCATGATATGCTGACAGAGCTGCAGAGATGCTAATATTATTGGTAATTATGGATACGGCGTAACAATATCTTGCGACATCTGCTGCCAGGAGATTCACATGTGCTTTCCAGTTTAACTGTTTATCAAGATTTACCCCCAGAAATGATAGGCTTTCAATTGACTTAATTTTATTATTGCCAAATTTAATGATAAGATCTTGTTCTTTTCTCCCACTGAAGGTCAAGAGCTTAGTTTTTGCAATATTTAAGAGCAAATTGTTGGAAGTAAACCAATCATTAAGGTTATTTAATGTTATCTCAATTTGATTCTTACATTCTTCTAGATTATCAGCCTTATAGAGCACAGAGGTATCATCTGCAAAGAGTACAATTTTGTTATTCGTGACGTTAACTACGTCATTTGTATATATTAAATACAGCAGGGGGCCCAGAATTGAACCCTCTGGCACTCCCCTTTGTATGAGTCTACTGTCTGACATCACCTTTACTCCCCTTTCATTAATACCAATTACTCTCTGGGTTCTGTTTGAAAGATATGATTTAAATAACTCCAGAGAGATACCCCTAATACCACATCTTTCCATTTTTTCGATCAATATTAATCATGAGATTATGAGTTGTAATTTGTGCGTTTTCAGGGTATACCGGCAAAAATACGATATTCTTGATTAGGGGTTTACGGTGACGAAAAATTGGGGGAAAACCTGTTTTTTCCGTTTTTTCCAAGGCATTGGAAAATTTGTCTATTTTTGTTTGAAAATACATTTAAAAAAATAGCACACATCTTAATATTATTTTAATTAAAAAAATATCCTTTATTACAGAAAACCTACAAACTAGTTTTTTTAAATCTTAAAACAATTGATAATCAAAAAATATTTTAAATTTAAAATTCAAATGGGCCATTTCAGGCATGCAGATACAGACAAATCACAAAACTGTTTTTATAAAAAAAAATGTAGGTAATTTATTATATAATATTTTGGCATCAAAATTGTCAAACATATTCTTCTTTTATTAGGCTATACATTAAATTAAAAAAAAACACGCAAAAAATATTTTATAAAAGATAAATCTATTTTTTGTCCCATCCACACCCGTCAATTATTATTATTACAATTATCTCTACTTTTATAAAATATTTCTTGCGTTTTTTCATTTAATATATAGCCTAATAAAGAAAGAATATTTTTGACAATTTTGATGCCAAAATATTAGGTATATGATAAATTATCTACAATTTTTCATACCAAAAGAGTTTTGTAATTCGTGCGGTTCGCGCGCCTGAAATGGCCGAAATGTAAAAAAAGTTTGAGTTTAAAATATTGGTTTATAAAAATTGTAGTTTTAATATTTTATTCTACAAAATTATCGGTTTAAATTTGTTTAAATGATAATTGATAAATTTGTAATACAAAAATTCTCACATTACATTTAAATGTAAGTCGATAATTTTGCTAAAGCTAAAACTATGAACGTTTACACTTTGTACATTAAAAATTGTTAAAAATAAAAAGTTTTGGTTTGAATTTGTAACAAATCATTTAAATGATGGTTGATAAATTTTTAATCCAAAAATTACCACATTAAAATTTAAAACATTTAATGTAATGTGAGAATTTTTCTATTAAAAATTTATTGACTACCAATTTAAATCAAAAGATAAAATATTAGAACTAAAATTTTAAAAATCAATATAAAAAAATGTAACTTTGTAAATTTCAACCCATTAAAGTGCCATATGGAGCTTTAAATTTTAAAACTGTAACTTTTTTAAATTGTATACTAACAAAACCAATATAGGAAAATAAAGTGATTTTAAAATAAATGTTTTTTATACATTTAACAAAATTGTGTCAATTTATTTCCATTTCCATTATTTATATACTTTTAAATTATTTTTTTTAGAAAAACGGCGTACTATTCAAAAAGGCACTTTTTTTTAATATTTAGTATAAATATTATTAAAATTCCGAACTTTTTGTAAATATTACAATTTTTTAAAGAAAATACTTTTATATCAGCTGATTTACGCATATCCACTGATTTAAGTTTGAACCAATTTGGCAACATCGCAAATTTTAAATGAGAAAATTTGTATTTTTATTCATATTTTAAATCGGTCGGTATTAACCGATTTGCATTTAAGATGATTTTTATTGGCTGAAAAACAAATCTAGTAAACCTTGACTTATATTAGCGAAATTGTTTTGTTTTCTTTGGTTGAAAGCAAATGTCACAAATGTCAAATATATCTTGATGAAATTTTAATTGTTTTAGGATAGGTAATATAAACGGTTTAAAAATAATTAATTTTGAAAGATAACTGAATTGTTGGACAAACCTGTTTCTTGGTGTTCCTGAAGCACATCTCCGTCAAAGTGATTTGATTGGAGTTTTGCAGCTTTCCCCTCACGGAAGTAAACATTTGATAAGCTCGCTTGTTCAAAACCCTCTCCTCGAATTGCTCGTCCGTTTCGTCTTGCTGCTGCTCCTCGTTCTGAAAACAAATTATTGATAAAAATCGATGTTTTATCGATAGGAAACGCTGTAATAATTATAATAATAGAGTTTTACCGGATCGTTGGAGTGGGGGAAGTCGTAGTCCGCGCCCCCCGCCCACGGAGAGTGGATCCTCTCCGACATCCCCCCCGCGGGGGTCTGGTCGGGCATTTGGTCGTCGTACCCCATGTTGGCCATCTGCAACGGAAAATTATCATATAAAATTTCGAAAAATTCATAAAAACAAAAAAACACTGTTAAAATAATGTCAGAATGTCCAAGTGGGTAAAATAGGTTGCCATACTTGCATTACAACTAAAACACTTTGTTAAAACATCTCTAAACATAGCATTTTAATTGTAACACTTTTTTCTCAAGTATTGCAACTTATTTTACCCACTTGGACATTCTTACATTATTTTAACAGTGTTTTGCAATTTTAAACGTTAAAATAATGTAAGAATGTCCAATTGGGTAAAATAAGTTGCAATTAGTGTTGCAAACAAGGAAAAGTTCGGTCAAAAAGTTGGAAAAGTTTGGCACCCTCTATGAAAAGTTGGAAAAGTTATTAGTTAGGAGCCAATGAACAATGAGTTGACTTGTAACCAGTGTTTCCACTATCGGTAGATAATTTGGTCAAAATTCGATATAAATCGCTAGATTTGAAGTGTTTTTAGTAAAACGTGCTAAAATCATTGTTTTTTGGAATAACATTCTGTCAAACTTTATCAAAAATTGTGTCTGATAACAGCATTTTCTATTATATAAAGATTGTTTTTCTTTTTAAATTTTTACTTGTAAATTTAATAATTTTTGCTTCATATTTTTTTGTAATTATTTTTTATTTTGTATGTGTTCTTTTGATGGTTTGTATAAATTATTTTAATGCATTGACAAGCATTATTTATGTTTTATACGTTTACATTACAAAAAACTTAACTTTTCCATCTTTTCCAACTTTTCCGAAAAATAAAACCCAACTTTTCATGAAAAGTTGCAACCCTAGCTGCAATCAGAGCTGCAACCTCTCAGAAAACTTAAATCGTTTTTTTGATTTAAATCGTTTTAATGACTTAAGTCATTTGGTAATAAGTCATTTCTCTAAAATTGACTTAAGACTTAAAATTTAAGTAATTTTCAAAATGATTTGTGACTTAAATATTTTTTTCAAAATAGAAAAAACTTAAGTCATTTGGTAATAAGTCATTTCTCTAAAATTGACTTAAGACTTAAAATTTAAGTAATTTTCAAAATGATTTGTGACTTAAATATTTTTTTCAAAATAGAAAAAACTTAAGTCATTTATAAAAGGCTTAAATCAGTACATACGATTTAAGTCAGATGGAAACGATTTAGGTCAAAAAAAGATTTAAGTCTTTTTGAAAAAGATTTAAGTCTTTTTAGAAAATATTTAAGTCAGATTTATTTTATATATTTTTTTATAAATTTTTAACAGCTGCATTTTCTTTTGAACTGCCAGGGGTTCACGCGGCAGCAGATCAAAAACTCCTTTAATTTCCTACCTACAATTGCTACCGTTAGTGGATAAAAAAAAACCGCCGCGGTAAAGTTAGCTTTTTGGAACCGTTTGACGGCTACATTAAAAAATGTCCTGTCTAAAATGAATTAAAAAAAGTGGGGATTTATAATTTTGTTATTTGTTTGCCAAAATTCGTCATGTTCGTGCATAGTTATGTCTAATTTGTGATTATTAGTGCAAAGTGAAAACAATCTGAGCGGTCGTGAATCGAGAGTTTGGAACTTCCCATCATTACTCCCTTAAGGGAGGAATATTTTTATTCTAGATGGATGTTGAACCAGCTAACAAAAGTTAACAAAACAACAAGTTATCAGTTTTTTAAATACAGCGATTTTAAGAAAAATGCTTCAACTTTTATCTATTTTAACAGAGTTTGAATCTATTACTGTTAAAGCAAAGTTTCAATTTTTAATTCTTTATAACGTAAATGTATATTTTTAAGTATAATTTAAGCAGGCTTATATTGCCACTCCCACTGTAGAGGCAAGCCAATCATATGTCTAGTAGCGAGGGGTGTTAAAACTACCCGAACTGTAGGACAACAACTGACATTCACTCAATTAAGCAGCATTGAAACACATGGGCAGTATCGACTACCCAAATTGATCGCCAATGATCTAGTTTTTATTTCACTTGTTTAAATAGTTTTAGTTTAAGTTATGTGTAAATAAATATCTACTTAAAAACCATACACTATTGTGGTTTTAATCAACAATACAACAACATCAAACAAACACAAGCATCGTTTTATGGTCCTTCGAGCAACAATTTAACAACAATTACCAAACAATAAACAATTACCGTTTAGAAGTTACCCATTTATGTATATAAAAAAGTAGCCTCCCTGTATGTCTACTCTACTAAAAAAGGTGGTTTAAGTTTTTATTTTTATTGTCTACTATATACTCAAAAAATGTGTTTTAAGTTTTTATTTTGTTTGTAAGTGTTCTGAAAATAAATCTTTTAAATTCTTAATATAGTGGTTTATTATTATCTGTATCTACAATAGATTAATAATATCAGTATCATTAATACCATAAAATTATTAACATTTAAAAAATCATTGTATCGTTGACTTAAGGGTAATTATTTTGATTTAAATCACAATTTTTGATTCAAGTCATTTTATTGACTTAACTCTTAGATCACGATTTAAATAAAAAATATAGACTTAAGTCAAAAAAAAGATTTACTAAAGGAATTAAGTCATAAGATGACTTAAATCACTTTATATTGATTTAAGAATTTGCGAAAATGACTTGACTTGAAAGAAAATGATTTAATTCAAAGACTTAATACTTAAATCATTTGAACTTCATCTTAGAATTGACTTAAGATTTAAATCATTTTGATTTTAGAATTGACTTAAGACTTAAGATTTAAGTCTTTTTAAAACTGACTTGTTGCAGCTCTGGCTGCAATACTTGAGAAAAAAATATTACAACTAAATCACTATATTAAAACATCTCTAAACATAGTATTTTAGTTGTAACACTTTTTTCTCAAGTATTGCAAATTATTTTACCCACTTGGACATTCTGACATTATTTTAACAGTTTTTGTTGTTTTTATCGTTTTTTTTCGCAATTTTAAACGTTAAAATAATGTCAAAATGTCCAAGTGGGTAAAATAAGTTGCAATACCTAAGACATTATTTTAACAGTTTTTGTTTTATCGTTTTTCGCAATTTTAAACGTTAAAATAATGTAAGAATGTCCAAGTGGATAAAATAAGTTGCAATACTTGGGAAAAAAGTATTACAACTAAAATACTATGTTTACAGATGTCTTAACATAGTATTTTAGTTGTAATTCAAGTATTGCAACTTATTTTACCCACTTGTATATTCTGACATTATTTTAACAGTTTTTTTGTTTTTGACGTTTTTTTGTAATTTTAAACGTTAAAATAATGTAAGAATGTCCAAGTGGGTAAAATAAGTTAAAATACGTGCATTACAAATAAAACACTATGTTAAAACATCTCTAAACATAGTATTTTAGTTGTAACACTTTCTTCGCAAGTATTGCAACCTATTTTTTACCATTATACAGTGTGTCCGTAAAGTCCCGGAACATGTGATTATTTTGAAAACAGTAATTTTTTTTAAAAAACGCTGAAACACGCCAACTTTGATATTTTTCTAGCAATATTTTAGCATATGTAGTTGTTCCAAATTCTGCCGCGTGGCGGCGCCACAATCAAAGTCAGTTTTTTTTAAATTGCAACCCTTTATTTTTGTTGCATTTTTGGATAGCTACCGTTGTCCTGATTACATTGATGTGCCACATCTGGGGGGTTACATAAGAAAATTTTTGAGAAAATCAGATTTTTGCTGCCGAATGAGATTTTGGTATTTTGTCAAACTTACACAATCTATGCGTTGCTTAATGTTTTTTGGAAAGCCAATCAGAGCAGTTGCTCAAAGTGTCCACCGTAAACTATTTGGAAATGGAACAGCCTGTCTACAAACGAGCGTTGTACGTTTGCCAGTACCGCTGGATGAATCATCTGGATCTCGGCTTGAATGCGGTGTCTTAGGTCGTCCAAATTTTAAGGCCTGTTTACATAGACGCGGTTTTTAGGAGGTCCCCATAAAAAGAAGTCTAAAGGGTTCAAATCGGGCGATCGCGCTGGCCACTCAATTTGACCCCTTTGACCTATCCAGCGATTGGGAAAGACCTGATTTAAATAATCCCTTACTAGCAATGCATAGTGCCCCGTAACAGCGAATAAGTTCGTCAAAACCAAAATCTTAATCAGCGGCAAAAACCTACTTTTCTCAAAAATTTTCTTATGTAACCCTCTACATGTAGCATATCAATGTACTCAGGACGACAGTAGCTATCCAAAAATGCAACAAAAATTAAGGGTTGTAATTTAAAAAAACCTTACTTCGATTGGGGCGCCGCTACGCGGCAGATTTTGGAACAACTACATATGCTAAAATATTGCTAGAAAAATACCAAAGTTGACGTGTTTCAGCGTTTTTTAAAAAAAAATACCGTTTTCAAAATAATCACATGTTCCGGGACTTTACGGACACACTGTATTACGTACCTGATCTATGTAGCCCATGTTCTCCATCTGCGGCGTCAGATTCAGGTGCTGCAGGTTGTCCAGCTGCTCCAGAGGCAGCCCCCCGCCCCCGGAAGAGTCCAGATCGGCGGGATGGGGCGGCAGAGGGGGCGGAAGCGTTTCCCCCACCCCCGCCAGCAGGTCCCCTGCGTGATGGGCGGGCGTCATGGGCATGGGCATGTGCCCTTCGCTGCTCAGGTTTTCGTCCGACAATATTGAGTGCACCTACATAAAAGAATTTAAAAAAAATTACATTTGCATTTTTTTCGTATTACTCTTCGAATAAAATGAAAAAAATGCTATTTTTTTGAAAATTTCCAAATTTTTCTGAAAAAAAAAACTTTAAAACCCCAATCTTCATTTTCCAACATATTAACCGTATTAAATGTGGAATTTAAAATAACCATAATATAAATAAAAAAAAATATAATTTGAATTTTTTTTTTTACCACCAGTTTACCAAATTTTTATTAAATAAGGAAAACTTTGGGAAAACTGTAAAAAAACTATAATTAATGAAATAAAAGTTACCTGGTCGGGGGCCAGGTGGGGCATCTCGTCCACCATGGAGTGGATGGGGGTGGGGGGGGCCGGCGTGTGCGGATAGCCGATGCCGCCGCCGCCGGGCGTCGGCGGGTACATCATGGACGGCGTGGCCGGGGGCGGCATGTCGTCGTTCAGATTGAGGTGCATCAGGGGCGTCGGGGGGGCGGCCAGCACGCCCATCGGGGTGGGAGGGGCGGCTAAAGGCGTCATCATGGCGCCCGCCAGCGACTCGTGCAGCATGGCGGGCGTTTCCGGTTCCGGAAGGTGCATCGGCGTCCGGTTCTGCACATTCAAACCCTTTATTATTATTACTACTGACTTTTTAAACGTTATTATTATAAGAAAACGATTTATCAAAATATATATATATTTTTTTTTTTTATGGTAATATTGTTTTTTGACTTTTTTAACTCTCTTTTCGGTTTTTATTGCAAATGTACATAATTTCATAAAATGTACAAATTTCACCAAAATAAAATTATTTTACATTTCTGCAATAAAAAATATCTGCTTATTAAATAAAATAAAAATTAAATCGAATTAAAATTATCTCCTATGATATTTTTAATACATTTAAAAATTTCTCCCATGATATTTTTAATTTAGCGAATTTAGCGAATTAAAAAAGACAAATATAAGAATCAAATATTTTAAATTAACTGGATTTAACAAAATTTACTTTTGTTTTATTTCTTTTACGTTTTTTAGTTCTTTTTAATTATTATTTTTGTTTTTTTCATACTTTTTAGATTTTGCAAATTAAACTTTTAATATATTTTTTTTACCATTTTTTTTTTTAGATTTTTTACTTGTTTATATTGACTTGCAAATTTACATCATTTCACAAATTATTAATAACCAATTATTATCATTACAGGCGTTATAAACGTTATTATTATAAGAAAACTTTTATTTAAGCTTGACCATTAAAGAGATTTATCAAAATATACTTTTTATATTAAATTTTTTATCCTATTTTTTATGGTAATATTGTTTTTTTGACTTTTTTAACTCTCTTTTGGGTTTTTATTGCAAATGTACATAATTTCATAAAATTTACAAATTTCACCAAAATAAAATTATTTTACTTTTCTGCAATAAAAAATAACTGCTGATTAAATAAAATAAAAATTAAATCGATTTAAAAGTATCTCCTATGATATTTTTAATACATTTAAAAATTTCTCCCATGATATTTTTAATTTAGCGAATTAAAATGTGTTTAGCAAAAAAATACAAATATGGAAATATTTTAAATTAACTGGATTTTACAAAATTTACTTTTGTTTTAGTTCTTTTTAATTATTTTTTTTTGTTTATTTCGTACTTTTTAGATTTTGCAAATTAAACTTTTTATATATTTTTTTTACTATTTTTTAAAATTTTTTACTTGTTTATTTTGACTTCACAAATAATTATTTACCAATTATTATCATTACAGGCGTTATACACGTTATTATTATAAGAAAACTTTTATCAATACATTTAAAAAAAAATTTGATTCGAAAATTTAAAACTTGAAATGATCTAAAATCAACGATTTAAAACCCAAAACATGATCTCAAAAGAATAATGTATTTCAGTGCTACATAAAAATTATGATTATAATAATTATTATTATGATTATGAATTATTTCGAATTTTTGCAAAAAGAGGTCCTTTTAAAATATCCAATTACAATATAATGAATAATTTATAAAGTTTAATTACTAAATTATAATTGTCAAATAAACCGAAAGTTTGTATGTTAATTCAGCACCGAATATGTTTTTTTCTCGGCCCGGTAGAATATTCTTCTGAATAATTATTATAATCATAATATTATGATTTTAATTAGCGTCGAGAAGCACTTTGTTATTTGTTTTACAAGTGTTGAAAAGCGACTTTTTCATGCGAGTTTTTAAGTTGCCCACGGGGCCGTTAGGCCGAGTGTATTTACACGAGCTTGAAGAAAGCTTTTCTCACAAGTATAACACAATGTTTTTTCTGCGACCCTTTTATTTTTTATTATTTTTAAATACAAAACAAAATAACCTAAAAACTTTTTTGACAGCTGAATGTCAAACGATGCTTTCCGTTTCTTTTTACACAGACCTGTCACTTTTCACACAGAAATGTCACTTTACATTTGTGTCTTGCCTTGCCAATAAAAAGATTCATTTTCTAAGCAACGATGCCATCATGAAAAGTGACTTTTACATAGTGGTCGTAGAAAAAAACTATTTCTACTAAAAATAGACAAATGCCTGTACATAATAAAGGCATATTTCCTAGGACCAAAATAATGAAATATAACTAAATTTACTTACAATACAAAAGGCTGATTATAACCAAGATACAGATTGTCAAAGTTGTATCTTGGTAATTATTAACTTTTGTATGAAGAAAAATTTAGTTATATCTATGGCACGCCGTTTAAGCATTTATTAGATAATAGTTTGAAGATTAAAGTTTAGCACTTTAATGATTTTTTAACAGAAATATACCAAGTCAATTTTTTTTAAAATAAAAACAATTTATAGTCAAAAAATATTTTAATTATCAATTGTTTTGAGTTTAAAAATAATTAACTTTGTAAATTTATGTTAAAACATCATTAAATGCTAAAACATTTAACTTTACCAATTTAATCTAAATAATTTAGTAAAAAATTTATTTAGGATTTACAAAATTCTGCCCAAATAAATTATACTTTATATTTTAAATTTATAAATGTAAACCTAAAATTTTTAGTTGGGAAAATTTTAAAGCAAAAAAAATTAGAAAATAAAAAATTATATCGCATTATAGGAAAAAGTTGTTTTAGTACTTTAATAAAAATACATTTAAAAGTAGTCCAATCTAAATGTTGTAAAAGTGAGTAAAAAGAGTGTAAATCTTACCGGTTCCTCCAGGTTCTTGCGCTTCCTGCCCCTCTTGGCGGGAGTGGGAAGTTCCAGCAGGGTGGGAAGTTCCTCCCCGACATCCCTCATCTGGTCCAGCGCCAGCGAGTCGGGGTCACCCAGCACCGCAAAGTCCTCGATGCCGATGGCGCGCAGGGTTAAGTGCCGCTGGTAGTTTTTGAAAAGCACTCGCGCGGGAATCACTCGCGCGGGTAAAGCGAACAGTTTTTCGACGCCGCCCGTCTCCTTCCAGTGCATGAGGCGCTTGGTGGGGGGCGCCAGGTCCAGCGTTGTCACGATGTCCGACGTGTCCGACAGTTGGTTCTTCATTTCTTCGCCAGATATGTTTTTCACCTTAAATTACCCGGTTTAGTTATTGCCAAAAAATCATAGATTGCATTAAGAAATTACAAAAAAAAACAGATCTTGCAAAACAACAAAACAAAAATGTAATTTTTAGAAAAAGGAATATAACACAACAAATAACAAAAATGTTTAAAAGCAAATAAAAAATTTAGAATAAACCTGCAAAACAATTAAATCTTAAAATGATAAAAATCCCTTAAAAATTAAACCAGACTATGCAAAACAAAAAACAATTTACTAAAAAATGCAATTTCTAGAAACATAGGAATATAACACAATTAATAACAAAAATGTTCAAAAACAAATAAAAAATTCAGGAAACCAAAAAAATCAATAGAATTTTGGAAAAATCTGCAAAACAATTAAATCTTAAATGGTTCAAAATGCCATAAAAATAAAACCAGATTATGGAAAACAAGGAACAATTTACTAAAAAATGCAATTTCTAGAAAAATAGGGATATAAAACAAATGTTCAATAAAAAAATTCGGGTAAACTAAAAAATCAAAATAGAAATAAAACCAGATCTTGCAAAACAAGGAAAAATTCTTGAAAAATAGGATTATAACACAATAACAAAAATGTTCATAAACAAATAATAAATTCAGGAAATCAAAAAAATCAATATAATTTTGGAAAAACTTACAAAACAATTAAATCTTAAAATGTTAAAAAATTCTTTAAAAATAAAACCAGATCTTGCAAAACAAGGAACATTTTACTAAACAAATTAAAATTCTTGAAAAATAGGAATATAACATAATAAAAAATAAACAACTTAAAAAACCAATAAAAGTTCAGGAAACCAAAAAAATCAACAAAATTTTTTAAGAAACTGAAAAACAATTAAACCTTAAATTAAAAAAAAAATTCAACGCATAGATTAAATTTTATAATGTTAAAAAACCCCTTAAAAGTTAACAAATTCACAAGGATTAAATTAAAAATAGGTAACAAAAATGTTCAAAAAGAAAAAAAAATCAAGAAACCAAAAAAATCAAAAGAATTTTGGAAAAAACCAAACAACTAACCTAAAATTTCAAAAAATTATTCACGGATTTAAGGATTAAATTAAAAAATGTTCAAAAACAAATAAAAAATTCCGGAAACCAAACAGATCAATAGAATTTTTGAAAAACACAAAAAACAATTAAACCTAAAATATAAAAAATTTTTATACATCCCATAGACTAAATCTTAAATTGTTAAAAAATCCCTTAAAAGTTGACAAATTTACATAATAACCAAAATGTTAAAAAAACAAATAAAAAATTCAGGAAACCAAAAAAATCAATGGAATTTTGGAAAAACCCAAAAAACAATTAAACTTAAAATTTCAACAAATTCTTTTTATCTCATAGATTAAATGTTAAAAAAAACATCAAAGTTAACAAATCAAAAATAATAAAAATGTTAAAAAACAAATAAAAAATTCAGGAAACTAAAAAAGTCCATGAAATTTTGGAAAAACCTATAAATCAATTAACCCTAAAATTTAAAAAAATCCTTTACATCTCATAAATTAAATCTTGAATGGTAAAAAATCCCTTAAAAGTTGACAAATTCACAAGGATTAAATTAAAAATAACAAAAATGTTCAAAAACAAATAGAAAATTCAGGAAACCAAAAAAATCATTGGAATTTTGGAAAAACCTAAAATTTCATCCCACAGATTTAATCTTAAAATTAAAAAAAAAATCACAAAAAAAACAAAAATTGTTTGTCCTAAAATAGTAAAAATGTTAGGTACCTCGTCTACGATGAGTTTCCTTTTGCGCTTGGACTTGGTGAGGCCCCTCAAAGCGGAGGCATCCACCGGCGCGAGGGCGAAGCTCTCCTCCTCGTTCTGGATCAAGGTGGTCTGGTCGGGGGTCGGCGCCTCCTGCGGCGGCGGGTCCAGCTGCGGCTCCGGGTGCATGGAGCGCACCGTGGGGGTGGGCGAGGGCACTGAGGGGGCCGCGCCCATCGCGGACGGGGGGCGGCTGTCCGCGTCCGAGGTGTCGCCGCCCACGGACGGCGGCCCGCCGAAGTCGGCCATGCCGTCGTCGTCGTCCTCGCTGTCGGCGGCGGCCATGGGCAGCGGCGCAGACGACGGGTCGGGGATGCTCTGGTCCACGGGGGGCACCTCCCCCATGGGGGCGTCGTCGAACAGCCCGCCCTCGAATAGACCGCCAGCTAACACATTTTTATCGTTAAAACCCACTTTTTTCATTCAGTTTCAAAAAATATTTTATTACTTTGTTTGCATTTTTTTCATACAAAACTAAATAAATACATAGGCTTAAAAGTTTGTGATAAAATTTTCTAAAATCTATCTAAGAAACTTAAAAAAATGTCAAAAAATGGAAATATAAAAATATTCAAATAGTACAAAACTGTATAAAAATATCATTTCTTTAAATTGAAATTTTAGAAATCTATTTTTAGGGCTAAAAATGCCTAAAAGGGTTTAATTTAAAACTGAATAAAAATGTCCTAAATTTATTATAGAACTTTCTAAAAAAATGCCCTAAAAAGTTAAGTTATAAATTTTTAAAAATTCACTGCCATTTTATGTCACACAAGAAAAAATTGAACCTACACCTCGCCAAAGTTTTTTGTTTTGAATGTGTTCCACCAACTTCAGACAGCTGTTTCGAACTATATTGGGTCTCATCAGTGTCGGGCAACTTGGTGTAGTGGAACACAATCAAAACAAAGGACTCCCTCAGCTTATATGCTCGGTTGTTAAGTCAACAGAGGTGAGATGTAAGAACATCAGGTGATCCACACCATCAAACGACGTGGCCCTTGCCGCAATCGGTACATACTATGCAACCGGGACTGTACACAGCAATTGTATCACAGATACTAATATGGCCTAAAGGAATCTAGAATTAACCCAACCGGGCTAAACATTAAGGTAAACATTCAATTTTCTTAGTTTCTTTAAGAAACTTTCTTGACCCATCACTGGTAATATTCTTAAGAAAAAATTGAACCTACACCTGAACATTTTTTACAGTTCTTGGAATAGATTTAAAAAAAATCCTTTTTATTAATTTAAATAAATACCTATATTAGTAGGAATGAAATTTTCAAAAACAAATTACAAAAAAACATACTAAACAATTAAATCTTAAAATGTTAAACAAATATTTCATTCATTATTAATTTTTAGTGATTTTTTTTGCATTTTTTTCAAAACAAACTTAATAAAAACTCAAAAGGCTTAAAAGTTTGTGAGAAAATTTTCTAAAATCTATCTAAGGAATGGGAAAAAAATGTCAAAAGATGGAAAAATATAAATATTGAAATTGTACTAAATTTGGTTGTTATTTAAAAAAAATTACAATCATACTAAAAATGTGCTAAATTTAGTACAAAACTGTATAAAAATATCATTTCTTTAAATTGAAATTTTAGAAATCTATTTTTAGGGCTAAAAATACCTAAAAGGGTTTAAATTAAAACTGAATAAAAATGTCCTAAATTTATTATAGAACTTTCTAAAAAAATGCCCTAAAAAGTTAAGTTATAAATTTTTCAAAATTCACTGCCATTTTACGACACACAAACTGAACATTTTTTACAGTTGTTGGAATAGATTTAAAAAAAATACTTTTTATTAATTTAAATAAATATCTACATAATCTAATATAAGTAGGAATGAATAAAAAAAAAATTAAACGAAAAATAAAAATTTTCAAAAACAAATTACAAAAACCAAAAAAATCAAACATACAAAACAATTAAATCTTAAAATGTTAAAAAAATATGTCATTACTAATTTTTACTGATTTGTTTGCATTTTTAAAAAAAAAAAAACTTAAGGCTTAAAAGTTTGTGAGAAAATTTTCAAAAATCTATCTAAGGAAAGTGAAAAAAATGTCAAAAAATGGAAAATATAAATATTGAAATTGTACTAAATTTGGTTGTTATTAAAAAAATTTCAATCATACTAAAAATGTGCTAAATTTAGAACAAAACTGTATAAAAATATCTGAGATTTCTCTAAATCAAAATTTTTGAAATCTATTTTTAGGGCTAAAATACCTAAAAGGTTTTAAAACTGAATAAAAATATCCTAAATTTATCATAGAACTGTCTTAAAAAATACCCTAAAAAGTCAAGCTATAAATTTTCCAAAATTAACTGCCATTTTATGACCTACAAACTGCAAAATTTTTCAGTTCTTGGGATTGATTTTAAAAAATAATTATTATTAATTATTAATATTAGTACAAAGGAATGAACAAATTATTATTTAATTAATATTAGCTTTCCTACAAAAATTAAATAAAACTCACAAATAATATTTTGATCTAAATTGGTTCCAAACCCATCATCCCTCACTGAACTATCAATTTCCATGGGTGTATCGTGTTGGGTACCAGACGTGGATGCAATTGGTTCCCTATCTTTTTCCATATCCTCCAAAACTGGACCATCATTAAACAACAGGTTGCTCTACAAATGCAAGTTTTTATTTAATTAATTAACACTTGAATGCTGCAAATGTACCTGTTCCATTGAAGGTTCCAACCCTGAGGCATGCCTCATCAAATCTGGCGGGTCTGTATCAAAACCCATGTCACCAAAACCATCATCATTTGTGACCATGGAGAGGGTACCGTAGTCTTCCCTCATTGTGATTTCCTCAGCTCTGGACTGATTCAAACTGAACTGAGCCTCAATGTCCACATCACTAAAATTATAATCATTAATGATCACTTTTCACAACACTCGTTTGTGTGTCACACAACATACTTAAGTTCAGGCATTGTAGTGTCAAAATCGTGAAAAACTTCGGGCAGGGTAATTGCATTAACAGCGGCTTCTCTGTGTTCCTCCGGCAGATCGACCATTCCAGGCCTAAAGGCCATTTTAATCTTGACGAAAGCCTCATTACAATCGGCCAAGAGATACTTTGCTTTCCTGGAATAAATCCTCACCACCCCCAGCAGCAAATGCCCCGACGTTCTCAAAGCCATTTTCACTTTGGGCTGCAAAATACCGTCGACGGATTTCTCAATGTTCGTCTCGAATACGTGAGCTTTCGTCAGCTTCTTGTCCCAATGGGCCGCCAACCAGATTCGGGCCAGCGGGCCCTTTTTGGCCAACACGAAGTGTGCGTAGAACATCGTTCTATCGTTTTAAAAACACCGCGATCAACAAAACCTAAAAAACAAACGAATCTAACAACTGACAGCTTGTTGGCGTTGGCGCCGAAATCGCATTTCCACTCGAAAAACACGCACCTCGTCGTCAAATTTCATAAATTAAACGATTTAAGTCACCGCCAGTACACAGCAGTTTGTTCTCTTCAGATAATTTCGATTATTTTCCATTCCCCACAAGGAAAACGCAAATTTTGTACGTAAACACAGCCAAAGCACTGTTATTTAGCCCATCAAGATGGCGCCGGTGGACGTTGGCTTGACAACACTTCTCACGCGCATGCGTCATGCCGAGCGGTGCGTCATGGCCTGCCACATTTAAATTTATTTTCTACTGATTTTTTTAAACATTTTGTAATTTTTTTTGTAATATTTCAATTTTATAAGTTATAAATTAAAAAATCTATAGTGAGTAGGTACCTACAGTCTTTATTTTGTAAAATTTAGTTGATTGAGTTTTTTTTATAAAAGTATACTTTTTTCACAAGTTTTGCTTTTGTATTTGTATTGTTTCTCTTAAAATAACAGATACTTACTTACCCACCTACTTAACAAATTTATCTACTCCTATTGCATAATATTTTTTTTTCGTGAATAATGATAAACATAAATTTCCTGCCTAACAACGGGAATAATGAACTGTGATATCACAATAAATATTAAAATATTAAAATATTTTAACCAATCGGGTTTTCCCATTTGACAGATGTCATATTTTATTTATTTGAAAATCATTTAATTATCCTCTTATTGGAATAGATAATTATCTATTCCAATTGGAATAGATAATTATTAATAAGAGGATACATAAATGATTTTCAAATAAGGAAAATCTGACATCTGGGAAAACTTTAAAGTGTAGTATTACACTCTAGATTATGCACATTATTCACTCGGATAATAATTATTCTTATTTTGATTAACATGAACACTTTTCAATATTACAAATATCTGTCCTTTTGAGTTTAAAAGAGGTTTAATCAAAATTAAACGCAATTTAAATTGTTCTAGAAGTTATCTTTCCCGCGTCACTCCAGTAATGCCAACATAAGAACCCCAAATTCCCGGAAAACAAAACGAAATCACCATTTTTAACTAGCCGCTGGAACGTGTTGTTTGACATTTTAGGGTTGCGAACTTCTGTGATAAAAAATGTCTATTTTAGCGAGCCCTTTGTCCGTTGCCGGCACCAGAAGCAGCGGAGCCCCGGTTCGCACACAAAATGGTAAGTTAACGTCGAAACCCCGACGATTTGCCTCATATTTATGCCGAATAACCTTAAATGAATTATCACGCGGTGATAGGTGTGGTAAAACAACGGCGTATATGATATGATATGATAATTAGGGTGGTAATTATTTGTAGTGATGGCCGCAGCCACCATTGCCAACATAGTGAAGAGTTCTTTGGGGCCAGTTGGACTAGACAAAATGTTGGTTGATGATATCGGAGATGTGACAGTGACAAATGACGGTGCCACTATTTTGAGGCTTCTGGAGGTCGAGCACCCAGCAGCAAGGGTTTTAGTTGAGCTGGCTCAATTGCAAGATGAAGAAGTTGGCGATGGAACCACATCCGTTGTTATTATTGCTGCTGAATTGTTAAAGGTAGATAATTTACTATTATTCTGTCTAAAAGGGTTTTTGTGGAAGAAATAATATTTCATCTTTTAACTTTATCTAATAGGTATCTGAAAGCTGTCAGGCAGCATTTTGCTTTGACTTAAAATTGAAAAAACTGCTCGACAGATAAAATATTAAATAAAATTGGCTTTAAATTCATTATGTTGAACAAAATAGGAGAGAGAGGAATTTCTTTTTTCTTTGACTAGTTGTACAATGTTTTATTCAACAACCACAAAGAATTTATGCCAATTTTATTTGATATTTTATCTGACATTTGACAGTTGTCAATTAGTTTTAACCTCACCTTTTGTTAAATTTTTCAAATCCAACTTCAGCTTGTGTGTGTAAAATTTTGCTCACAGGTTACCTGTTTTATAATCCGTAATTTTTCAAAAGTCAATCCAAAGTTTGTTTTGATGATAACTGATCATAATCCATAATTTTATGTGACGTGATCATAATCCATAATTTTCCAAAAGTCGATGCAAAGTTTGTTATGGGCAAAATTAAGCGTTTTGAGGGTATGATCAAAATCCATATTTTTTATGAGAACTGATCAAAATCCATACTTTTACAAAATCAAGCGCAAAGTTTGTTTTGAGCAAAAGTAAGCGTTTTGAGCCTATGATCAAAATCCATAATTTTGATTAAAATCCATACTCTTTGTTAGAACGCCGACGAGCTGGTAAAACAAAAGATCCACCCGACGTCGATAATCGGCGGGTACCGTTTGGCGTGCAAGGAGGCGATCCGCTTCATCCAGGACAACCTCACCATCCCCGTGGACGAGTTGGGGCGCGAGTGCCTGATAAACGTGGCCAAAACCTCGATGAGCTCTAAAATCATCGGCTCCGATGCCGATCTGTTCTCGACCATGGTCGTGGACGCCGCTCAGGCGGTCAAGATCCAGGACCCGAAAGGCCAGGCCATGTACCCCATCAAGGCGGTCAACATCCTCAAGGCGCACGGCAGAAGTGCGAGGGAGAGCGTCTTGGTGCAGGGTTACGCGCTGAACTGCACCGTCGCCAGCCAGGCCATGCCCAAGAAGATCGCCAACGCGAAGATCGCGTGCCTGGACTTTTCGCTGCAAAAGTCCAAGATGAAGTTGGGCGTGCAGGTTCTGATCAGCGACCCGGACAAGTTGGAGGGCATCAGGAACCGCGAGCTGGACATGACGAAGGAGCGCATCGAGAAGATCCTGGCGACGGGCGTGAACGTCGTCCTGGTTTCCGGCGGCATCGACGACCTCTGCCTCAAGTATTTCGTCGAGAAGAACGCCATGGCCGTTCGCAGGGTCAAGAAGGTCGACCTCAAGCGCATCGCCAAAGCCACCGGGGCCGCTTATCTCACATCCTTAACCAACATGGATGGTGAGTTTCCACAATACGTTTTATACATTTTTCCCAGTCTTCGACAATCGACAGTGAAAAGTTTGTTTTGCACAAAAACGAGCGTTTTAAGATTGATCCCAAAGTTTGTTATGCGAAAAAATAAGCGTTTTGATAAAAATCCATATTTTTATTTATTGTGATAATAATCCATAATTTTCCAAAAATCGATGCAAAGTTTGTTTTGGGCAAAAATAAGTGTTTTGAGTTAATGATCAAAATCCATATTTTTATTGAAAATGATCAAAATCCATAATTTTTCAAAAATCGATGCAAAGTTTGTTTTGGGCAAAAATAAGCGTTTTGAGTTAATGATCAAAATCCATATTTTTATTAGGCGTGATCATAATCCATAATTTTTCCAAAATTCGATGCAAAGTTTGTTTTGAGCCAAAATAAGCGTTTCAAGGTAATGATCAAAATCCATATTTTTATTGAACATGATCATAATCCATAAATTTACAAAAGTCAATGCAAAGTTTGTTTTGAGCTAATGATCAAAATCCATATTTTGTGCAAGCATTTCAGGGGCACCTTGTATATTACTTTTTTATTTTGTATCAAAGGTGATGAAACTTTCGACAGCAGTATGGTTGGTGAAGCGGCCGAAGTAACTCAGGAGAGAATCTGCGATGATGAGTTGATCATTATTAAAAAGTATGTATTATTTTCTCACAGCTAAATCGTTCATGGTTTTGTCCATTTTATTTATGACATTTCTATCGTTTTAAACATTTCTATCGTTTCTACGTTTTCGTTTGTCTAAAGGCCAAAGGCCCGCACCGCGGCCTCTATAATCCTGCGCGGCCCCAACGACTTCTACTGCGACGAGATGGAGCGTTCGGTGCACGACGCGTTGTGCGTCGTGAAGCGCGTGCTGGAATCGAAATCCGTGGTGGTGGGGGGCGGCAGCGTCGAGGCCGCCCTCTCGATCTACCTCGAGAACTTCGCCACCACGATCTCGTCGCGCGAGCAGCTGGCCATCGCAGAGTTCGCCAGGAGTCTGCTCGTCATCCCCAAGACGTTGGCCGTGAACGCGGCGCAGGACGCCACCGATCTAGTGGCCGTGCTCAGGGCCTACCAGAACATGTACATCACCAAGGACGGCAACCAGCACCTCAAGGTAAAGCTTTATCCAGCTAAAAATAAAGTAGATACAAAGGAATTGTTTTTTTTCTCCCAAAGTACTACGGCTTGGACCTGATTGGCGGACAGGTGAGGGACAACAAGAAGGCGGGGGTTCTGGAGCCGACCATCTCGAAAATCAAGTCGCTCAAGTTCGCCACGGAGGCCGCGATCACGATTTTGAGGATCGACGACATGATCAAACTGGACGCGGAACAAAAGGGGGGCAGGAGTTACCAGCAGGCCATGCAAGCCGGGGATTTTGATTAATTTATAATCTCCCCAACGCTTTATTAAATACCTAATAACTTTTTTATTTTTTAGTGGGTGCACCCACCCACTTATCATACTTATATCCAAAGTATTTACGCATTTGTCACTAATCATTACTTTTTTTAAATAAATGTTTTCATCACCGTTTTATCTACTTTTATTTAAACCTTCTTTTTTGCAGGTAAGTGTTTTGATCTAACGATCAAAATCCATAATTTTACAGAAATCGACGCAAAGCTTGTTTTGGGCAAAATTAATTAATTTGTCAAAACGGTTAACCGTTTTGACGATATGATCAAAATCCATATTTTTATGATAACTTATCAAAATCCATACTTTTCCAAAATCAAGCGCAAAGTTTGTTTTTGGCAAAATTAAGCATTTTGACCGTATGATCAAAATCCATATTTTTTATGAGAACTGATCAAAATCCATAATTTTACAGAAATCGACGCAGTTTGTTTTGGACAAAATTAGGCGTTTTAAGAGTATGATCAAAATCCATATTTTTCCAAAATCAAGCTCAAAGTTTTGTTTTTAACAAAGCCTATGATCAAAATCCATAATTTTGATTAAAACCCATACTTTTACGAAAGTTCTTCACAAGGTTAAAAAACAACAAATTTGAAGATTCAATACATTTATTAAATTTTTTCAATAAACATATTTAAATACCAGTTAATCTAACAGCTGTGACAGGTATTTTTTTACTTTACAGTAATTCATCTAATTAATGAAGAAAAAAGGCAATTAAATAAATTAGTCGAGTCGGAAAAAGAATCAATTGGCGGGATGACGCTCATTAGTGTGTAAAACAATCCAACAAATTTAATACCTGGATAAAACTAGTCTAGTTTTTTATTTCATGGTCAATATTTATTTTACTTCATGACATCACAGCTATAGCTAATATAATTATAACCCATAAATACTAGATACAAGGTAACAGCTGTTACATAGGTGGGTACCGGTTTTTTTAAGCGGATTGATTAATAAATATGTGTCAAATTTTAATGAGAAATTTATAATTAAAAATTGACAAAATTTTGTAAATCGTGAAAGTGTTTCCTTACGTGATAGTAGGCTATAGTATGCTAATAAGGTGCTTTACCCTATTTTTAATTTGGAATTCCATCGAATTTTTAAGTACCGGAAGTCTAAATCCGCTACTACCTAAATAAGGGGAACATACTGTAGCATATAAGTATATTTTAATTCAAGACGATCGGGTTAAAGTTGCAAGGATCATACTTGAAGTAATGTTAATTCAATCGATTAGATCCAATTCTTTTAAAACCAAATTTAGTTACCTAACTAACATATTTATCCCAAATTGGATAAAATTATCTAACATTTTATATAATCTTTTTTATTATATTAGGTACAAAATAACAAAACCATAGAAAAAGGATAAAAAACTGTCCAAGCAGAAGGGAAAGGTAAGTGACGGTTAAGTTTGCGCATATTCTTTATCTATGTACGGAATTATTTCAGCCAGTATTCGCCGAACCATAGACGCGGCAGTTGCGTGTATAAACCGTATGCAACTAGAATTACGAGTGTTTTTAAACGGTGCAGCGTCAGTTTTGTTTTTGCAGTGAATGTGACTGTTTTTAGTTTACAATAAACAAAACCGTTAAACCCCAAGAATATAAACAAAACTGGTAAGTGCACTATTAAGTTTGATGGAGAAAATTAAAAATTTAGGTTATGTTAACCTATTTTTAACTGTGGACTATAGGGTGTTTTTAACTTAAAACATTCACCCTGTTTGGCATTTTGCCACGCCACATAAATAACCAATGCAGCACACACGCCCATCTATTGTTTTGTAAAATTAAAATATAGTTTTCCGTAAAAATCAACAAGGCATAAAATCGAAACAATTGAAAACTCCACCCACGCATATTAAAATTGTTATTTTTGGATCGTCGTTTACAATTTATCAATAAAACTGTACCATTTTGTACCTCTCATGTTACAGTTGAGTTATTTTTTTGTTATTCAAATATCATACATTGTTTGCCTATCTAATCTTTGTCCAGTACTTTGAAATATGAGCTAAATTTAAAATTGAAGAGATAAATAATAACAGATAAAAACAAAAGAAGTGCTCACCACGCGCTCTTTTATCATGAAACTGACCTCATAGATGAATGACTCATTAAGTATCAAAATTCTAAAATTAAATCGATGATAAATCACCAAAACATTGCCTTATTTAAATCAGGAATTTTGTTCAGAAAGGGATGATTTTTTTTATTTATTTGGGCCATTTTTATTTCTATTAAATGCCTAAATACCTACCCACCTACTTAGTTAATAGTTAAGTTTATGCTTGATTGATATTGTTTATTGTAGGTTTTGGCACATTGTCTATAAACTCTCAATGTTCTGTTGATCGGAAAGCATCTATAAATTTTTATCTCAAGTATTTTTAGTTTTTATTTAAAATTTCAATGAGAAAATTTTAGTTCATCCGTATTAAATCCAGCGTCAACTTTATTTCGGGATCGTGGTTAATTTTTTATTCGAAATGTTCGTTGTTTTCAATTTATTGTTGATTGCTTTAACAGAAGTAATAAAAAACTATTTTAATGATTGTAAGTAGACATGTGTTGATGATTTGAAACTTTTTTGAATTTTTTTATCTACCTTGTAAAGCAAATTTTCCACGAAATTGATATTTTTAACTGCTAACTTGTAAGACTAGAGATAAAAACTAAATTTTATTTTTTGTTGGAAATTTAGTTTTCTACAAAAAAGATCCTATAAGTCGAATCTCTAAAATCAATATTTTAAGAGTTATACGGTATAACTTATACCTACTATAGTAGGTATATGAACTTATATGAACGTCATCAAAATTTAAAATTCAATTGCTATTAATAATAATAATTTATCTCAGGTCAGTGACAAGGTTGCCACTGTTTGAACACTGTCGAGTTTGATTTGATCTTTATAGAGATTGTGAAAGTTTCTTAGCAAACCGCTTATTTTTAGAATTTCTTACTATTTCACCAGATCTTTTCACATTATTTTTTTATTGCTTTTTGATGGCGTTTAAAACCAATTTACTTGAAAAAAATCAATATCACGTTCTACTAATCCCATATCAACAATGTGAACGCACTAAAGCATTAGATTACATTGGTCAAGAAAATCATTTTACTTAATTAGGTAAATTAATAAAACGTATACATAATAATTTAGTATTTTTTTATTGCATTTAAAATTTAATGTTCAGTGTTGACCAGTGTCATTCTTGAGAATTTATTAATTAATACAGTTTTTAAATTTTAAAAGTGTCATCATTTCGTACATGTTCTGCATTCGTAATGGGATATTTCTAATTTGTTATGTTAATGATTGTTACTGATGTAACAGCAGGATGCGTTTGTTATTTTAACGCGGGATATGTTATCATCGCAGTGCGATGATCGCACCCAATTCAAATAGGTAGGTAACAAAGAGCCTTTTTTTTACAAATTTATGATAAAGCTACAGATATCGGAAATTGCAGAATTTTGTCGAAATTTTGGTAGTATTTTCATTTGAAGAGTTTGATAAATAAATAACAGTTGGCCGTGACAGCAAATCTATCCAATCCATGTTTATTTGGGATTGTGGGATTACCTTTTAAAGTTTTATTCCAAATATATAAACAATGTTTAAAATCATATTTATTTGAACTTACTGGTATGGATTAACTGTGGGTAAAAAATAGCTATGATTTTTATAATAGGTAATGGCAAAGATTATATTAGTTGTCAATAATATTAATAAGTTTTTAATATTATTGACAACTAATATAATATAATAATAACCAAAGATTAACAACTGTTGTCTTCTTCTTCTTTTTCATTCTTGCACCAGTGGTACAATATTTTTGTTCAACTGAGGTTACCCTAGTAGGGTAACAATAGCATACTTTGACCATTGTTTTCGAGCATATAATGTGTAATTTTAAGTGAATTTAGTCCCCAAATTATTTTCTTAGAATGTGTGCTAAAAAAAATCTGAAATGTATGTCTGATGCCTTATAAAATCATATATTAAATTTTGAAGACATTTGACGAAAACTCTTTAAATGGAAATACTACAACAAATTAAGATATGAAAAAATAAATTAAATATTTTGAAATTTCAACACCATACAAAACTAATTTATTATTTCAAAGAGTAAACCTTGGCAACCCAAGATCATTTTAATTTTAATTTCCTGTCCAATATTCGTGTTTGAAGTTAGACCTACATTTATCATTCTACATTAATTCCAGAGGCGACATAAATGAAACATAAAACATAACATCGTTCTTGCAGCCTTGCTCGAAATAGATTTTCCTTATGCGTTTTATGCCGCGTAAAACTCGGTGTTTATAGCAACACGTCTACGATTTTGTGATTTACGATTGGTACTACAAATTGTGATAGTAAAAAATATTTGTAAAATATGACAAGTTTTAATATTTTTTTTAGCCAAAATGACTGAATCCCCGGTACAAGAGCAGGTGATGATGACCCCAAAATGCAAAACAGCAAATTCCACAACCCTAATAATCGAAAGGAGGGCGGTAAACAAAACAAATGACAAAATGCACGTGGCGGGAGGAGAACACACTGGAATCATTATAAACAAAGAAACATCAACAGGTTTGTACAGGTTAATAGTATATTTTGTGTCAAGTTTGATAATCGCCTTAGTATCATGGTTTTATGGAAAATAAACAACATTTTACAAAATTTCAAGTGTTTTTTTTTGGCAGAAAACGGAGAAATCATCCCGCCGCAGCTGTCGCTGGAGTTTCGAGTGTTCCTAGTCAACGGCCAGACCGGAAAGCACACGCAAGAATCTCGTTGCCTGAGGTTTTGGTTCCGGGCGGCGAAAGACCCGGAGAACGAAGACAATGGAGCGGGCATCGCACAAGACTTTTTCCGGGAGCTGGTCAGCCCGCAGGAATTTCCCAGGGACTACGTGGGGTTCATAAAAAAAATCATGAAGCTGATGCAGCACAATTATTGGACCGTAAGCAAGTTGGAGGTGGAGCTGAAGCAATTGGAGGAGAGTGCCGTGCCTGCTAGACCGCGTAAGTGCATTTTTTTATTTTAGCCTTCTCTGACGCGATTTTAAAAATTATAAAATTGCTCTTATTGTCATCATGTCATATTACTTATAGAAAATGGGTATCTTCAAATTGAGCTTAGGCCCTCATTGCTTTCTTCTTCTGCAGCAGGTTTGCCTATAAGTGTTTTCACAATGCAACCTAAACGTAACAAACATGCGTGTGATTTTGTTTAACTAAAATACATCTAATATTATCATATGGGTCATTTCATAGACACTTTAAAACAATTAAAAAGTTTAATAATATTTCTTTTAAATACTGTTATACCTACATAGGAGAAAAAATTTAACGTTTTTTATGGAATGATCCCTATGTAACTAATTTTAGCATGACATTTTAATCTCCCAATTAGATTTAAAAGCCATAAATCCATAATTTTTTTTTATCGCCGCAAGGGTTATTTTATTTAAAAATAAGTATGTTGAGCCCATGATCAAAATCAATAATATTCGAAAAATCGCCGCAGTTTATTTAATTAAAAAAACGCATAAGTTTCTAAAAGGATCGCAGTTTCACGCGGAAACTAGCATTTTGAGCCCATGATCAAAATCCATGATTCTAAAAATCGTCGCAAAAGTATTTTAAGCTCATGATTAAAATCCATAATTACGATCAAAATCCATAATATTCTAAAAATCAGTGCAAAGTTTGTTTCATCTAAAGAAGTATTTTGGCTCCTTGATTAAAATCCATAATATTAGAAAAATCACCGTAGAGCATTCAAAAACAAGCTTTGCGACCATGATTAAAATCCATAAGTTTCTAAAAGCATCGCAGTTTCATTCAAAAACAAGCATTTTGAGCCCATGATCAAAATCCATATTCTTAAAAAATCGTCGCAAAATTTGTTTTATTTTAAAAACAAGTATTTTGTGCCCATGATTAAAATCCATAATATTCTAAAAATCGCTGCAAAGTTTGTTTCAGTAATTTGTCTCCTTGATTAAAATCCATAATATTATAAAAATCGACGTAAAGCATTCAAAAACAAACTTTGCGCCCATGATTAAAATTCATATTTTTTTTAAATCGGAGCAAAGTTTGTTAATTCAAAAACAAGAATTTGTAGCCCCATCCAAATCCATAAGTTTCTAAAAGCATCGCAGTTCATTCATAAGCAAGCATTTTGATACCATAATCAAATTCCATATTTTTAAAAAATCGTGGCAAAATTTGTTTTATTTTAAAAACAAGTTTTTTGAGTCCATGATTAAAATCCATAATATTCTAAAAATAGCTGCAAAGTTTGTTTAATTTAAAAATAAGTAATTTGGTTTTTTGATTAAAATCCATAATATTAGAAAAATCGCCGTAGTTCTCTATAGAAAACGCCGTGCCGTAGAGCTTGTTTCATTCAAAAACAAGCCCATGATTAAAATCCATCATTCCGATCAAAATCCATAAGTTTCTAAAAGCATCTCAGTTTCATTCAAAAACAAGCATTTTGAGACCATGATCAAAATCCATATTTTTTTAAAATCGTCGCAAAATTTGTTTTATTTAAAAACAAGTATTTTGAGCCCATGATTAAAATCCATAATTCCGATCAAAATCCATAATTATTTAAAAATAAGTATTTTTGTCCCTTCGTCAAAATTCATAATATTCTAAAAACCGCCGCAAAATTTGTTTCATTTAAAAGCAAGCATTTTAAGTATTTGATTAAAATCCATAACTCTTTAAGCTTGTTTCATTAAAAAAGGCTATGACAAAATAAAGTTTTAAAAATTATTAAATTCTAAATTGTAATTGTTAACAACATTCTAATAAAAAACCTGTGTTGTAATAATACTCTAACTTATCAAAACTCTAATTTTTGTTTTATTTGTGAAATTTATTTTGTCAAATAAAATTTAATTTCTCCTTTACATTTCACAACAGTATCATCTGAAGAGAGCTCCCTGACCACCGTGATCCTCACGATCGAAAAGGTGCTGGAAATCGTGGAATCTTCGTACCCCAACCCGGTCACCGTCCAGGACATATCCCGCGACAACGGATGGGACGAGGAGGAGGTGTCCCATCACTTAAGCGAGCTGCAGTCCCGCAACATCGTGAAGGCCATGGAACACGGCGCCTTCACGCGGCAACAGTCGCAAGACGCCCAAGTCACCATCGTCAAACAAATGCCGACGATGGCGTCCAACAAACAGCCGACGATCGCCATCGTCACGGCGCAGTACTGCGAGAAGCTGGCCGTGGACGCCATGATCGAGAACAAGGAGACCTTCGTCAGGTACACGACAGTCGGTGAGTTTCAAATTTTACAAAAAAATTATTTTAATTTAGAAAGTTTTTATTTACAATTTTCTATTTCGTACTACTATCTTCGGAATCAGTGTCGTCATCACTATAAGTACTGTCACTGTCACTTTCAGAATCCACTGAACTGTCATCACTGTCACTTTTTTCAATTGTCAATTTTTCGAGGTGCTTGCCAAGAGAATATCCCCTCTCAATTTCACCCAAGTTTAATCCTAAATCTTCCTTTTTTATTTCCAATTCCTTCACTTTTTCCACAATATTGTCCCATTCGGAATTATCCCACTTCATAATGTATGTAATGTAATCTTTGATGAACAAGTTGTTTAAAACATAGGTGCCCATTTCACCGGTTAAAAGAGTGTAGTAAATATCAATAAAACACTTAATTATATTCTTGCATCCCAACTGCACAATATTCTTTAAATCTTTTAAAATAACTTGATTGAATTCAAAGTTTCTGTACAGGGGGTAAATCAAACATCTTCTGAAGGCGCATATTAAAGCTTGTTGGGGTTCTGTAAATCCATCCAGCCATGAAAACGTCGCGGCCAACTTCGTTATCGTCCAACTTGATTCACTTGTTCCTTCAAAGTACGTTGACCTTCTGTCATAACAATAAGCAAATAAAATATCCAGCAGGCCATTGTAACAGTACTTTTTTTGCAACTCAGTCAGGTTGTAGTCTAGGTTGCTTAACTCTTTAAGGAAGTCCAGCTCTTTTTCGCTGAAGACAACGTTTTCAGGGGTTAATTTATCCCAGGGTGCACTTAAATTGATCAGTTCGCGTATTTCTTCATCGTCGTGTAAATCGGCTAGATAATGGCAGGAATCGAATTTGCCCTGCTCGTATTGCAGCCTCAGTTTCCTACGCTCCTCCAAGTTGACTTCTCGAGGATCGATTTCGAACACTTCACTGAATTCAGCACTGATCGCTCCAAAGTTGTGGTGCCCCAACATGGAAAAACCAAAACCATGTGTTAAATCTTTACTTTCCAGGTTAACGAATTCCGGTTGATCTTCCGCGGTCAATATTTCGATTTTTCTGCTGCCTTCGGCTTCCGTCACCTCGATTTTAGGCGTCAACAATGTCGTTATAAAATCCAGGTTCTTAAATTCTTCCCCTGGTTTCGCCTTTTCGTAGGTGAACGTAAACTCGCCGGTATCGGAATCAAACGAGCTGTGCGCGTTTTCGTTCTCGATCAGGTCGCCCGGGAGAGTTAACCTCAAATAATACGGCCTGCACACGAACAAAAAGGCATTTTCTTCGACTGTCGCGTCCAAATCTCGCAGGTGCGTGTAGGGCGCGCGGATTTTGATCGTGCACGTGTTTTCCGATTGTTCCAAGCGAAAACGAGGCGTAATCATCGTTGTAATTAGCGAACGAAAATATCACATTGTTCTTTTCGAGGTTAGATGATTCAGGTTTGAAAACAATGAAACGCGCGTGCGCGGTTGTCAATCTTATAGAAATGAGCGGGAAATTTAAATTGTTTATTATTATTATATTTATATTAGGTGCTACAAGTCCTACTTCCAATGGTCCTAGAACGCGTTTTGGTAAGAATATTTATAAAAAGAAAGGGAAAATGCACTTCATTTATGTTTTCTACACCGTATAATACCCACACTGTTTTATTTGTTTTAAACACACTCTGTGGTTTTAAAACACTTGTGAACTGTCACAATGCTTGGTTTTTTGTAATTATTATCATAGATAACAACTTGCAAATGTAATAAAATACAGGGTGTCCCAAAATTTCAAGATAAGTTTCCTTTACTATTTTATCAAATTGCATTGCAATTTACATTTTTAGGGGCCAATACTAATATTATTGCCAATTATTGTCATTCAAATTTATTAAGTAAAATAATGTTATTTTATCTACAAAAAAGCGTTTTTTTCTTCATCTTAAATTTAACCTCTTGGTTAATGTTCCTTTTGGTTAAAAAGAAGGTAATATTTGGTAGTTTTTAGTTTTTTTGCCATTTTTTATCTACTTTTTAACTCTTTTTTTCTGATGAAGTGGTACATAATACTTTCATATTTTAAATGCGCTTTGATAAAATAAGAAATAAAGAATAGTATATTAAAGTACAAGTTGCAGAAGGCCACATATTCTCGCACGAATTCGAAATTTGGCCTCGAGCGACGAAGGAGCGAGTGGACGAACGAATGAGTGCCAGAATAGCCTTCTGCAACGTGTGATTTATACTATTTTCTCGATTTTAACTTTTATTTAGGTTTTTTTAATTGTTTTGTGGTCGTTGTTAGTTAGGGGATTTTTCTCGCAAAATGGCAGTTGGCAACACAAAATGACAATATTTGTTATCCTGCACAAGTACAACCTGAACTGCACTTTTTTACATTAAACTTAAAATTTTGCATTAAAATGCATTGTTGGAGCAAACTTAATATTACAAAACAATAATAAAGGCTTCATTTTCAATAAAAGTAATGAATTTGAGGTTATTAATCAGTTTGACATTTTGGAGGTACCAATACTTAAAAACTAAATGTTACCAAAAATCGTTTAAGAATGAGCTTCATTCTTCAACGATTTTGCGTGCGAGAATATGACATTCTTACATAAAAATCGAGAAAAACTTTTTTTTTCTTATTTTTTTTTCAAAGCACATTTACAATATTAAGTATTATGTAGGTACTACTTCATCAGAAGAATGAGTTAAAAAGAAGTTAAAAAAGGGTAAAATAAACAAAAAACTATCAAATATTACCTTCTTTTTAACCAAAAGGTACATTACCAAGGAGTTAAATTTAACTCACATAACGTTAATTTTACCATAATAATTATTGAATTAAGTTTAAATTGACTATAAATAAACCAAATATTTAACTAGTTAGTAATTTTACAAATGGGTTTCTTTTATTAGTTAAATTAGGGTCATTTTTAGTTCATAGTTACCTTTAAAAAATGTTAATGGTTGAATACAACTAATTGGTTAAAAACAAGTTTAAAAAACGGTATTTTACTTTTTGGGACAACCTAAACATGTATATGTTTGCATTATTTTTTGAATATCACTTTGTCTTTGTCTATTTGTTTTGCTTATACACACACAGGTGGCTTTTAAGAAAAAAAATAAAGCAATTTTGTAACACTTGCGTGTTTTAGGCGAGTCGAATGTGTACACTTTGGGCAACATTGGGGCGCACAGAATAGTGTGCACGAAGTTGCCTAGTGTGGGACACACCCGGGAGGCCATGACGGCCGCCGGAAATACTACGACTCGACTGCTGGGGACCTTCCAGAAAGTCGACTACGTATTTCTGGTCGGAGTAGGCGGCGGTGTCCCCCACTACACAGACTACAACAAGCATGTCCGATTGGGAGACGTGGTCATATCCTGTCCCACCAAAAACAAGTAAGATTTAGTTTTTTTTTATTTTTTAAGTAAATATTGAGCAGTTCAATTTTTAATAAAATTTTAACAGATTTAAATTTAATTTTTTATACAGCCATTATTATTATTTTAACCTATAGGTTAAAATAATATAGATTTTAATTCTCTATTTTTTATAAATCTTTTTTTTCAAGTATTGTATGTTTTTACAAAATAGATACAAAAATTATACTTAAAAAAAATAATAATTAAATTTTTTTTTGAATTTAAAGAAAATAATTTGTTTTTAAATTTTGATTTATTTTTAGTTTGACAACTTTGTTATTTCAAATAGAACACACCTTATATTTTTACATTTTTAAATTCTACATAATATTCTGAGTATAATTACTATACCATGTCCTATACCTACATACATATGTATATGTATATACATATATATACATATATATGTATATGTATGTATGTATATATATGTATATACATTGTATATGTATAATACACATTGTATATATATATATGTATATGTACCCTTATATAAATAAAAAAAAAGTGTGTTTGTTATTATGTGACCCTTATATTATAAATTATTGACAAATGTTAATATATAGTTTTATTTATCTGTATACTTTGATAAAGATGTATATTTTCACAGGGAGTGGCTAGTTACCCGAAAGGGTAGGCCGTAAACTCTGAAATTGATAAACTTAATGGGTTTTACTCTAAATAACTAAAAGAGTCTATTGTGAGAGATGACTACCGAAAACTTATTGAACTGTCTGAAATATTTTTGGGAGGACATCAAGAAAAGAAATGCTTACAAAAAGCTGAAATTTCATATAACAGTATATTTTAGCAATACTAATTAGTATATTAATATATTTAAGGTATAAAATCAACTAAATTAGTGAAACAAAAGCAATGATATTAATTAGTAATCATATTTAATAAAATCATTAGAAAAATACAGTCATGAAGTATATCTTCTTTTTAAAGTGTTTCGTGTTACAAAATACCGCGCGCTCCTAACGTTGTCTAACGGAGGGTTTAGATGCAAGTCGGCACGGGTTCCCGTTTATAGAATGAGCTGAAATTTTTACTGGGAGTATATAAACAAGTAATAAATGAGGACCCTAGAAGCCAAGGGATACAAGTGACATTTAAAAAAAAAAGTAGTTATGTACAGAAAAAGGTAGTAAATGGTACATTTTACTTGGTATCCAAGGGATATAACTGAATTCTAAGCTAAGACATGTTGAAAAACCGAGTCATAAAACCACAAACAATTTTGACCCCCAATTACAAGTGTTTTTTTACTTTAAAAATGATTATTTCAAAACTAAACAAAATGTACTTATACCCCTTGGCTTATAGGGTCCTCAAATATAATTAGAGGGTATGCGTAAAAAAATTAAAAATAAGGGACACCCTAATGTATATACTTTTGACCATTTTTGACATTTATTTTTTTGACACCATTTTTTAAAACTTGAACATTTCTGACACTTTTGAACATGTTTGACATTGGAACATTTTTGACACATTTGACCATGTTTGACACTTTTAAACATTTTTTATACTTTTGAACATTTTTGACACTTGACACTTTTTACCATTTCACTTTTGACAAATTTTGACCATTTTGGACATTTTTGACCATTTTGGACATTTTTGACCATTTTTTACCCTTTTTGGCAGTACCATTTTTAACACGACCATTTTGGTACATTTTTGACACTTTTGAACATGTTCTACACTTTTGACCATTTTTGACACTTGACATTTTTTTAAACTTTTTTACCCTTTTTGACAGTACGTGTAAAAAATGGTACTTACCATTTTTTACACGACCATTTTTGACATTTTTTACCCTTTTTGACAGTACCATTTTTAACACGACCATTTTTGACACTTTTGAACATGTTCGACACTTTTGACCATTTTTACGCATGACCGATCATTTTTGACACTTGACTTTTTTTTAAACTTTTTTACCCTTTTTGACAGTACCATTTTTTACACGACCATTTTTTACACTTTTGACCATTTTTAAAAACTTTTGAAAAAAAACATTTTTGACACTTTTGACCATGTTTGACTCTTTTAAACCTAAGGTGAATAGTTTTCGATTTATTAATTTTTTTCTTTAAAATTTGATAAAAGCGCGTTAATCAAATAAAGAAAATCTTAAAACATTGTTTAAAAGATTCCGTGTCAATTATTTAATATTTTTTAACAAATTACCCGAGAAAACTTAAAACGTTAATAACTTTCTTATTTTAAATGTTACACCCGCTATGTTTTTACATAATCAAATGGTAAATTTATTAACGTTTTAAGTTTTCTCGGGTATATATTCCCTATACCTAAAGTTAATAATTTAAGATATTTAACAATTTAGAAAATTTTAAATATTATTTTACATATATCAAGAAACCTGTGACGGGTGAGTTGACAGTATCTATGGTTACCACGTCATCTGTCATTGTTCATAATTTAATGGCGTCGATTTTCCATGTTGATATAAACAATTTGTTGACTAATTAAGTGTTTTGTAAACAATATTACTCATAAAAAATAGTGTAGTAAATGCTATTTTTGATCAGTAAAAACTTAGTTGGTCAACAAATTGTTTATAACAACCTGAAAAATTGACGCCATTAAACTTTTAACAATGACAGATTAAATGGTAACCATAGATACCGTCAAGGTTTCTTGATACAAAATAATATTTAAAATTTTAGAAATTGTAAAATATCTCTGAAATCATTAACTTTAGGTATAGGGAACAGTAACATCGATAGAAAGGTTTTTTAATTTACTATTTGATTATGTAAAAACATACCGGGTGTTACATTTAAAATAAGAAATTTTCCGAAACATTTTAGATACGTGTATTTGTACTGCGAAAACGCGACAGCCAAAGAAGGCGGCTTCGATTTCGAGATCAAACCGTACGGGCCGCAGAATCTGAACCTGCAGCGCATCGCCGAACAGTTGAAGTCGAACGCGGAGACGTCTGGCAACGGCGCCTCGTCGCCGCCGCCTTGGTTGAACTATCTCAGGGACGGACTGAGCGTTTTGGGCAGCAACGAGTCGGATTTCCAGGCCCCGAGCGCAGACACCGACAAGTTGTTTATGAGTATAGGGGAGAAGGATCTCATCGAGGTTTCGCATCCCGTGCCGCAGGACAAGTCGCTTAAAAGGTGAGAAAATTTTTGAAAACTTTTTTTTAATTTGTAACCTAAAAATTTATTGCAAACGTTAGAAAAAAAGTGGGATTAAAGCAGGAGACTTGGAATTCGTCCTGCAAAATTGATAGAGATAGACCGTCGCGACCCCTGCCTTCTAAAAAATCGAAAATCAAAAAAAGAATACTTAGGTGGGAAGTGTTTGTCTTTTATGGATAAATAACACATGCACTCTATTAGTTTTTATTACAACTAAATAAATACATAAATAATTGTGTATTTTAGACAGTTTTAGTGTAATTTGTTGGCCCACTTTCTAGCACATCCACCAGCATTGCTTATCACCAAAAAAATCAAAAAGAAAACTAGGGTTTAAAATTTTCGACAAAATTGAGCCGGCGAAAAAAAACGAAAAAATTGACTTTTGCATTTGTTTTATTTTATTCAAACAAAATGCAAAAGTCAATTTTTCTGAAAATTTAAAAACATTCAAACTTTTGTTTTCAATTTATAAAATTATAATTTTATAAGTTCTTGATTGACACGTTTTTAAATATGTATTTTCAAAAAAAAATCAATTTTTACCAAAAAAGACAATTTTTCCAATATCTGGACAAAAACCCGGAAAATGTAGAAAATTTTGACTTTTGCATTTGTTTCATTTTATTCAAAATGCAAAGGTCAATTTTTCTAAAAATTTACAAATTTTTACGGATGATATAATACAAACTTTCGTTTTATTTGACACTTTGATTTATAAAATTATACTTTTGTAATTTAACTTTACAAATCATTATTATTATTATTAATTTAATTCAAAGTTTTTTTTGGAATAAAGTATATTTTTTATTTATAAAAAATTTGTTGATTGACATTTTTTCAAACGTGTATATTTTCTAAAAAAAAAATAATTTTACTCAACAAAGCCAATTTGTCCAAGATTTGGGAAAAAACACTTTAAAACCCCAATTGGGGTTTTTCCGTTTTTTAAATCCTATTAATAGGGTTTAAAAAAACGGAAAAAGTGGGAAAACGTCAGAAAAATTGACTTTTGCATTTGTTTCATTTTATTCAAAATGCTAGTCATTTTTTCTAAAAATTTACAAATTTTTACGAATAATATTGAGAAAAAGGTGAATTTTCGACGCTGATTATAATAATTATTTAGTAAGAAAATTCTACCGGCCGAAACAAACATGTTTGGTGCTGTATACAAACTTTCGTTTTATTTGACACTTCGATTAATAAAATTATAATTTTGTAATTTAACTTTATAAATCATTCATTATTTTGTAATTGGAAATTTTAAATGGACTTTTTTTTGCAAAAAAGACCCAAACGACACTATATTTAACTATTACGTTTATTTTCTTAATTTAATTTAATTCAATGTTTAGTTTTTTTGTAATAAGGGATATTTTTTTAATTAAAAAATGTGTATATTTCCCAAAAAAGCCAATTTTTCCAAGATATGGTAAAAAACACCAATGCGGTTTAAAAAAAAACGGAAAAAGTGGTAAATTTTCAGAAAAATTGAATTGCATTTGTTTCATTTTACGGATGAAATCGAGACAAAATTTTCGACGCTGATTATAATCATAATATTATGATTATAATGATTATTCAGTAAGAATATTCTACCGGGCCGAAAAAAAAACATATTCGGTGCTGTACTTTCGTTTTATTTGACACTTCAATATTTTCAATGGACTTCTTTAAAATCAGTTTTTTTTCTGTAATAATCCTTTATATCCTTATCTTTTTTAAATTAATATAATTGCCACATTTTGTAAATGTGTAGATTTTACAGAAAAAAGTTTTTTCCCAATTTTTCTGACACTTTAAAACCCCAAGTAGAGATGCGACTTGAAAAAAAAAACTGTCCGTGTATTTTTGTTTTTTTTTAGTTTTTTTTTCTTTGTTTTTTTTTTCAAATGGTTTTTTTTTTCACATTTTAGGTTTTTTTTCAAGATTAGTCCCATTTACCTAATTTTTTATGTTTTAAAATTAGCTACTAAATGACTAAAAAAAGTAACTACCTATAATATTTTAGATTTTTCAAAAACCTACCAAAAAAATTCATGTAGAGTAAATAATAGCAAATTTTTGTAGAACATTTATTCATTGGTTCTCGAATTTTTTGATTACGGTATTCGTTAGGATTGAGCGTTGCACGTTTTTCATCTAAAAATTAGAAACTTCAAGCTTCAAATTGCTTTTTTTACGACTCCAATACGACAATTTTTAAGATACAGCTATCCGAAAAATCGCAAAAAATTTGGAATTTTTTTAATCCTTTAATTTTTTTTATTAGTGTTATGTAGAAGTTTTACATTGATATTGGTTTCTAATGTGGAAACTACCAAATAATAAGAAATCAAAATTTTCAATGGTGAAAAATAAAATATATTCTACCTAACCAAAATTTCATTTTGAAAAATTACTCCATTTTTTAAGATTGATGTTATTTATTGACAGAATATGCTTTATTGTAGCGGATTTGAAAAAAAAGGTTTTTTTTTTCATATTTTTTTTTCACATCTGAAAAAACCCGTTTTTTTACTATCCTAACCCCAAGTGAACCCAACTTTTAGGCTAGAAGGCTGCCCCCGGCTGCACCTCTCCCCCATCGCGTCCGGCCGCCAGGTGGTCAAGGACGACCGCCTGCGCCAGCAGTTCGCCGCCCAGGTGGGCGCCCTCGCCTTCGACTGCGAGTTCGACGCCGTCATCGAATCCGTGCTGGGCAACTGCAAGGACAGCTTCGTGTGCATCCGCGGCATCTCCGACTACAAGGACGGCACCAGGCGCAAGGAGTGGCAGCCTTTTGCCTCGCTGGCCGCGGCGGCGGTCATGAAGGCGCTCATCTGCGGCATGGAGGCGCCCACTAACGTTTAGACTCGACTGAAAGTTTTCCATTTGTTTTTCAACTCAACATCGACGTTTTTATCAACGTAGGCCTACGTTTTAAGGTGCACCAACAATTCTAGTTCAATCTAAATCAATTTTATCTGAAGATATTGCAAGCAGAACATGTACGTATTTACAATATTTATATAACCTCTTTTTTATGAATTATCTAAACTTGACAGACTTCTTTTTGACAGTCCCAATGACATTGAAAACCGTAGATTGACAATTTTTTCGAAAGTTGTTATTAAACGAGGTATTTTACAAAAAGCGTCTAAAGTCTATTCAAATCCAAGCTGGACTAAACAAAAACGCCCAGATGCGTGATAACTCGTTTCTATTGGTCGATTCTGATGGTGTGACTCGGATTGTGAGCTCTTATTGGTCGATTCGGAGAATTGTGTTTACATTTAGTACAGCTTAGATTTAAATAGACTAGTCAAAAATCTCTAATAATCATAATCGAAATTTTTAAATGTACAGAAAAAAAAAATTATTTTACAAAACGTGTTTTTTTAGAAATAATATTAAGATTACAAGAAAAAATATGGGGAATTTAATTATCTTCAAAAAACGTATTTAGAATTTTTTAAAAAGTATTTCACAAAAATTTGTGTTTTGGCATATCTTAAAAAATATTAAATGTACAGAAAAATGACATAATTTAATTATCTCCAAAAATTGACCCCTCAACTTTTAAAAAAATTCCCACAAAGCCATTTATTTTACAAAACGTGTTTTTTTTTTAAGTATTTTACAAAAATTGTATCTTGGTATATCTTAAAAAATATTAAATGTACAGAAAATTGTTATAAACAAAAATGACATAATTTAATTATCTCCAAAAATTAACCCCTCAACTTTAAACATAAATCCCACAAAGCCATTTATTTTACAAAACGTGTTTTTTTAGAATTAATATTAATATAACAAGAAAATATATGGGGAATTTAATTATCTTAAAAATCGTATTTACAATTTTATTTTACAAAAATTATATCTTGGCGATACCTACGAAAATATAAAATGTACAAAAACTCTCATAATTTAGTTCCCCAAAATGTTTTCAGAATTCCATTAATTGACGTACATTTTCTGCTTGTTTGGTGGTAAATTGTATATCATTAGGGTGCTAGACTACCACTGCTAAGTTTACAAATGTTAGATAACTTTGTTTAATAAATAAATTGAAAATGGTGTTATGAAATACATAATAAGAAATTTACGAAAGTTACCAAACGACGAGTTATTTAAGAAACTTATAGTTTTAGTTGTATAGTTAGTTTTTGATATACCTATTCCATTTTATACTTGCCCGTTTTTTAGTCACACTAAACCTAAGCCAAATTGTAATAAACTAGCATTGTAGTATTTATTTTATATCAGTTAGATAAAGGTAGAGTGTATATCTTGTTTTATTTATTTTTTGTGCTGTTTTTAATGAGAGAGTAATATATATTATTTTGTAGAAATAAATTATGACCTTAACAAATATGTTTTTTTTCTTCTCCCACCTTTAAAATACCGATTATTGTACATGTTTCCATGATACTATAGTATAAGTGACCTTTTAAATACACATTGACAAGTTGTGACTTTAGAGCGCTTAGTCACGGGTTGAAGTTAATTCAATTCAAACTTGATAAATATAGGTATACCTACTATTATTTTATATTGTACCTTCTTAAATACAAACTTGACATTAAAAATTATTTATTATAAAAAAATTACACATTTTATATCGTTTTGTATGATAGGTATTATCAAAGATGATTGTTTTATTCTTTTATTTTCTGTTCCCATTCCAACCAGCTTCCTTGATAATTCTTGACACTAAAACAAAAATGTTTTTTTGTGAAGAACCTAACCAAAAAAAATCAAAGTATTCATACTTCTGGTATCCTAATTTAACAGCAATATCAGCTGCCAAGCCGCTACGCCTTCCAGAACGGCAAGAAAAAATTATTTCCGTATCGAGCGATGGCTTATTTTTACCATACAACTTTCCAAATTCTTCAGACGACAAATCCTTAAGCGCTTTTTCGACATCCTTCACTAACAAAAAATAGTTAATTGCTATTGATTTTATTGTACAAATATATAGATACTCACAGGGTATATTAATACTTCCTGGTATAACGCCAAATTCTTTTAATTCCGACGGTTCGCGAACGTCAATTAAAACTACGTTTTTATTTAGATTTTTCACTTCATCAAAGGTCGCGATTTTCACTGACATTTTCGTGCTTGATAACTGCAAAACACACGCAAACAATAAACCACCAAAACACAACTTCAACATGTTATAATAATTAATTTTATCACTACAATTAAACCAATATTTTTTAACTATTGGATAGATATTTTATATCTGTGTTGAAATGATTATTAATTCTGAGAGATTAAAACTTGAAGTCCTTGAAAAAATGTTAATTACTTTCTTATTACTAGTCATTCAAAACAACTGGTATTTTTTATTAGGAGGGGAAATTAAAAAAACGATAATTCTAAAATTTTACTAAAACAAAATTTGTTGTTTATTAATAACAAATATAATTATAATTGTTAACACTGATAAATCCCACCATAATTTTAAAAATAAATCCAATTATTTTATTGGTTGGATCATTTTTTATTAGTATCCCAGTCAATCCAACCTCCCAAATAATTTTTTACACTAAAAAATAAAAGTCTGTTTGTGATAACTATCTTAAAAAAAAATCAAATGTAGAAAAAACATGAATAACAAATTTACAACAAGGTCTTTAAATAATAAAATACCTACTTTAAGTATCCCATATTTTGAACAATCGTTTGGGCTTTGGCACTTCTGATTCCCGCTTTACAGGAAAAAATAATGGGATCGCTAGGTGCTGGTTTAGGTTTACCATACTTTTTAAGAAAAACCTGATCAGTGGTTTGCGTAAAAGCCACTTCCACCTCTCCTACTAAAAACAAATGTGTAAATATAATCAATTAATATTTTTAATTCTTTAATTCTTTACAAGGTATATTTATGCTTCCAGGTATTACTCCCGTCTCCTTTAATTCCAGTGGTTCCCGTACATCAATCAACACAACATTTTCTTCAGGTTTAATTTTTTTTATGTCTTCAAAAGTTACGACGTTCACCTCTGTTGAGAAATATTTAGAATTTATTACATCTAAAAAACTGAATAAATAAATAGAGATTACATAAGTATTTTTAACAAACTATAAACAAATGTTTTGGAATTTCCTATATTGACTACTTTGGACGAATAACTTTTAAGGGCAGTATTAAAAACCGAAAATAGCAGCTTTCCACTGAACATTTTTCGAATTTTCTATTATGACAGCCACCTTGGCATTGACAATAGTTCAGTGCCGCCAACGTTGTAGAGAATTATCCCCATGTCACTACTTAGGGCAAATATTTAAATAAATCGGCTTCGAAATAACTCAATTTACCACAATTTCGATTTTATAATTCATTATTAATAAAATAAGGTTTTATTAATCGAATTTTAATGGGGATGGTGCGTTTTTAAAGGGGTTTGGTGTGAAATTTTGTTATGGTGACTAACCTGCATTACGTCATTATCCCGAAATGAAATGGTGTACGTGAACGGGCGTTGTAAAATAAAATAAATAGGATTTATTGATAATTGCCGGCGTAAATAAAATTATAATCGAGTGCAATTTTTACCCGGTTTTTAGTTTTTAGTGCTGTAATTACTTAAGTAGGTAAGTTGTTTCTTTTCCTGACGATTTTTTAATCTAACGGTATGTTAATTTTTATCGTGAAAATTCGTGCAAAATATTGTTTAGAATGTTAGATTAAGTCTGAAGTTAAGATGTATCGTGATAATTAATGCAGTATTTATAAATAACAGCAGTTTCTTTGTGCATGATTCATTTCATTGATTTTTTTGGTAGGCATAAATGTCAAATAGAGTCCATAAATAATAAAGTAGAAAATACCCAATTTTGAATGTCTAAACTGTACAATTTAGTATTCAAACAGTTTAATTTGTACTTTTAGCAAAATGTCTGACAGAAGGGCAGAACTGGAAAGGAAAAAAGCAAAATTGCAAGCATTAAGGGAAGAGAAAGACCGAAGGCGAAGAGAAAAGGAACTCAAAGATGTTGAGGAGGCGGCAAATCGCACTATTTTGGGAGGCGGAGGCGACAGAAAAGAACTGGACGAGATGCTCAGCTCCCTTGGCGTTGCCCCCGTCTCCGACGTTCTTTCCAGCATATCCAGTGCTAATTCCCTCACTCCAGAGCACAGTATGAACCACACGCCCGATACTTCCTTGCAACCTCACAGTCTACCCAACAAGTAAGTTTTTTTGTGATATATCTAGAAATCATCAAAAACCCTTTAAAATGACATATCACAAGTCATATTTTGTCCAAAAACAAGAAAGGAATCAAAAAAACCAAAACTGATCTAGATTGCCATGAAAAATGTATTTTTGTCCATATCTCGTTTGTTTTCTGAGCAAAATATGTCGAGTTGGGGTTCAAAAAATAGGAAATTAAAATTCCTATCAAACACTAAAAAAATATACACTCAAACCAAATATTTTAAATCAATTTTAAAAAACATGGTATTATAATAATTATTTATATTAAACATCATCAAAAACCCTTTAAAATGACATTTCACAAGTCATATTTTGTCCAAAAACAACGAAGGAATCAAAAAAATTAAAACCGATCTTAATTGCCATGAAAAGTGTATTTTTGGCCATATCTCGTTTGTTTTCTGAGCAAAATATGGCGAGATGGGATTTAAAAAATAGGAAATTAAATTTCCTATTAAACAGTAAAAAAATATACTCCAAAAACAACGAAGGAATCAAAAAAACAAAAAACGATCTAGATTGCCATGAAAAGTGTATTTTTGGCCATATCTCGTTTATTTTCTGGGCAAAATATGCCGAGTTGGGATTTAAAAAATAGCAAATTAAATTTCCTATCAAACAATAAAAAAATATACAATCAAACGAAACATTTTTTTAAATTTTATAAACATGATTTTATAATTGTATTTATACTAAAAATCATCAAAAACCTTTTAAAATAACATATCACAAGATATATTTCGTCCAAAAACAACGAAGGAATCCAAAAAATAAATGCTGATCTAGATTGCCATGAAAAATGTATTTTTGGCCATATCTTGCATATTTTTTGAGTAAAATATATCGAGTTTGGATTCAAAAAATAGGAAATTAAATTTCCTATCAAACAGTAAATAAATATACACTCAACCCAAATATTTTGTCTCAATTTTAAAAACATGATATAAATATTGTATTTATACTAAAAATTTTCAAAAACTCTTTAAAATGACATATCACAAGTCCAAAAACAACAAACGAATCAAAAAAACAAAAACCGATGTATATGCCATCTAAAATGTGTTTTTGGCCATATCTCCTTTGTTTTCTGAGCAAAATATGTCGAGTTGGGGTTTAAAAAATAAAAAATTAAAGTTCCTATCAAACAGTTAAAAATATAAACTCAAACCAAATATTTTTTCTCAATTTTAAAAACATGATATTATAATTGTATTTATACTAAAAATCATTAAAAAACCTTAAAAATGACATATCACAAGTCATATTTCTTCAAAGAACAAAAAAGGAATTAAAAACCAAAAACTGATCTAGATTGCCATGAAAAGTGTATTTTTGGCCATATCTCGTTTTTTTTTTTCGAGAAACATGTCGGGTTTGGGTTTAAAAAATAGGAAATTAAAGTTTCTATGAAACAGTAAAAAAATATACACTAAGACAAATGTTTTTATCAATTTTAAAAACATGATGTTATAATTGTATTTATACTAAAAATCATTAAAAAACCTTAAAAATGACATATCACAAGTCATATTTCTTCAAAGAACAAAAAAGGAATTAAAAAACAAAAACTGATCTAGATTGCCATGAAAAGTGTATTTTTGGCCATATCTCGTTTTTTTTTTCGAGAAACATGTCGGGTTTGGGTTTAAAAAATAGGAAATTAAAGTTTCTATGAAACAGTAAAAAAATATACAATTTATTATATTATTTATCAATTTTAAAAACATGTTATAATTGTATTTATACTAAAAATAATTAAAAAACGTTTAAAATAACATACATCACAAGTTATATTTCGTCAAAAAACAACGAAGGAATAAAAAAAACAAAAACCAATTTCCAATCAAACATTAAAAAATAAACACTAAAACCAAATATTTTTATTCACGTGTTGAAAACATTGTATTTATACTAAAAATCATTAAAAACCCTTTAAAATGACATATCACAGGTCATATTTTGTCCAAAAACAACGAAGGAATCAAAAAAACAAAAACCGATCCAGATTGCCATGAAAAATGTATTTTTGGCCATATCTTGCTTGTTTTCTGAGCAAAATATGTCGAGTTGGGTTCAAAAAATAAATTACAATTATTTTATTTCTTTAAGTGTGTTGGCATCGAAGAAACGATTGCCATCGCTAACGGTGAATGCTGTCCAAACAACAAATATTCCTCCCAAGGAAGTCGTACTTTACACCAAACAAACGCAAACCAACACCACGGGAGGTCACGAAAGAGACGGTAAGTCCATGTTTGGTACATTTTTATTTTTACATTCAAGTCGAACAGATCTAATAAATAGTTTTTATTTTGGTTGCACTGGTTTTAAACGCTCTTAGTTACAAAATAACATAGCATACCTTCTTATGGGAACAATTATTTATTATATGCTTAACAAATTCTTTAGCAATTAGCAAATGATTAAAAGAGAACAACTACAAAATGTTTTTATACTTGCAAAGTTGTTACAAAATTGTTTTATTTTAGGCTTTTAGTTTTGGTTTTAAAATTAATACTTGATGACAATAAAAAGTAACAAAAAAGTGGCATGATGTTTTTTTTTTAATTTAAGAAATTAACTTTGTATGTTACTTTTTTGTAGGTTGTCTTATTTTGGTTGCAAAAATAGTTTTTTAATTTGTAATGCCTGGTTTTCAGTAGCTTTTTGGGTTTTAGTTGCATAGGAGAAGGTGGTAATATTTTCATATTATTTTTTTAATATGAAACAGTTTTAAAATATCTCCCTAATATATTACAACCAGGGTTACAAATTCATCAACAAAAATCTCAAAAGTAATTGTTTTTTAAAACCTATAAAACTTATTACCACCTTCATATTCATTGCTTGATATTAATTGTTTAAAAAACTGACTTTTGTGTCTATATATTTTGCTGCTAGATTTAATATTCGGATACTCATGGAAAAAGTGTGAGTACTTACCCCTTTAGAGCAGTTTCTATTTGGTTAGTATCAGGCATAGTTTAGAATAGATTTTGTAGTTGGTTCTAAGATTCTCTGGTGATTACCATTCAATTATTTTCATGATGAAATGCACAGTCAATTCATTAATTTCTTGAATGAATTTAGGTTTCACTCACAAATCACTTAGCACTTAAAAGACCAGTGTAATTTGTTTTATTTGATATAAAAAATAGTCCTTGTAAAGGTGGAAACCAATTATGTATCTACAGGGTGTTAAGGAAATTGTTACCATAACTTTAACAAGGCAAGCTTATCTCAGAAACTACTAGTCACAAAAAAATTGTTATTTTTAATGAAGCATCTTGTATTTTTTTTCCACAGACTTTTTAAAATTTAAGTACTTTTTGAGTACACTAAAGATTCAAAAAAGTTTCTTCAAATCTAGAAATTAGCTAAAAGTTAAAAACAACCAAGTAAAAATTATTATTTTGGCTTAGGTCTCATGTCAATTTAAGTTTAAAATAGTTCATTTTTTTGGTGGAACATTCTATATTTTTTATATTGTATTTGGATAGAAAAACTGTTTATAAACAAGGTGTCCCTGAAATGCCAGTACAAAATAATACCACACATTTCTGAGACGGAAATAATGCGATATAAGGGGCATTCCACGTTACTCGGTAATTTTTGTCCCGCCCTTCACAATTAAAAATTGTGAGTAAAAACCACAAGTTATTAAATTAATATTTTATAATATTATTTTTATATATGCTTATAACTTATTAAAAGCATAATAAACAATATTTTAAAATAAATTTTATAACACAATTTTTAATTGTGACGGGCGGGATAAAAATCCTCGAGTAACGTGGAATGACCCATAACTAAATTTACTTCTATACAAAAGTTAATGATTGTCAAAGTTTGTTTTCGATTTTATTTCAGGACGGAAAAATTAAATTTCTTAAATGGCCATATTTTTTTGCGCCTCAGTGTATTTACGTTTTTATAAAAAAATATTACTTTTTTTATTTTGATTAATTGTGATTAATTTTTTTTAAGTAGGTTACTATAAAAAAATTAAGAGGCGCTACAAATTTAGTAACTGTCATTGTTTTTGAAAATTTTATGTTTTTAAATATTTTAAAAAAATATTCATTTTATCTACAAATTAATCAATATAAGAATGTTGGTCCCAGAAAAATCCGAAATAACTGCATCAATTTTTTTGTGATTTTTGATTTCTGAGATAAATGGTTCACCCTGTACATTAGACTGGGGTGACAAAAAAAAATTATGGTGAAAGTTTGTCCATAATATTAATATTAAGAGGTCTATCATCGCAATTTTAGATTTTTTTTCCTGAGCGAGTTTTTGTCTCAGAACTCCGAAATCATTGAGTTTAACAAAATTGACTTAAGAATATTTTTTGAAGAAAATTGAATGCTCTACAAAAAAGGTTAAAGTGAAATTTTCCGTCAGATGAACCGTTTTCTTAAAATCATGCCTTAAAAATTGGTATAGTTTTACATTTTGATCTTTTAAATTGGAATTTTGTAATTCATGTAAAAATCAGTACCTACCCATAAAAAACCGATAAATATCCTTATGGGAAATCAAATGCTTTACAAAAAAAGCCTCGCTGAGGAAAAAATAAATTAAAATTGCGATGATAGACCTCTTAATAATAATATTATGGACTCAAACTTTCACAATAATTTTTTTGGCCCAGTCTACTGTACATATCTTCTTAAAACTATATGTATTGAAGATTGCACATTGTGTACAAGTTGGTTTCTGCCTTGCCATTAGAAATAAGTTTGTTGGTTATTTTTGATATGCGTTGCTAACAAGGATCTTCTTCGTCTTCTTCCCCACTAAAAGGCTACATGGAGGACTGGTGGAGGCCTCGCAAAGGTACGGTGCGCACGTTTCAGTAATAAACATTACCCAACATGTTAATTACGATTAATTATTAATGTTGTATCTACCTACCGTTAATTATTATTATTTTAATATGCACTGTATCTATCCACACATCTACAATTTGCACTTATACTAAGCACCAAAAAACGACTAAATACCACCTATTAATTGTTATAATTTGCTCTTTCGACAATTGTTGATTTTAAACACATTCAATTAAATTAAATAATGTGCACCATCTCATCTTTTTATCTTCTTCTATCTAGCAGAGCTTATTGCGTATTCTTTTCGTTTTAGATTATTTTTTCTGCGAAATTTCAGCTTTTAAACGTTCCAAGGGCACTGAATTTAAATTTTCGACGCTCGACGATTTAAATTCAATGTTTGTTTTAACCGATAATTATAATATGAATAATGAAAATTTTCTTCCTTTCCTTCCCAGCTCATGCAACCGATTATTACGGTAAGTTACGATTTTTATTTTAATATTCGCTTTTCTGGCATTTCCAATCATCTTTTCAACCTTTCCCCCCGAGAAAACACGACTACGAACGAAAATTATCGAATACTTTTTATTTCCATGAAAGAGCACATGAGTTACTAACGAAAAATAATACTAACAGCATGTAAAAAAATCTGGTAAAAAGTTGTTGCGTAAATATTGTCTTTTTTGTATTAAAAATAAATAAATAAATAATGAGAGAATATTTGTGCAATGACGTGGTAATGTTAGAAAATTCACCCTACTACCTAGTAACACAGTTAGTTTGTGCAGCATTGCAAAAGTTTTTGCTCCAAATTTCAACAACCAAAAGTAGACAACCTTTTTAATAGCATTGAATTAATACAATAATAATAATAATAACACAGGTTTACGCGGTTTTGGAAATGAGCAACGAAAAGGTTTTTCTGAATTTTTTGTGCTGATTTTGTATATAAATGATTTATTTTGTTATAAAATTATTTTTTTTTCCAAAAACTCATTTTCAACATGTTTAGATGTTGCATTCTTATCTATAAATCTGAATCGTAAATTTTTTCAATAAATTTAAATAAAAAAAAAAGAAAAAATTAAAATCTGAGCTGGTGGCAGGATATTGAGTCAGCATGAAAAATTCCAAAATAAAAACTTTTCTCTTGCTTTCAAAATTCAAAATTCGACCGGCACTTGTAAACCTATGTAATAATTTTTGATGATTTCTATTCCCTACTGATACTGATGTTTCTTTCCTCCTCAATTCAAACAAAAGACGAATACAACCTAAATCCGGGTTTAGAGTGGGAGGACGAGTTCACAGGTAGGTGGATTTTCCGAGAGATCTCGTCTCACCAGACTTTCCTTTTTATATTAATAATAACTTTGCACATTTACTTTGCTTAGTACCTACCTACCATCAAACAGTAAACTTAGTAAAACTTTTGGAATGACTAGATTAATAATCACTCACTCACAACCGAACCATGGGCGGTACCAAAATATTTATCATTCTCTATTACAAATGGGTGATAACTATTTTGTTACTCACTAACGGCGTTTGACAGCACTTTTGTCGGCAATTTTATTCGTTGACTTTTTACAACTCAAGGAATAAACATTTACAAATTTATAATATAAAAACGCCACACTAGTATCTCCATTTAAAGAGTTTTATCATGGAAATAATATTATTTCTATGAGTTTCATAAATAAATAAACCAGTAGGCTATAAGTCTAGGCCCGTACAAATTCAGCGGTGCCAACGTAGTAAAATAAAAACGTTGTATTTTAATGACAAATTACTCTACCTTATTACAAATTAAAGATTTATTGAAAACTAAAAATAAAAAAATAAGTAACAATATAAATTGGTTACTTGTTTTTATCACGGCGAAATTAACGTTTAAAACTGTCATATTTTTGTGTTTCTTAGGTTGGCAGCACGAAATTTGAAATGACAATTAATGTACAATAAAAATGCATTACAAAAGTGTTGTTTTAAAATAATTAATATCTAAAAAAGTGCTTGAATGATAAAAAGGACAACTGGTTTATTAATTAATATCGTTGCATGTCGTAATTATTGTTGCAAAAGCATGGCGGATTCAATTTTGTTTAATTGGGATTTTGAAAGTGAAAATTTAGGCGTTTAATGTTCTAATCAAATTCTACCATCATTCAATCTCCTGTTCTATCGAAAAACTACCCGTTTCCAACCCGTCTTGCTTCATTTGCTATTCTGAACCTCAAAAGCATACTGTGGACTTTTTTTGAAAGTTAAGTTTAAATATGATTTGTTTTCTGACTTGAAATAGTTAGCTTCTGAGGTTTGTATTACTGTTTGTTTTAATTTTCATTGTGTATGTAGCCAAAGGAAGTAACAAAGAACTATTTATTAACGTTGATGTTTTTGTAATGCTTCTTTGGTATAATTTGTTGTTTTTCAAAGCGAAATTGTCGTAAATCTAATATAACATAATATGTTATATTATGTAACACAGGCCTGTAAAAGTTACAGTATTATTTCTCTTAAACAATATCAAAATATTGGAGCAAAATTCGCTTTGAAAGGCAATAGAGAGTGTGAATGTGCGTGGCGTGCGTTGCGTGTCTGGGAACGGCCCCAATATTCACCACAGTTTTGACGTATGACGATGGACAAGGCGAGGAAGACGAGGGCAGCTTACCGCACATGGGCGGCTACGGGAGCAAGCTGCCGCCGGGAATTTTACCGCACGGTCTCCCCCAAGTCAAGGAGGTGCAGCCGGCTCAGACGCAGCTCGAACAGGAGCAGAACAAGCAGGAAGTCAAAGAGGGTAAGTGCGCGCGACTTTTGACAACTTTGACAAGCTGTGACTTTATGGCGTTTTAGTCGAAGTTAGCAACAGTGGTTTTCGGGGCTTTTAGTCACGTGCTGACATTAGCTTTAAGTTTTTTGTGCCATTGAATAAATTGAGAATCAATAAAAAACGTTAAAATAAAATTATTTTTTTTAATAAACTTCAGAAATACTAGGTGTTGTTGCATACATATTTTTTGAAGAACATAATATTATTTTATTTGATATGCGTTAAATTTTGTTTTCATACTATAAGCAGTAGCGTCACTACGGGAGTGATAATATCTCTTTTTAGAGAAAAAGGTACGCGAATGATCTAAAAAAAAATACACATTCACTTAAATTAAATTTTATCATACGCTGTCTAGTTTTTTTTATCAAAGTTGGTGCTGAACATTCTGATCATCTCTTCTAATTTTTATTTAGTTTATTTCAAAATAAACATTCTTGATTCCTTACTATAAATTACTAAAAATGAATGAATGAATTAAAATTTTACTTCCTACATTTTCTTAAATTAACTGTTAATTTTATAAATGTAAAATAATGATGTGATTATTGGCGTACCTTTTACTTCAAAAATAGATATTATCACCCCCGTAGTTACGCCACTGCTTGCACGATGAAAACGAATTTAATGCCTAACCATAGTACCTAATAAAAAAACAATACTCACCAAATGTGAATTAAATTTACTAGAAATTATTTTTTTTTCAAAAAAGTATGTATATGCAACTTTAATACCCTGTATTTCTGAAAGTGTTGAGTTTTCAATATAAGTGTAGGTATTAAGAAAATTAATATTATGTAAACGTTATTTATTAATTCTCAAATAATTAAGGGTTCCTTTTTGACCACTCTGTATAATGAATGATTTTTAGAAAGTGAGGTTATAATCCTAGATCTATGGTTAGAATCATCTAGATCTCAGATTTATTTATTTTCTAAAATTATTGAATTTTAGTAATTAGTTAAATTAATTTTAGACTTTAAAAAAAGGTTGCAATAATTTATTTCTAGTGTTTATAAAAGCCAAGTAAAGTCTAAAAAAAATATATTTAAAACTGTGAAATTACATACATATTAATTACATACATACCTTAAACACAGTTAAATGTTTATTAAACTAAAAATCTGCATTTTTAGATTTTTAAAATATTCAATATAATTGCTTTATGAAAACGACTGACAAAACTATGAAATTTAAAAAGTATGGCTTAAATAAAACTGAAAACTTCCTTTTTAAAAAATGTGTATAAGTAATCCATGATTCTAAAACTAAAAAAAAAACAAATCAAAAAAAAAAATTTGTAAAATTCGAACATTTCGCTCCAGTTAAAGAACTGAGCGAGGAGCAGAAGCAGATGATCATCCTTTCGGAGGAGTTCCAACACTTCATGGACAGGGCGGGGCGCGTGATGGAGCGCGCCATCTGCGAGGCGGTCGACATCTACACTGACTACAGCGGCGGCCCGGGCGAGGACGGCCAGGACGAAAAATCCCACCAACGTCTCGCCCTGAACCGCTGCTTCTACGACGAGAGGTGAGCACCTCTTCCTTCTCTCATTTTTACATACATTTTGAAGACAAAATTTAAATACACTTTAACTTTTTGTTAACAATTTCCCTGTTTTAAAACTTTTTTTTACGAAATTATGATAAAAAACCATTCACTTGGTAATTTTTGTGTGTGCCAGTTGCTGATAGCTTAAAGCTGGCGCGCACCGTTCAATAGTATTGGTGGAATATTAAACTCTCTCGCAAATTTTCTTTAATTTTGGGAATTTGTAAAATAGTCTAAACTTTCTGAAAAAAATGCAGTTTTGAAACAAAAGTGATTTTATGTATAGTTTTTCTATTCAAAAAATTACTTTTGTGGTTCAAAAATGCATTTTCGTGGGAAAATCGACTATTTTACACGTTTATAAAATCAAAGAAAATTTGAGAGCGAGTCTAAAAAACTAAAAAATTGGCCGGGGACTGTACTGTATATATCTTTCCGAAACTCAGGTGGTCCAGGAACCGCGTGGTGACCTCGCTGGACTGGTCCACGCAGTTCCCGGAGCTGCTCCTGGCTTCCTACAACCACAACGAAGAGTCTCCCAACGAGCCGGACGGCGTGGTGCTGGTGTGGAACACGAAGTTCAAGAAGTCCACGCCCGAGTACGTTTTTCACTGTCAGAGCGGCGTGCTGTGCACGACTTTCGCGCGTTTCCATCCCAACTTGATTCTGGGCGGGACTTATTCGGGACAGATCGTGCTGTGGGACAACCGGGTGCAGAAGCGCACGCCCATTCAACGGACGCCGCTGTCCGCGTCTGCGCACACGGTAAGTCGCTTTGTTTCGCTCCACTAACTACCGAATCAAATCTTGATTTGAATATTTATATTTTACCTTATCTTTTCTTATTTAGCAATTTTGAATTCTGCAAAATTTTTCTCAGATGATTTCATTTTTGATAAAAGTTATTGTTTGATTTCAAACCTCCAGAACATGCGACACATCATTTTGTTGTTTTTGGTTAATTTGAAATTGAGATTTTTCTGAATTTTTTTTTATAAAAATAATTTTTGGTCAGTTTTCGTTCATTTGTCATTTCTAAAACTTCCTGTAAAATAGAGCCGGCGAAAAAAAAATGGGAAATATTTAGAAAAATTGACTTTTGCATTTTTTTCATTTTATTTAAAGGATAATTCGAAAAAAAATGCAAAGTCAATTTTTAAAATGTGTATATTTTCCAAACAAACTCAACTTTTCCCAAAAAAGACAAATTTTACAAGGCTTGAAGAAAAAAAACGGAAAAAATAGTTTTTTCCCCAATTTTTTCGGTATTTTTTTTCGACAGCATAAGACATGTTTAAAGTTAATATATAATAGTTATTTTTGATGCTAGAATGCAAAATAATTTTGAAATAGAGTATCAAACAAAATTTTTTCGAAAACTGTTTATCACAAATTGAAAAACCAGTTTGTTTTTCCAAAAAAGAAAACCGGAAAAGTTGGGATATTTTCAGAAAAATTGACTTGCATTTTTTAATTTTATTTAAAGGGTAATACAAAAAAATGCATAAGTCAAATTTTCTGAAAATTTCCCAATTTTTACGGATAATTTCCGGACACTGATATCGAGAAAAAAGTGTCAAGTTGTTGATTGCTACTTTTTTTTTAATGGGTAGGTATATTTTTCAATTGGATAAATTATTCTTTCCGAAAAAAGACAAGTTTTCCAAGGCTTTTTTTTCGACAGTATAAAACGTTTAAAGTTATTTTTAAATAGTTCTTTTTGATGCTAGAATGCCAAATAATTTCGAAATCAAGTATCAAACAACATTTTTTGAAAAATGTATCTCGCAAATTGAAAAACCGGTTTGTTTTTCGAAAAAAAACGGAAAAATTGTGATATTTTCAGAAAAATTGACTTTTGTATTTTTTTCATTATATTTAAAGGGTAATACGAAAAAATACAAAAGACAATTTTTCTAAAAAAATTCCAATTTTTACGGATAATTTCCGTACACTGAAGTTTTCCAATTGGAAACATCAATTTTTCCCAAAAAAGACAATTTTTCCAAGGCCTAAGAAAAACAAAAAAAAACAGGTTTTTCCCCAATTTTTTCGTTTTTTTTTCGACAGTCTAAAACCCTAGACATGTTCAAGGTTTTACTTTTTAATTTATCGGCAAATAGTTATTTTTGATGCTAGAATGCTCAAGAATTTCAAAATCGAGTATCAAACAACATTTTTTCGGTGTTGTTGCTTTCTAGAACTGTAGGTAATGAAGTGAAGAATTTTATCAATGGACTGTATAGAAAAAGTATACTTAAACCTAACTAACTGCTAAGAAAATATTGTCACTTTTTTGAATTAGTGGCTTTGCCCGTTTGGTAATAGCGGAAATAGGAAATTATTACACACTTTTGGTACTTGAAAAAGGACAACTTTGGTGATATGTTAAACAAATATTAAAAATATTTGTGTTTTGATTTAGTGTTGGGAAATATTTCAATATTTGTTTAACTTGCTTTAACTTGTGTGTTGCAGCACCCGGTGTACTGCATGTCGGTGGTGGGTTCGCAGAACGCGCACAACCTGATCAGCGTCTCGACGGACGGCAGGATGTGCTCGTGGTCGCTGGACATGCTGGGGCAGCCGCAGGAGATCCTCGACCTGCACCGGATGCAATCGAAACCGGTCGCGGTCACCTGCCTCGACTTTCCTCACTCCGACATCAACAACTTCGTCGTCGGCAGCGAGGAGGGCTCGGCCTATTCCGCCTGTCGCCACGGAGCCAAAGCAGGTTACAAGTTTCATCCTTTTTTTCACACCGTTACTACCTCACTTTTCAGTTCTAAACCATCGAAATTAGGCACAAATAAAAATTCATATAAATTAAAAATGGACATTTTAAAGTGTACCAAAAAAATTGGTAATCTAAAATAGCAAAAAACTCAAAAAACAAATTTGAACGTTTAGACTTCATCAAAGCTATGTAGTTTTTAAGCGTCAAAACAGTCATGTGATCTGTTTTGACGCTTAAAAACTACATAGCTTTAGATTGAAAAGGCATCTTAACGATGAAATAAACAAATAAATTTTTTTCAATTTTTTTTTATATACATTATTTTCAAATACTTAGTTTTAATTTTTCTTTCAACTTCAAAAATTGAGAGCTCAGAAAATTTCTACTCACCACCAATTTGGCACCAATACCTATAAAGACAATAAAAGAATTTTTATTTTTTAAATGACGGCCATTTTGATAAAAAAAGTTGATTCATTCGCCATTTTTAAAAATATGCAAATGTGTCAAAAATGGCGAATGCGCCGGGATATTTATATTAAATTTCACATGTTATGTTTAGAAAGTAAAATTTCTTTTATTTCCACCTTCTTAGTAAATTACATTTTATAGGTTAATTTTCTTTTAACTTTGAATATTGTAGGCTTAGACAATTTCTACTCACCACCAATTTGACAGTAAAAGAAATTTTATTTTTATTTTTTAAATGACTGCCATTTCGATAAAAAAAATTGAAAAATTTAAACCTGTTTTAATTAATTTATTAATTCGCCATTTTGTAATTATGAAATTTTGCAAAAATGGCGAATGCGCCGGGATATTTACCTCAAATTTCCCATTTAAGTTTTACATATTAGGTAACAATGTTATTTTTAGAAAGTAAAATTTCTTTTATTTCAATCTTCTTAGTAGATGACATTTTATATGTTAATTTTGTTGTTTTTAAAACCAAGTAAACAATAAATTATGGAAACAGACTTGTTATGTAATTTTTGTGTAAAAGACCTGTATAATTTAACAGGCTTGTAAAAAAACAAATTACAGGTCTGTTTACATAATTTATTGTTTACTTGGTTACAAAAACAACAAAATTAAAACTATAAAATGTGGAAATTAAAGTTTTCAATTTGAAAATCGCCATATGAAGGCGAATATAAAAGTTTTTACGTGTCACACTTTACGATTAATCTTTACTACGCAAACTTTCACCTCGTACCAATCTTTATACAATTTTGGATAAAAATACTGTTAATCTTACATCTCAGTTTTCGAGAAAATATTTAATAAATAAAATATATGCTGTGAAAGACCGTATAGTTGTAATGAACGGGGGATGGGGGCACACATTAATAATTAAAAAGAATATTAAAACCACAAAAAAACTACCTTTGGCCAAAACACGTGATCGTCTAGTTTAAAGAAATTAAGTTAGGACCCCTTTTTGTTGTGAATACGGTTCTGGATACGTAAGTACTTGAGCAATTGAAAAGATATTTAAAAAGTAAAGAAAAAGTATTAAATTAAAATAAGTTTATTAATAAAGACAATTAATACAAGAGTTAATTATTGTTACTGTACATTAATAATCTAAATAAAAACATTTGTATTTGAAAAGTATGATTGATTTAAGTTAATAAGGTAAAACCTTAAAAACCCACATATACAATACAGACATGCATATATGTCGCACATCTCAACAATATAAATAATACAACAAAATCAAAGTAATCAATATGAATATAATAAATTATATTATCATATTGCTAAGATTATTCACCTACATAAATGGTAGGCTCGGACGATGTAGAAAAGCAAATACACATTGAAACAATTATCAATGTACAGCAGCAAACAACAATAATGTGAAACATAAAGTATAATATAACTTAGGTCACAAGCAACAATAATAAATGGTATTTGTATAAATAAAATATATAAATAACAATTGGTGTAGTGGTGGACAAGAGTTATGCAATAAAATTGGTGTACAGTCATAAATGATACATAAATACAATCAGGTATAGTCAAGTAATAAAATTATGTCAGTGCAAATCAAATATAGTAAAATAAAATGATTATCAATAATAATAAAATAAGACAATGTCACAAAAACTCACATCATGGGCCCTACCTAGCATTTATTGTAAAGATGGGTGAATTGATACTTATCAGTCTCCGGGCTCGACCCCTTCGCCCGATACCAACACCGTTATACAATAAAAGAAAATTCTAACAAGTGTTTGGTGTGCCAAAATTGCAACAAAGCCTCAACATATTAAATAATGAATATCAATTTATCAAATAAATAAAATAAGATAAACTGTACAAAATCAAGTATGTAAATGTTAAATATAAATATGTAGTAAAATGTAAAATTACATTACTATATAATATGTTAAAGTAAATGTAATATAAATTAAATATAATAATTATAAACATAAAATAATGATTATATTAACTTTGTAATTTGGTTTGTCCACAACAACAATTAAGATAAAATAATTCAACTTATTATTTCTTTCATAAAGAACAAGTTGAAATAATAATAATAAAATATAGTTTAAATTAAATAATAAATAATTAACCACTCATTATGATATTTGTGACCTCAGATTATAATAACTAAATATATAAAAGACATACCTATTTAAATAAACACACTTTCACAAAACTGAATTTATATAAAAAAACAATGTAATATTTGTTAAATTCACTCCCTGATAAAGTTAAAGAATTCAACTCTTCCCTTCAAATAACAACAACCAACTGTCTACTTCAAATAACAAAACTCAACTAACTAAAAAATTCTGTCCTCTCTAGGTTTTTAACACGCTCTTTTTATGTTTATTTTTTAAGGCTAGAAACATGAACCAAAACTTGCTTATTTCGTCTTTCTGTAACGAACCCTTAAGTGGTCGTCCAGATGGGAGTCATAAATTAATATTGTATAATAAACAAATAAAGAATGTATGGAAGTGAAACTTATACCTAACACCTAATACAATTTTAAAAACAAATATTTAAAATTAGTCTCATATTTCGTAAAGCTTAAAAATAATAAATTAAGAAATGTTAAAAATTAACTGCCCCGTATAGTGTACCATTACATAGTATACCCTGAAAATGTTGTACAAATCAAACGTACAGAAACGAAAATACAGCGCTTTAAAGTCTTCATTTTTAAGCAAAATAATCAAAAATCATTTTTACCGACTTTGAAGCGCTGTATCTTCATTACTGTTCGTTTGATTTGTCCAAATTTTTTAGGGTGTACTAACAAAAATACGGTCTCTAACAGCATACTTTTTATTTACTTACAAAAAATCCTTTAAGATTCTGAAAATTTCAAATCGATATTTTGATTTCTAAAGGTCGCTCAAGATTTTTTAAATTTTCAAAGTAGAGTATTTTGAATATTTTCGATCGACCTCTGAATATAAATTTTAACGACTTTTAGAAATCAAAATATCGATTTGAAATTTACAGAATTTTTATTATTTTCAACCTAGATTTTTGACGATTTTGAAATTTTTTAAAAATTTTGAGCGACCCCTAAAAATTTTTTAATTGAGCTGATATTTTAACAGGGCTCTTACAGCATATTTTCACAAGAGACGAGAAACAAAAATATTCTTTTTTTTTTTGGGCCACCCTAATGTTTATACACTATTTTATAAAGATTGGTAAAGGCGTTTTAGAGTTATATTTTTTTTTACTTATGCCTTAATTAAAAAATGTAAATTGATAATACGAAAACAAATGTAGGTATCTCGGAAACGTACGACGGGCACCAGGGCCCGGTGATGGGGGTGTCCGTGAACGGCGTGCAGGGCGGCATCGACTTCTCGCACATGTTCCTCACCGCCTCCATCGACTGGACGGTGAAGCTGTGGAGCCTGAAGGACTCGAAGCCTTTGTACTCGTTCGAGGACAACGGCGACTACGTGCTGGACGTGAAGTGGTCGCCCGCGCACCCCGCCATGTTCGCCGCCGTCGACGGCAGCGGCCGGCTCGACCTGTGGAACCTCAACCAGGACACGGAGGTGCCCTCCGCAGGGGTGGTCGTCGAGGGCGGCCCGGCCCTGAACAAGGTGTCGTGGACGCCGAGCGGGCTGCACGTCACCGTGGGGGACAACCAGGGCAAGATCTGGGTCTACGACGTGGCTGAGGTAAGAATGTTCTTTGACATTTTCAGGACACTTTTACGGACAAGTTTAGCTACATTTTCATGACTTTCTTAAAGACATTTTTAATAAAATTAAGGGAAATTTTCAAAACACTTTTAGGAACTCTTTTAATCCAGTTTTAGGAAAATTTTCAACACACTTTTAGGAATTCTTTTAATACAACTTTAGGGAAATTTTCAAGACACTTTTAGGAATTCTTTTAATACAATTTAAGGAAAATTTTTAAGTCACTTTTAGTAACTCTTTTAATACAGTTTTAAGGTACAATTAAGGACTTTTTAATACGGTTTTATGGACATTTTTATTTTCTCTTTTAGAGACATTTTCAAGATACTTTAAATAAAGTTTTAGGGAAATTCTCAAGACACTTTTAAAAACTTTTAATACAACTTTAGGGAAATTTTCAAGACACTATTAGGAATTCTTTTAATACAATTTAAGGAAAATTTTCAAGTCATTTTAGTAACTCTTTTTATACAGTTTTAATGCACAATTAAGAACTTTTTAATACGGTTTTATAGACATTTTTATTTTCTCTTTTGGGGACATTTTTTTTTAATAAAGTTTTAGTGAAATTTTCAAGACACTTTTAGGAACTTTTTTAATGCAGTTTTAGGGAAATTTTCAGGAAACTTTAAGGGACAATTAGGGATTTTTTTAATACGGTTTTATGGACATTTTCATTTTTTTTTTCAGATACGTTTTCAAGATACTTTAAATAAAGCTTTAGGGAAATTTTAAAGACACTTTTAATAAAGTTTAAGGGGAAATTTTCAAGTCACTTTTAGGAATTCTTTTAATACAGTTTTAGGGAAATTTTCATTTCCCTTTCAGAGTCATTTTCAAGACACCTTTAAGAACTCTTTAATTACGGAAATTTTCAGGAAATTTGCAAGACACTTTTAGGAACTTCTTTAATACAGTTTTAAGAAAATTTTTAAGTCACTTAGGAATTCTTTTAATACAATTTAAGGGAACTTTTCAAGACACTTAGGAATTCTTTTAATACAGTTTAAGGAAAATTTTCATGAAATTTTCAACTTTTCACTTTTAGGAACTCTTTAAATACATTTTAAAGGAAATTTTTAGGAAACTTTAAGTGACAATTATGGACTTTTTTTAATACGGTTTTATGGACATTTTCATTCCCCTTTCAGATACATTTTCAAGACACTTTTAGGAACTTTTTTAATACAATTTAAGGGAAATTTTCAAGTCACTTTTAGGAACTCCTTTAATACAGTTTTAGGAAAATTTTCAAGTCACTTTTTGAAATTCTTTTAATAAATTTTAAGGGAAATTTTCAGGAAAATTATAGAAACTTTTTATTTTTAATTTATGGAAAATTTTTAGCAAAGGTTCAACCCACCTTTAGAAACTCCTTTAACGGACGGGACTTTGTAATAGTCCCGTCCATTACGCTTTAAATTATTAATTTTTAAGGAATTAAACAGTCAATCACGATACCTAATTTTGCCAAATAAAAACCTTGTTAAACAGCTTTTGTTAAAAACTATTTTAAAAATTTAACATTGGTAATATAATAGAGCAACAATAATAATAATAATAATAATAATAATAAAAGATGAACTTTATTGCAAAAAAAAGTTAATACAATTTCTTACAAATGGCCATTGACTGAGGTTATTATTAGTATGTTATCTCGTGTTTGTTTAAGATGTTCCCATATGGTCTTCTCTGGGTACTTGAATTTTCTGTTGCCCTGTACCTCCAAACACAACTCGCTCAGAATGTCATAGTCATAGTCCTTGCTAATAAAGTTTGTAGATAATTTGATAAATCTTTCCATAATTGGTAAGATATTGTAGGTAGCATACAAAAGGTCGTTGGGAGGGTTGTGTAGAGAATTGGTTGGATGTCTCATTTTGGAGATTTTTCGGAGTGATGAGGTTTCCCCGGTTTTAATTTTGCTTAAGGCTGGTTTCCGGGCATTATTAAGTAAGATGCATCCATATTCCAGGATTGGTCTGCATATTAAGATGTATATTCTTTTTTTTGTTTCATCATTGATGCCTTTTTTGTTGTATGTAAGTCCTCTAAAGTGGCTGGCCCTTGTTAGTGTTTTCTTCTTGTGATTCCCAAGTATTTTACGTTAGATTTTGGCTCTATTATGTCATTGTACAGTTACGGAAAGAAGTAATGTCCATTTGAATGCTCCATTGTAATTGTTCGGAGGCATTCGGAAATTGTCAACATCTGCCTCTTGGGGATTTACTACCTGCTCGTATTGAATTAATTATTTTGGGTATATTACTTATTTAACTGTATTTTTATTAAATCGTTAATGTTTTGATATATTTTTGTATATTTTTATAAACATTTATTCTATGAAAATACTTTTAGGCTATAAATAATATTATCAAGTCGTAGTTTTTTAAAACTTACTTTACATTTTTCAGAACTAGCAATGATTCAATACACTATTTTACATCAAAGAAGTAAAAACACATTTTATTATTTGTTGCACTTTTATGTGTTAAAATTAAAAACATAAATATATTTAAAATTTTTATATTTGGTATTGTGATGGGCACGGGGTGGGGGTACCCCAATACTCATGCAAACGGCAGTAACCCAAGGCGATTTGAAGAATCGCGCGAACTAACTTTAAATATTGACAGCGCAAGCAGTGTTGTCAAGTTTGGCCAAAAGAAGTGATCGTCTAGAAAATAGAAAAGGAGACCCTACGTTGTGTTATTTTAGTTCGCTTCTAGATAGGTGGAGTAGCCAATGAGAGGAGACCAGATTAGGTAATAAAACACAATAAGTATGGTTGTATGTTTTCTCTATTCATTGTTTGTTTACAATGGAGTTTTTTACAAAGGTTTAGTTGACGGTAGTTAGCGTTTTATGTCTTGCAGTGTTTATTGAATATTGGTTTTTAGTTAGCGTTTGTTATTTGGACTTTGTCATACCAAGCGTTAATAAAGCAGATTTATAAAATGTTACAAGTGCAATTTACCCCTCCCAACAATACAACAGGTTATAGAATGAATATTATTGGATGCAAACCGTTTTGTCTAGTGTATTGAAACCTTTTATAGCTATCTAAACATATTCCGCTACAGTGTACATAATAAATGCATAGTTTCCATATTACATCTCACATTATTTATGACCCCTTTGTCGGTTAGGAACTCTATTGGCGAGCTCTAGTCTTGTGAAGAGATTAGATTAGATTAGATTACCTTATTTAATAATAATAATACCTCCTATAACCCTCTTCCCTATCGCGAGCAGGCACAATACATTAGACAAGCATTTTTCACGCCCGTCCGCCATCTTACGGAGCAAAGAGACGCGTGACGTACTCTCGGCTAAATATCCCCAAAACACAACAAATCTACATTATTAAACTTGGTTAAAAGATACAACCACCTTAGTTAGTTAATTTAAACAAGGTAAAGGATCATTTTAGCTTACCTACAAGGTTTATTTCACAACACGAAAACCCCCGATTCACTCGGACGTACCTTTTCCTTCACCTGTTGCTTCCAGTGCTGCCGCGAGCTTTTAATCGAATGTACTATTTTTGTCAGTGAATATGTACTGTAATGTACTATAACCAAATTTATCCTAAAATGCTGTGCTATTACCATTAATTGATTTTTAATATTTTTTTGTATACACTGAGAAAAAATGGGACAAATAAACTGTTTACCTAATACTTTTATTTGTAGTGAATATATTGTTTATTACCTCTAAATAGTCGAAATAATAACGATAAATATACTTTAGTAAAACTTTATATGTCGGGAATAAAAATATATTTAGGATAAATAAACTGTACCCTTGTCCCATATTTAAATATTTTTTTTATTTGGGAGCAATAAACTTTTTTCTCTGTGTATCATTCTTTTATATATTAAATTAATAATTAAGGTGCTTTGACTGCTGAGGTCATTGGCACCAAACATATTATTATTATTATTGTAATTAATATGGGGGGGGGGTTGATAAAAACAATTATTTTAAATATAAATTATTTCGAAAACCCTCATTTTGAGAGTTCTGTAATGTATACCTACCATTTTAGTAAAATTTTATAAAATGTACTGTAAATCATGTTATTTTTAGATAAATGTACTTTCGTACTTTTCATGATAATTCAAGCAAAAATGTACTGTAAATAGTACAAATGTACTAGAACGGCAGCACTGGTTGCTTCCCATCTGTCGCTCGGCCCAGTTCTCGATCCCCACCCAAACTATTGCGACAGGGCCGGCCTTAGCGCGCTCGGTTAAACAGGACCCCATTTGAAATATTCATAAAATACCAAACCGTACAACCCAAGTAATTAAAAGTTATATAATTCAAGTATTTTTAAGAAAGGGCAACGCTGCATTATTTTAAAAACTTAACATTAATTTAAATGTCTAATTTCGAATAGGTAGGATGCTTTACGTGTAGATGTATTCTTGGTTGCGTTTTTGTTGTTTTACGGAGGGCGGGTCAACACAGTATATTTTTAAATTAAATATACTAGGATCTATCAAAAAATGTTTAATATAATTATAATATAAAAGATATAAACATAAATAGGTATAAAATAATAAAATATATATTATATAAATATATAAATATTATATAAATATATAAATATTATAAAACTATAAAATATATATTATATATTTCTTCATATTTATTTTTTGCTCTCTTATTATATGTAGGTTAATGTGTATTTTTATTTGTGTTTATTTTTATTAAAATATTATTTATTAAAAATAAACACAAAATTATTTTTTCCCATGTTAATGAAATGGGAAACTAAAATAAAAACAGCGACCTCTTAGAGTTGAGCTGGAACGCCCATATTTGGTGAGGATTTTTTTTATATTAAATAGAAACATTTGAGAGGGTAAGAGCCAAAAAAGAAATATTTTTTTTTTAATATTTATATTAGTTTTATATTGTCAATATATAAATAATTTTATGAATTCTTAGTGATAAATCTGTGTCCCTGGATATTTCTCTAACACTTCTTTCCATATCGTGCATCACTATGATCCGGGTCCTTGTTTCTAAGGATGCGTTGCTTTGATTTGCAAGTCATGACATCTATTTATAAATAAATAAAAAAATTATAATAGCTATTTACATAAAATGGGAGGAAAATAGTGCTTTTCCTCCCGCGAATAGTTTGATGCCCGACGCGAAGCGAAGGGCATTAAATATTCAAGGGAGGAAACGCATTTTCATCCTGAGGTATGTATATAGTTTTTTCTATTACCTTTTAACAGTTTTAAGACATTTTAAGCGTTCCGGTTCCTTTTACTAACCCGGTATAGGGCTATAAAATTATGACCAAATATTAAGTAGGTGTTGCGTCGCCGACGTTATGTTGACAACGCTTTGTTGCTAGGATATTTTTGGTAATAACAACATAACAGTTTTTATAAGCTGTCAGAATGTTTATCATAAATTTGAAATTCTTCCTACGGTTTGAAAATGAGTACTAGCGAAGAAGACCTGCCGCAAGATCTTGCTAAACAGGCAAGAATAGTTGCAATTAATTTCCTTCCTTAAAAATCGAAAGAGGGATATGAAAATGAATACCTATAGATTGTTAAAAGAATGGTTGGACAAGCGCGGAGTAAATCTTTTTCCTACAAAATCAAATAGGTACAAAACTCTTGAATCAAGAGTCTTGATAATGTAAAATCAATAGTCTTGATAATGTAAAATTTTTAAAAAAAAAGAGGGAGGAAAAGTTTTTCCTCCCGGGGAGCAAAAGTGGCATTTTCCTCCCTCGGTCGGGGGTGGAAAATTAAGTTTTCTAGTAAGGTAGTAGAAAAAATATTTATTCTTTAAAGTTATAATAACACAATAATAATATATAATAGTATATTTCAGATATTTCTTAAATTAAATAATAAAATTGGTGATACATACCCTAAAAAAATTATGAAATAATTAAAAACAAAGTAAACACTTGAATAATATCGTTATTACGTTATTTTACGGTAAATTGTGGGTGTCACACCGGCGCCGTTAAAATTATTTTCGGCGCACACGTAGCGTATTTAAGCATAATTAGAGGTATAAGTTAATACTTGCCGAAAGGGATAATCCTCATCCTGCTTGATAAGAAAAGATTACAATACCTATAGATGTATAAACAGAAAATAACTTAAATTATGTCATAAAAGTGCACTTTTACCATGGTAATAAATTTTACAGACCAAAGTTCTTTCGGACTAAAATGTTAAAAAGTATTTTAATTTAATTTCATATAAATATTTTAAATATAGGACAAATTTTTAAATATTTGATAAAAAATATTATATAATTATTAGACTTATACAAAAAAATCGAATATTTATTTTTAAAGTACCTCAAAAATATTGTTCAGAATCTCAATAAAATGGTCCTGTTAAAATGTAAGCTCTTAATGTTACATTTACGGGTCCTTCATTGGGAATTTTTATTTCACATTAAAATAACATGAGATTTTTTAAAATACTTTAAAATTGTATAAGTAACTCGGATTAGTAAAACTGAAACAATATTATTCAAAAGGATAAGGTTTGCATGTCGAGCCGTCAGGCGAGAGACGTAATTCATCCGAGTAAATAATGCGCATTATTTCGAGTGTAATACTATGTTTTTTCTACTCCAATTAAGTAATTTTCATTGATAACAAAATTTATTATAACCTCACTTTTCTCCTATTTTAAAGATCATTATATAATGATCTATATAGTGGCCCCTCGTATATATAAATAAATCTGACATCTGTCAACCTTACTTTTTTCCAATTTAAAGCCCGATTGGATCAAATAACAGTGAATATTAAAATAAGCCAATCACTGATACCTAACAACGTGAATATAATAATAATATAATATAATTCACTTTGATAGGCCGGGCGGTTATATTGGTTACCATTATTTACGCAAAAAAAACCAAAAAATTTCAATAATATGCAATAGAAGTAGAAAAACGTATTAATAGTGCACAAAATGCATTTTAGTTTAAAATTTTAATGGGTTTAATTTACATAGTAAGAATAAATATTTTAATTTATATTGCCCAGATAACAAAAAATCACATAAAAAGGTAAATACATTAAAGAGGGTTATTAACAATTTTATTTGCAAAATTATGCAAAAGTTTATAATTATTTTAGTAATAAATGTCTATATTTCATTTAAATATATTATTTTATTAATAACAACTTATTAAATAATATATAGTTAATTTAATAAGTTATATTTAAATTATTTCAGAATCAATGATATTCCTTAAATATTTAATTATTGCATAAAAGCTTAAAAGTCAAATGAGATGTGCGTAGAAAGAATGGTAAATAGCAGGTAGGTAGAATTATTGAGTTTAAAAATAGATATGTTAATTTTATTAGCAAAACCCGAATGCCTCCGAACAATTACAATGGAGCATTCAAATGGACATTACTTCTTTCCGTAACTGTACATCTTAATTGTTATATTAGGGTCAATCTTGTTTTGGTGGAAGTGTATTAGTTGAGACTTTAGTGGATTTGGTTTTAGTCTCCATTTGTTAAACCATGCCAAGATTTGATTTGACAGAACTTGGAGTTGGTCAGAGGCAGTTTTTTGATTTTTACTATGGCAGATTATAGCGGTGTCATCTGCGTATTGAAGTACATATTTATCTTGGTCAAAAAGCATGGGATCTTCATTGTAGATGTCGGCACAATAAAGGTTATAGAGCAGAGGGGAGAGAGGGGAACCCTAGGGCAGTCCTTGTTTGGCTATGAAGTTTCTTGAGGTTTTATTGTTTATTGATACCTGCAGACTCCGGTTATCTAAAAATTTCATAAGTATTTTTAGGATGATAGAACAATATTATTTTGTAAATAAAAACACGGCAACTGTCCTATCCGTTAAGCGTGGAATAGCCCTTTAGGGACATTTTCATGACAGGTTTAGGAACTTTTAAAGTATTAAGGACATTTTTAGAAAACTTACATTTGCAAGACCATTTTAGGGACGTTTTCAGGACAGGTTTAGGGACTTTTTTAATACAGTTTTATGGACATTTTCAATACCTATCCTATTATTTTAATATTTTATATTTAGAATATAAAATTTATTTTTAAACTAACTTTACAGGGGTTTCACATTTGTAGTCAATTAGAAGTTTCTTGAAAACGAAAAATTTGAAATTTTAAAAGCGTTTATAATTCATTGAAGTCTATTTTTCTAAATTTTTTTTAACAAAATGCCACTCCCGGTTTGGTTCCTTAAAAACTCAGGGCAATTTTTTTTTCAAGTGATATATTTTTCCGTTCCCCAGAAACTTGTAATGGACCACGAATATGAAACACCCTGTATAATAGACTGGGCCAAAAAAATCAACTATTTTTTTTTTTGAAAAGTATATCGGAAATATGGTTTGGGGGAAAGTTTGAGTCCATAATATTAATATTAAGAGGTCTATCATCGCAATTTTAATATTTTTTTCCTCGGCAAGTTTTAGGCTCAGAACTCCCAAACCATTGAGTTTAACAAAATTGACTTGAAAATATTTTTTTAAGAAAATTGAATGCTCTACAAAAAAGGTTAAAGTGAAATTTTCTGTCAGATAAACCGTTTCCTTAAAATCATGCCTTAAAAATTGGTATAAAACCATTTTGATCTTTTAAATTGGAATTTTGTAATTCATGTAAAAATTAGTACCCAGAAAAAAAACCGATAAATATTCTTATGGGACATCAAATGCCTTACAAAAAAAGCCTCTCAACATTTTTAGCTAAATTCACTCCATCAAAAGTTATTCAAGGTTAAAATTTGGTTTTGACTTCAAATTTAACCTTGAATAACTTTTGATGGAGTGAATTTAGCCAAAAATGATAAAAGACTTTTTTTGTAGAGCATTTGATTTCCCATAAGAATATTTTTTTTCAGGGTACTGATTTTTACTTGAGTTACAAAATTCCAAAGTTAAAAGATCAAATTGTAAAACTATACCAATTTTTAAGGCATGATTGTAAGAAATTCCAATTAAACCTTTTTTGTAAAGCATTCAATTTTATTCAAAAAATATTCTTAAGTCAATTTTGTTAAACACAATGGTTTGGGGGTTGAGACAAAAACTCGCTCAGGAAAAAAAAATCTAAAATTGCGATGAAAGAAGTCTTAATATTAAAATTATGGACTCAAACTTTCACCATAATTTTTTTTTGTCACCCCAATCAATATTTTCGATTACCTTCTTTACAAAAAAGAAATAAAAGTTTTAAAGTGTGAAAATACAAATAAAATGTATTTTAGAATTTCGCGCACCCCCGCCACGACGAGTGGAACAAATTCCTGTACACGACGCAGGAACTGCGCAACAATCAGGTGGACGACGAGCTGGAAAAACTCAACTATTCCGTGTCCAGCACGGCACTGTCCTCCATCTCCTCAGTGCCGCCCATGCGATAATTTTTTTAATCTCTCAAATAATTAATTAATAACATTAATCTAACTAGATAAACAAATTATTAATTTATTGTTACGGCAGCAGCAGCTAAACACTAAATACAAATATTATTGAAATGATGAAATGAGGCGGATTAAATGAACAGATTTTCTAAAAATGGACTGTGAATAACTATATATTTACCTACTACTGGATGTATTATTGATAAGTTGTCGCTTTCCAATTTAAATACGCAATTTTTTTAGTATTTAGTGTCCCCGCCCGGTATACAATTATGATTATGAAAGCAAGAATTACTAAATTCCTTAACTTGATGATTTATGTGCCTGTAAATAGCTAATTTATTTTTTTGTATAACATAAGTAGTAATTTTTTATATTGTTGTATTATAATGTGCCCTGTGTACATATTTTTTTGATTTCAAATCGCATTTATTAAATTTTTCCTTATTTTATTTTGTCGTTTTATTTTTTCCATCCAACTTTAAACATATTGGTATAATTCATAAAAGAGTTTGTATAAAAATTGGAAAAACAGCTACAGAAGATGAAAGGTGAGTTTGGCTGTAAAATAATTTTTTAATGATTTTCTCTTGGAAATTTGGTTTTTACATGGCTGAAATTATTTTTTTCTTTTGTTAATTTGCAATTTTGATTTTTTTGAAAAATTTTGGACTGAAATTTTTTTGATAAAAATAATTTTTGGTCAGTTTTTGTTCATTTAATTTTTTTGAAAATTTTGGACTGAAATTTTTTTGATAAAAATAATTTTTGGTCAGTTTTTGTTCATTTGTCATTTCTAGCAAGTGTTTCTATTGGCATTTTCAAAGCTTTTACTTATCAATTTATTGCCAAAAATATATTTTTTTGTATAACACAACAAGTAGTAATTTTTTTATATTGTTATAACAATATAAATATATTTAAATAAATATAAATTTATAAAGTGTACCTACATATTTTTTTTTTATTTTAAATTGCATTTATTAAATTTTTCCTTATTTCATATTGTTGTTTTATTTTTTTTCCGACTTATTGGTATAATTCATAAAAGAGTTTGTATAAAAATTGATTTTATTGGAAAAACGATTACCTATAACATGATTAATATAATATTGGAGCTACAGAAGATGAAAGGTAAGTTTGCCTGTAAAATAATTTTTTTAAATGGATTTTCTCCAGCGAATTTGGTTATTACATCTCTGGAATTAATTTTTTCCATGGTTAATTTACAATTTTGATTTTTCTGAAAATTTTGTTCATTTGTCATTTCTCTAGACAAAAGAAAATACCTATTTGAATGATTACAGGTTCCTAACGTAACAATGTCAAAAAAAGTTGGGTTATGTATTTGAATAATTTAGGTTAAGTAAGTTTGATCGAATTTTATCAAAATGTTACAAATAATGGGTAAGCGGTGTTTCAACCAGGTAGTAAAGAAAAGAACGATTTATAAACAAGTATTAAACTCTACGAGTACGCAACCAGTTGCGAAAGACAGCGAAACCGAATTTAACAAGCAACTGAAGCAGTATGAGGAATTGTCGAAAATTGCCCCCAAAAGGGCGAGGGCGAAAAAACCGCAGAGGAAACCCTTCGCGAAAAACCTATTTTTGGGGAATTTCGACGAAGAAATCCTAACCTACCCCCAATTGGAGAAGGAAGACATAGACGAGTTAGAAACAACGTTAACCCAAGTAGAAAAGCTAACGAAACAAGAATTGAGCAATTATAAACAGTTCGATGCGAATTTCCTGCAAAATTTTGGGGACTACAAGCTTATAGGCTTACAGGCTGGCACTTTTGAGAACGGCAGGGAGTGCAACATTTCCGAACACACCAAAATTATGGAGACTTTGTGCCACCATCGATTGAGAAATAACATCATTCATAATGAACAGTTGGGGGTGCAGGTTTTGGTTAAGTATGGTAGCGATAGTTTGAAGAAAGAGTTTTTAGGTTATTTTACTTCCGGTAAAGGTATTGTTGGTTTTTGCATGGCAGAGGACAAAATGAGCAATTTAACCAACATGGCAACCAAGGCTGCTCTGTCGGCTGACAAAAAAGAATGGGTAAATATTTTTTGTTGATTTAAAAAAAATAATTTTGTTTTGTTAAAATGGAAAAAATGGGTATAAATTGTTTAATTATTAATAAAAGTATAAACTTTGCAATAATATTTAAAAATTCAACAAAATAGGCTTAGTCGGGCTTGAACACAATTCCGCGCGCGCGTGTTAAAAAATAGAAATATTCAAACCTTTTATATAAAATTTAGTTTCAAAAAATGTTTAATTATAAAACTGGTTTTGTTGTTTAAATTTGGATGCCTATAAACTATTTTTCATAGATTTTAAGTGGTGAAAAAATCTGGGTTGTGAATGGAAACAAATCGGACTTTTTGATAGTATTCGCAATGACAGATTTAGTGGAAAGGGACGAACTGCAAATACCGAAAATAACGGCATTTTTAGTGAATAAAAACAGCCCGGGAATATCGAGCACCCAGTATGATGTTAACAACTTGGATTTATCAAAAATTCGATTTGATAACACCCCTGTACCAATAGGTAAAAATATTAATAAATAAAACTTAATATTGTAATAATAAATTGTAAAGTAAATTTTCTTTAAAGGAAACGTGATTGGTGTAGAAGGAGACGGCGAAAAAATGATATTAAGCATAATGAACGAGTTTAGGTTAAGTTATGGTTCAGTTTGCACCGCTTTAAGCAAAAAGATTGCCAATAAACTGTGTGATTATGTAATTGAGGAAACTACTGATGAAAATTTGCTGTTAAAAACTGATGCTGTCAGAGATAAAATAGGACAAGTATGTGTAAAAAGTGTTAGTTTATACCAGGCACTAATAAAAAATATTTAGATTACCCTTAACACTTTTGCCATGGAAAGTATGACTTATCTGACTGCTGGAATTCTGGACATGTACGAAAATCAAGATGTTGAGTTAGAGGCTGCTATTATTAAGGTAAATTTACACTTTTGTTGACAATACATTTTATATAGTTTTAACCATATTTTAACGATATTTTCGGGATAAAAATTTCCGATTATCGATTATCCACCATAATAAATAATTTACTTAATCCATTACATTAATTAATATTTAACCGTGAAATGTAATACTAAAAAATTCATAAATTTAATTAAACAAAAATCGTATTTTAAAAACTATTTATTAGGTAATAAATGAAATCCATAATATTTAAATAAACAAAAAAATCATTAAACTAAATAGAAAATATTTAAAATTAAAATATATATTTCAAAATTTTTTTTTGGTGAATTCTTTTATTACAAAGAAAAGCAGGTTTTCTTTGCCATTATTAATATCTTTTATTTGCAATTGCCTCAATAAATATAAATTAAACCTTTCTACTAAATTCTTTGGCGGCATTTTGTAAGAGTTCTAAAATTTGTAAAATTAAAAATACACCTACTTAAATGTGTAGACTGGGCCCAAAAAATCGACTATTTTTTTCTGTAAAGGCCCAGTTCAAAGAAAGCTTTGGCTAAAATGCCATTATTAAGCCATGAAACTATGTTACAATTAAATTGATGTTAAAAAAAATATTATTTTACTCATTAAAAAAAATAATTAGGTATATTTTGTGAAATATTTGCTATTTTCTCACAAAAATTCATTTATAAATCTTCAAAACCAAAATTATCAACATTTTTGGAATATTTTGCTTGTTTTGTTAGTAATTTCTTTGTAGTACTTTTCGTCGCAAAAAACCGTGGAAAACGCGAATATATGCTTAAATTTGGTGGGAACCCCCGCCCTGGAGGAATCCCATTGGTGCAACAAATTGCACAGGGAGAGCCTGAAATACGCAACGCTGCACGAAACAAACGACAACTTGAAAGTCATCATAGCACTGATGGGGCTGAAATACGTGGGGGTGAGTAGTTGGCAACACCGTCGCAAGTGACGTTTTTGCCAGATCGAGGTTTTACGAGGGTTTGTTGCGATTGCAGGATACCATAAGCGACCAGATAAGAATCGCCAGAAATCCGCTTTTCAACGCGCCGGAGATATTTAAAAGGATGTGGAACATCAGAAAAGATATCGAGGACAATCCCAAGTTAAAGTTGAAATTGAACGAATGTTTGCACCCTTCCTTGCTGATGTCAGCCAATAATTTGGAGTATGAAAAGTTTAATTCAATAAGATATGTATTGAATTCGTGATTTTATAGGTATTGCATTCATAGGCTTAAATTTGGAAGCGAAATTCTGTTGACGAGATATGGGGCTGAAATAATGAACCAGCACATTGATTTGAACAGATTGGCCGACTGTATTATCAATATTTATGCCATGACGGCAGTATTAGGTAAGTCGTTAAAAAAATTTAATTTTTTTTGTGGAAATATAAGTACACATTTAAAAAAAGTAGCAATCAACAACTTAACATTATTTTAATTAAAAAAAATCCTTTATTACAGAAAAAACTAAATATAGAATTAAATCAAATTGATTTAAGAAAATATATTCTTTTGACATTCTAAAGTGTGTCCTTAAGTAATTTTTGACATTCTTAAATGTGTTTTGGACATTCTAGAATGTGCTTTTATAATTATTAAATATGTTTTTAGAAATTTATACTTGTAACATTTTCAAATGTGTTTTTAATTAGTTTTGCCATTCTAGAATATATTTTGGACATTTTAGAATATTTTTTGACATTCTAAAGTGTGTTCTTAAGTACTTTTGACATTCTCAAATGTGTTTTGGACATTCTAGAATGTGTTTTTATATTTAATAAATATGTTTTTAGAAATTTATAGTTTTGACAATCTAAAATATATTTTGGACATAGGTATGTAGGTATTAGAATATTTTTTGACATTCTGAAGTGTGTTCTTAAGTACTTTTGACATTCTCAAATGTGTTTTGGACATTCTAGAATGTGTTTTTATAATTTTAAAATGTGCTTTTAAAAATTAGTAGCTTTAACATTTTCAAATGTGTTCTTAAGTACGTTTAACATTCAAGAATGTATTTTGGACACATTAGAATATTTTTTTGACATTCTAAAGTGTGTTCTTAAGTACTTTTGACATTCTCAAATGTGTTTTGGACATTCTAGAATGTGTTTTTATAATTTTAAAATGTGCTTTTAAAAATTAATAGGTTTAACATTTTCAAATGTGTTCTTAAGTACGTTTGACATTCTAGAATGTATTTTGGACATATTAGAATATTTTTTGACATTCTAAAGTGTGTTCTTAATTACTTTTGACATTCTCAAATGTGTTTTGGATATTCTAGAATGTGTTTTTATAATTTTAAAATGTGTGTTTAAAAATTAATAGGTTTAACATTTTCAAATGTGTTCTTAAGTACGTTTGACATTCTAGAATGTATTTTGGACATTTTAAAATATTTTTTTGACATTCTAAAGGGTGTTCTTAAGTACTTTTGACATTCTAAAATGTGTTTTGGACATTCTAGAATGTGTTTTTATAATTTTAAAATGTGCTTTTAAAAATTAATAGGTTTAACATTATCAAATGTGTTCTTAAGTACGTTTGACATTCTAGAATGTATTTTGGACATATTAGAATATTTTTTGACATTCTCAAATGTGTTTTGGACATTCTAGAATGTTTTTTTATAAATATTAAATATGTTTTTAGAAATGTATAGTTTTGACATTCTAGAATATATTTTGGACATATTAGAATATTTTTTGACATTCTAAAGTGTGTTCTTAAGTACTTTTGACGTTCTCAAATGTGTTTTGGACATTCTAGAATTTGTTTTTATAATTTTAAAATGTATGTTTAAAAATTAATGGGTTTAATATTTTCAAATGTGTTCTTAAGTACGTTTGAGTAGTTTGACATTCTAGAATGTATTTTGGACATTTTAGAATATTTTTTTTTGACATTCTAGAGTGTGTTCTTAAGTACTTTTGACATTCTCAAATGTGTTTTGCACAGTGTGTTTTTATAATTTTAAAATGTGCTTTTAAAAATTAATAGGTTAAACATTTTCAAATGTGTTCTTAAGTACGTTTGACATTCTAAAATGTATTTTGGACATTTTAGAATATTTTTTTGACATTCTAAAGTGTGTTCTTAAGTACTTTTGACATTCTCAATTGTGTTTTGGACATTTTAAAATGTGTTTTTATAATTATTAAATATGTTTTTAGAAATTTATAGTTTTGACATTCTAGAATATATTTTGGACATATTAGAATATTTTTTTTGACATTCTAAAGTGTGTTCTAAAGTACTTTTGACATTCTCAAATTTGTTTTGGACATTCTAGAATGTGTTTTTATAATTTTAAAATGTGCTTTTTAAAAATTATTAGGTTTAACATTTTTTCAAATGTGTTCTTAAGTACGTTTGACATTCTAGAATGTATTTTGGACATTTTAGAATATTTTTTGACATTCTAAAGTGTGTTCTTAAGTACTTTTGACGTTCTCAAATGTGTTTTGGACATTCTAGAATGTGTTTTTATAATTTTAAATTGTAGTTTAGATTTTTAAATTATTTTTTTACCTGAGCCCTGACCACTTTAAAAAAGTTATATAATTATAATATTATGCTTATAATCAGCGTAGAAAATTTTTTCTCGATATCAGTGTATGAATAACAAAATTTGAAAATTGACTTTTGCATTTTGTTCATATTAACCTTTGAATTAAATGAAAAAAATTCAAATCAATTATTCCGGAAATACCAATTAACCTGTTATCATTTTTAATTGATATTTTCCGAACATTTGACAATATAACAAAACTAACTGTCAAAGTTTTTCTTTGTTTTGCAGGCAGGGCCTCTAGATCCTACTGCATAGGCTTGCAACACGGAGATTTCGAAATGTTGATGGCCAACGCGTTCTGCAACTACGCGAAGGAGGCGGTGCAATTAAACATAAAAAAAATCTACGAAGGCCCCTGTCAAACGAACGACGAGAATCACAGAGTCATAGCAAAGAGGTTGGTGAAATTTAAAGGTTATTTCCCCGTACACCCCCTGTCAAGGAACTTTTAAAAAAGTATCCCTAACATTGTAAATATGTATTTAATTGTTATTTAATACAGTTTTTTTATGAAAAAATTAGTTTTATTAAAAAAATAAAAGTTATTTACAATTTATCGTGGAAATAATTAATTTTTTCTCGATATTAGTGCGTGGGTTTTCGTGATCCAGTTTAAATATCGGTTCACTTTCGTGTATAAGTTTATTTTGTGTGCCACGTTGTCCTGCGAGCTCAAAACGCCTTTTATATGCCAAGAACCGTTTTCTTTTATTAGTAGGCCGGCTCCGCAATTGTTTTCTTCAAAAACTACCCCTAAAAATAAAACTCAAGTCAGATTAAAAATATACATACAAAATATAATATTATACCGTTTGATCTGGTACATATTTTATCATTGGTCAGAAAATCTTGCCACTTTAATTTATAACACTCCTCAGAACAATCTTCATAATCCGAATGAACTGCATCTAGAATTTCTAGCGCATTATTTGCCCAAACTACTTGTTTCCCAACAGAATTTTCCTAAAAATAAATTTTGAGTTGGAACACCAATCAAAAATTCGCATTCCCAACAGTTCAAAATTAATTCCGCGGAATACAAAAGTTACGAAAATAGACTCGTAATTTTTTTATACAAAATGATTAAAGGTAAATAAATGCTCATCATTAAAATATTTTACATTTCTCTATTGCTTCACTATAGTGGTATTATTTTTTGACGTTTATTATAGGTTTTATAGGTTAGGTTTTGACAGATGTCAAATATATTAATGATAAAAAATGTATTTACCCTTAATTTCGTATCAAAAAAATTACAATCCGCCAACTAGTATTGAAGATATTTTCAATATAGAAAATATTATTAAAAATACCTGAATATTCGGGTTGTTATTGCCCCAATCAACGCACACTGGATTTACGTTTGCATCATAGCTTAATTTGTTTTTTAGTTTTACTAAAGCAATGTCATGCTCATAGAATCCTAGAAGGCCTTCATAATTTTCGTGGACGAAAATATTTGATTTGAGTACCTAAAATATATATAAAATAAAATAAAAATAAATAAATTGTTACATTAATTTACTTATTTAAGAATAAATTAAATAAAAAAATACTACCTATGAAAGTGGCATATAAATTCTAAAGACTAAAAATAATTTATAATAACCTTTATCCTACCAAAAAGTACGCCACTGATCGACTAGGAACTTTAGGCTAATCTGGTTGCCTAATTTAATTTATTTTGTTATGGTTGGTAAAAATCAGCGTTTCCAGATTCTGTCAAAAAAGTTGCCAGATTTTGTTTAAATTTAGTTTATTACAAAAATAATAGAATTAACAATGCAAATTGTTAATTTGGCGTTTTTATTAATTGTTGATTATGTCATTTTTGTAATGAAGGTAAATTCAAACAAAATCTGTAAACTTTTTATGACAGAATCTGGTGCATTTCTTTCAAATTTTAGGTTATGTGGTCAGATTGTAAATATCTTAATTAAGGGATTTAATTACACAAATAAAATGTTTAAAGTTTAACCTATGAACTTGTCCTAATTTCATCTGAGTAAACAGAGAGAAAAAACCGATGAAAAAATTAATTTTGTGGTCATGGAGTTTTTAAAATTGGTACTAAATTTTCTAATCATTGCTTAAGCTAATAGCTGGATAAGTAAATATATGCAGAAGGGTATTAGAGCTTTAAGGGCATAAAACTTTTGTATTTATTGAGTTTTTATTTATTTTTTGCAAGGTTGGTATCTATGTACTCACAGAACACAAAAAATATAAAAAACTTCTAATGCATATTTTTTCTTTATCTTTGAAAAAACCTTTTAAATCCCAAAATCCCTATTCCAGCAAATTTAAAAATCTTGTAGCTCTTGGTTTTCCCAACATTTCACAAAACAAGTGTATACCATGAAAAATATTTTAAAAAAATAGTATAAATCCTACCTTTTGAATATTGGCCGGAATTTCTCTAAGTACAGTATTTCTGGACTCTGGTCCAGCCAAAACATAAAACTGCTTATCCAGCGGATTTTTCGATAAATGCTCGCAAAAGCATCTCGCAGCTAAAAAAACACGTAAAGTGCACGTTAAGGTCAAATTTAATCGCTCAGTATTTACCGGTTAGTATGACATTTGGACCTATAATGGAACCCAAACAAACGGATTTCAAATCTCCATTGTTTTCCTCTCGGTAAATGGCCACATTCCATGATTTGCCATTTACATCAAATTGCCCACAAACTAAAATGTTTTATTTTACAAGGTAGGCAGTTTATTTATCTATTAATAATTAATACCTTCAGCTGTTGTGGAAAAACGAAATACTGAAATAAAATTTACAAAAAGCGTGTAGTTTTATTTTAGTAGGTAAGTACATGTTTACTTACCGCAGCAGAGTAGAAGAATAAGTAATACCATTGGTCTCATATTTGAAGCGCGAGTGACCAAGAAAATTACCATTCATAAACCTGTTTGACTTCTACTTACTTATTTATTACTCACCCATATTATTTGCCTGATTACTATCTAATTAATTTTTAATTAAGTATTCTCGCAACAGGTAGTTTAATTTACATTTTTTCGCTTTTATTGTAAGGTAAGGTAAAAAAATACATAATAAAATAGACGTAAATCACCAGGCTACTCCCATTAAAAATCCACCTATAAATCCTGCAGTAAATGTTTTGTTGTTGTTTGCAAAATCCTTTATCTAAAATACAATAATTTATTTTATTTATAGATGTTAATATTTAAATATGGTCTGTACTAATTTTTCCAAAGTTAATACTATCAGTGTGTGGTTTGTTAGCCTTTAACCATGTCAGATAATTTCATGCAATTTGGGAAATCTTTATACAGGGTGTCATAGAATTTGCACGTACCTTATCAGTACTTGGTAAGCGACTACATTGGGCTTTTTCATTGAGATCATCCTTTTTTTCGTTGGCCTTCTGTTTTAAACTCTCCAGATTCATGTTAATGTAACCCTTGTGATGGGCCAACTCTAAAAGTATGACGCCTGCGCCAGCGGTAAAAATGATGGGTTTGCCCAATCTTTGAGCAAAATTTCCTGTCACCCTAAATTAGAAAGTTTTGGTTTGTCAGATTTAAGGACCGCTAAAATACTTACAAACCAGCCCCTGCACCCGCAGCTAGTTGCTTAACGAAGCTGTTTTTGTTGAGGTTCTCGAAAATTTTGCTTATTTTATTGTTAGACATTACGGGTGGTTTTTGGAAGTTGCCCCTGTAAAAAATTCATCCTGCACATGCGCAGTAGCAACAATAGAAAACTTACCAAGTTCATTATTCCAATAGACGAAAATATTTGCTGAAAAATTATTCTAAATGGTTTCTTAAATATGACTTTGATGGAATGAAATTTGGCGTTTTTACTATACAGGGGTTGTGTGAAAATGAAAGTCAAAGTTTATATTATTTATATTATGTACCTAGGTAAAAATAAACATAAACATTGTCAGTGAAATTTGTAGATTTTGTGAAGTTATAGAAATTTCCAAAAAAACCTAAAAGAGTAAAAAAACTAAAAAAAATTTAATTAAAAAAAAGTAAATTTTGTAAAATCCAAAAAGTAAACAAAACGTAAAACTCAAAATATCTAGGAAAAGAAAAAATATTTTTAAAAATTTTGTGAATGTTAATTTGCAAAAAAAAATAATTCTTTCAGTGACCCAGAGAGCCATATCAGGTTAAAACATGGCCAAGAATTGCCCATTACCTTTGGAAAAGTTTTGCCAATAAATGTACTATGTGGGACTGTATATTCCTATGGTATTTGTGCAATCGCGATGGCCAACAATAAATGACCAAATTGTGCCCAATAATATGCCAAAGCAGTTTGGATAAATTAGGTAGGTTACCATTGGTTTAATTTTGGGAATGTTTGGGCATGGAAAAACGATGACAAATTTTTGATGTTTATTTGGGAAATTAGGCTTTTGAAAAATTGACCAAATATTGGTAAATATTTGGACATATCCAAAGTATTAACAAATATTATTATTATATTTGAAAATTGGGTAAATAAAAAATTTTGTATTTATATTTTTTAATAATAAAAAAATAAAACAGTATGTTTCAATACTGGAACAGTGGTCAAAAATAATATTAAAAAAAACAAATGTATAAATAAAAAATATTTAAAATAATCAAAATTGGAAAAAAAATATTGTTTTTTTATGTTGATTCCCAAGCAGTGATTCAATTGTTTTTTTGCAATAAGGCTTTTTTTTATTTCGGACCCGTTGCTTCGCGTTGTTTAAGGCCACGTCAAAGGACCTCTGGAATTCTAAAGCCCCTGGAGGAGGAAATTTATCATGTTCATGTAAACTCTCTAAAAAATACTTTAAGTAACAAAATTGTCTAGGAAATAATATTAAAATATAAAACATACGGTGAATGGCTTGTACGATTTTTGTTTTGGACACTCCAACACCAGCACGTCCAGTGCGCGTTATTTTGGAAGAAACTTCATCTGAGAAGGCTTCTTTGACAATTAAATTCACGCTGCCTACGACGTCATCGTCAGCGACAAATTTAAAGTAGCTAACCTATAACATAACAATATAAAAACACAAGTCTTAAAACGTATTTTGGAAGTGAAAACCATTTTTTGATACATGTTTACAAAAAAGTGTTATTTTTCTATGAAGAATGCACTGTTTAAGTTTGGCCCCCTAATTTCAGGACACCCTGTATACCTATCTATAGATTTCTTTAAGTGCAGATGTATTCTTGGTTGAGTTTTTCTTGTTTGACGGGTCAACACAAATTGTGTTACACAATTTTTTAAATTAAATTACCTATGTTACGTTTCATTACATTACTTTAAATGCTGGCTAAATCCACCTTTATACTTACTTGTTATAATATTATGATACAAATAGAATTACGATCAGGTTATCAAGAATTATGCTTTATTAAACATTAAGAAAAATAGTTTGTGATTGGTAACTTTATGTTATGAAGAACTTTAAAAATAAAAAAGAAATAAATTTTTAAATTCAATAAAAAAATTGCAATTACCTTGCTCACTTCTAGCACGATAAATCTTAAAACCCAATAGGTAAATCCTCTTTTTCCTTCGTGACATATAGGTAGAAAATTTATTTTTAAATTGTCCTGCTTGTAGTAAAAGCCTAGTACCCATAAACACTATTTACCTAGAAAAAGGCAGTTATTTTTCTTCATTGCAACTTCAAGATGAAAATCTGTAACAATTAACAAAAAATAAGTACATAATATAGAACTACCAATGTAAATTTATATTACCTACTTCAAAATTAATAAGGGTATAAAATCTTCGAGAAGTAAGAAATTGTATTGTATTGAATGTTTTATTAAAAACTTTGAAAACATACCTAACCTTAATTACTTACTCAAAATTTAAAGCCGTTTAAAACTTAACACGTTTAGTTAGTGCACAGATGATTATATTTTTTTGTAATAACTATCACACAAGCACTTTTTGACGCTTTTTTGTAGAGAAGGTCTTGAAATTTTAACGACATATAACTCGCCATTGCGATTCTTTTTCCATGCTGATCAATTATTTGCCAAGTTTCGATCAATCTGAATTACAAACGCTTTGCCAATTTTCGACCAAACTTCATTACAAACGACGTTGGCCAATAATAACTCTATCTAGGACTGTATATTTGTGTAGTTGTTGTGCTATCGCATTGGAAAATAATTTGGCATAAAACATGTCAATTTTTGGTCAAACTTTATGAAAATACAATTAATATGTCCAAATAAACCCCAATAAATGTAAAATATCGTAGTCCAAACTTAGTTGGGAAAAAGTTGACTAATTTCTTTCCCAAAGCATGGCTCTCTGGGGAAATTTGTAGAATTTGTAAAATTATAGAAATTTGCAAAAAAATACGAAAAAATAGTACTACAAATTTAATAAAAAAGGAAAATTTTTAAAATCTTGTAAAATCTAACAAAAGTAAACAATTTTGTAAAGTAAACAATTTTGTAAATTTTGTAAATTTGTTAAAGTAAAAATAAGTAAGAATAGTAAAATAATTCCATTTTAGTGAAATATGTAAATTTTGTGAAATTATAGAAGTTTATAAAAAAACTGAACGAGTTCAAAAAGTAAATTTTGTAAAATATAAAAAGTAAAAAAAAAATGCAAAACTCAATAAAACGTAAAATAAATTTAAAAAAATTGTAAAAACTTGAAAATGAAATTTGTAGTAAAATTATAGAAATTTGCAAAAAAAAAGAGTTAACAAAGTAAAAAAAACTAAAAAATAGTAAAAACACCTAATTAAAAAAAGTAAATTTTATTAAATCTAAAAAGTAAAAAAATTTCAAATTAAAAAAAAGTAAAATAAATAAAAAAAGGAAATTTTGTAAAATCTAGGAAAAGTAAAAATATCTAAAAAAAAATCTGTAAATTTTGTAAATTAGCAAAAACAAAAAAATTGTAAATTTTGTAAAATTATAGAAATTTGCAAAAAAAGTAAAAAAATAAATAAAAAATAGTAATAAAAATTTAATAAAAAAGGTAAATTTTGTAAAATCTAAAAAGTACTACCAAAATTTAAAAAAGCTCAAAAAACTGCAAATAAATAAAATAAAAGGAAATTTTTTAAAATTAAAATATTTAAACAATTCTGTAAATCTTATAAAATTGGTAAAGTAAAAAAGTAAGAAATGTAAAAAAATTCCATTTTAGTGAAATTTGTAAATTTTGTGAAATTATAGAAGTTTATAAAAAAAACTTAATGAGTTCAAAAAGTAAGTTTTGTAAAATACCTATAGAAAAAGAAATGTAAAATAAGTGAAATTGGTAGATTTTGTGAAATTATAGAAACCTTCTACTCACAATAACTTACTTATTACTTTGATGAAATGAAATTTGGCATTTTTACTATACAGGGGATTGTGTGAAAATGAAAGTCAAAGTTTATATTATTTATATCATGTAATATACATAATACGAAAATATTTATTTTGTACTGTAAAAATAAACATAAAAATTGTCCTTATTATAATAAAACAAAACAATTGTTAACAAATAAAACGAGTGTTCGGAATTAATTTTTGTTGGCGGCCTGTTTCTGTAAAATCTGCTGATTGTAGCGCGTATAAAAATCTTCCCTGTCGTCGCTCAGCATGTCGATGTTGCTCCAAGCCGGGAAGGGGTTGTTATTGGCCAAGGGGGGGAATCCCGGGGGCGGCATCGGCGGATGGCGGGGCATTTGCGGGGGGAATTGGGGCCTGGGGGGGCAGAACGGAAAATATCCGCTTCCCAGGGGCGGCATCCCGTAGCCGCTTTGTGGCGGCATCATCATGTTGTTTGCGGGCGGGAAACCTTCAATATTTTTTATATGTATGCAATTTTTAACTTATTAATACGTTACCTGGTGCAGGCCTTTGCATGTAAGGATCCATGAAGGTGTACTGTTGCACACTATTGTAAACCACGCTAAAATAGGGTTTGAAGCATTTAATTTGAGATAAACATAAAAAAACGATCAAAAAGTAAACAAAGATCTAAAAAGTACTTTTGACGGATTTTCAAATATTTTGAAAACTGCTGTTTTGTTTCACTTTATAAATTTCATTTTAAGGCCATTATAACCTACCTTAAATACAAAAAAATACTAATACTTGAAGAAGTAAAAAAATCTAAAAATAGTAAAAAAAAAATAATAAAATTTAATTTTTGTAAAATACAGAAAAAGTTAAAATATCTAAAAAATTATTTTGAAAATTTGCAAAATAACAACCTTTAAGTAAAAAGTAAAAAAAAAGTAAAAAAAATAGTCACTCTCTCCCTAAGTCAAAAATAATATTACCAAAAATCTAAAAATAGTAAAACAATAATAATTTAAAAAATTAAATTATGTATTATCCAGAAAAAGTTAAAGTACCTAAAAAATTACATACATTTCGCAAATTTGCAAAATAAAAGCCTTTAAGTAAAAAAAGCAATAATAAATGTACAAAAGTAAAATAATTTTATTTTAGTGAAATTTTTAAATTTTGTGTATGTAAAAAGGAAAAAAAATCATGTAAGCAAAAAAATCTAAAAATAGTAAAAAAATAATAATAAAATTTAAAAAAGAAAATCTTTTAAAATCCAGATATTTTGTAAATTTGCAAAATAACAACCTTTCAGTTATAACTTTTATAAAAGTAAAAAAAACAATAAAAAAGTACAAAAGTAAAATAAAATTAAGTGAAATTTGTATTTTTTTTGAAATTATGTAAATTTGCAAAACAAAACCTAAAAGAGTAAAAAAATCTAAAATACAGTAAACAAAATTTATAAAAAAACTAAAAAAAAAAGTATTTTTTTTGTAAAATCCAGAAAAAAGTTACGTTGTTTATTTTGTAAATTTGCAAAATAACAATCTTTAAATTAAAAGTTAAACAAAGTACAAAAGTAAGAAAAATAAAATAATTTTATTTTAACGAAATTTGTAAATTTTGTGAAATTATGTAAATAGACCAGGGTCGATAATTTTTGAAACCAAAAAAAATAACAGTAGGATGAAACCCATTGGAAAAGGAGAAGAATATAATAAAAATGAAAGGAAAAATAAATTACGGGCGATCTGACTTCGGGAAGTGGGAGGGGGGGGTTTTTAAGGGTAAAAAAATCATGTAAGCAAAAAAATCTAAAAATAGTAAAAAAATAATAATAAAATTTAAAAAAGAAAATCTTTTAAAATCCAGATATTTTGTAAATTTGCAAAATAACAACCTTTCAGTTATAACTTTTATAAAAGTAAAAAAAACAATAAAAAAGTACAAAAGTAAAATAAAATTAAGTGAAATTTGTATTTTTTTTGAAATTATGTAAATTTGCAAAACAAAACCTAAAAGAGTAAAAAAATCTAAAATACAGTAAACAAAATTTATAAAAAAACTGAAAAAAAAAGTATTTTTTTTTGTAAAATCCAGAAAAAAGTTACGTTGTTTATTTTGTAAATTTGCAAAATAACAATCTTTAAATTAAAAGTTAAACAAAGTACAAAAGTAAGAAAAATAAAATAATTTTATTTTAACGAAATTTGTAAATTTTGTGAAATTATGTAAATAGACCAGGGTCGATAATTTTTGAAACCAAAAAAAATAACAGTAGGATGAAACCCATTGGAAAAGGAGAAGAATATAATAAAAATGAAAGGAAAAATAAATTACGGGCGATCTGACTTCGGGAAGTGGGAGGGGGGGGTTTTTAAGGGTAAAAAAATCATGTAAGCAAAAAAATCTAAAAATAGTAAAAAAATAATAATAAAATTTAAAAAAGAAAATCTTTTAAAATCCAGATATTTTGTAAATTTGCAAAATAACAACCTTTCAGTTATAACTTTTATAAAAGTAAAAAAAACAATAAAAAAGTACAAAAGTAAAATAAAATTAAGTGAAATTTGTATTTTTTTTGAAATTATGTAAATTTGCAAAACAAAACCTAAAAGAGTAAAAAAATCTAAAATACAGTAAACAAAATTTATAAAAAAACTGAAAAAAAAAGTATTTTTTTTTGTAAAATCCAGAAAAAAGTTACGTTGTTTATTTTGTAAATTTGCAAAATAACAATCTTTAAATTAAAAGTTAAACAAAGTACAAAAGTAAGAAAAATAAAATAATTTTATTTTAACGAAATTTGTAAATTTTGTGAAATTATGTAAATAGACCAGGGTCGATAATTTTTGAAACCAAAAAAAATAACAGTAGGATGAAACCCATTGGAAAAGGAGAAGAATATAATAAAAATGAAAGGAAAAATAAATTACGGGCGATCTGACTTCGGGAAGTGGGAGGGGGGGGTTTTTAAGGGTAAAAAATTGTTTATCTCGATTTCCGGCAAAACTACAAGTCCTATGGAAAAAAGTTAAATGGAAAAGTTGTAGGTAATAAAAGGATCTACAACTTTTGTAATTACAATTTTTTTACATAACCTCAAAATTTATGTGAAAAATTCAAAAAACCAAGTTTTTGGTTTTTTATTTTTATCTTTTTAAAAAAAAAAAATTTTTCCACGAAATTTGGTGAAAACTTACCTTTTTATGTCCCAAATACACTGTAATTTATTTGATTTGAAATATTTATTATTTCGCCTTATTTTGACTTAATATCAAAAAAGCACCCTAATTTTCAATCGAAAATTCTCGCGTCAAAATATCAGCTTTTTTCAAAAAGTCGGTGTGCTTTTTGTTCGTTGAAATCTCTACTTTCTGATTAGGCGAAAATTAGGCGAAATAATAAATATTTCAAATCAAATAAATTACAGTGTATTTGGGACATAAAAAGGTAAGTTTTCACCAAATTTCGTGGAAAAAAATTTTTTTTTGAAAAAGATAAAAATAAAAACCAAAAACTTGGTTTTTTGAATTTTTCACATAAATTTTGAGGTTATGTAAAAAAATTGTAATTACAAAAGTTTTAGATCCTTTTATTACCTACAACTTTGACATTTAACTTTTTTCCATAGGACTTGTAGTTTTGCCGGAAATCGAGATAAACTATTTTTTACCCTTAAACCCCCCCCTCCCATTTCCCGAACTCAGATCGCCCGTAATTTATTTTTCCTTTATTTTTTATTATATTCCCCTCCTTTTCCAATGGGTTTCATCCTACTGTTATTTTTTTTCTCTTTTTACCATTTTTAAAGGCTTCTGCACTGGTCTAAAATGTCCAAAAAAACCTTAAGAGTTAAAAAGGTCAAAAAAATAATATTACCAAAAAGTAATAAAATCTAAAAAATACATAGTACAAACTAAACAAAAAAAAAGCAAATTTAAAGCATCTAAAAAATTGTGTAATTTGCAAAAGCCAAAAAAATAATATTACCAAAAAAGGAAATAAATAAAATAATAATAATAAATAAAATTTAAGAAAGGAAAATTTTGTCAAAACCAGAAAAAGTTGAAGTATCTAAAAAAATACGCATAAGTTAAAAGTGAAAGAAATCATTTTAGTGAATTTATGTAAATTTGCAAAAAAACTTAAAAAATCAAAGTAATAAAATTTTAATAAATTCAAAGTAGGTAAAAGTATTGTTTGTAAAATCTAAAAAGTACAAAAATTTTGTAACAAAATAGCACAAAAAATAATATGATTTAAAAAAGAAAATTATGTAAAACGCAGAAAAAGTTAAAAAATATCTAAAAAAGTTTGCAAATAACAACCTTCAAAAGTAAAAAAAGCATAAAAAAGTACAAAGTAAGAAAAGTAAAATAATTTTATTTTAGGGAAATTTCGCAATATTTAGAAGAATTTAAAAAAAACTGCAAAAGTAAGAATAGTAAAAGAAAAGTAACTCACCTCGCTGCCGGCATAAAATGCTGCGGCCGCGGCTGATAACCGCACACCGCGTTCCTAAAACCGCCGGTCGTGATAGTCTCCGGGGGCGGCAGAACCACCGGCGGCGACCTTTTCACCTCCTCCACCTCCACCAGACTCTCCCCGGACGTCGAATTCCTCTTCGGCGACCCCGTCGAAGAAGTCGACTCGAAGCCCTCGTACCGAATCGCGCCGTTGCCGCGTATCAAGCTCACAGTTTCCACCGTTGCCGAGCACGTTTCCCCATCGGAAGACGAGGAGGACGACGACGAGGAGGAGGTCGAGGGGTCGCTGGGCAAAAAGGGGTTCGTGTTTTTTTTCTTCTTCTCCTCACTCGGGTTATGCACCCCGAAATCATTGTAATCCTCCGGGAGGTCTAGGTTTAAGTTTAGGAAGGGGTTGGTTTTTTTTTCCACGCCGTTCGGGATGAATTCTTTGATTGTATCGAGGTTTATGCTGTCGAAGTCCAAGTTGGAAGTTTTCAGCAGGAAATCGTCATTGTCAGATGCATATTCCGTAGCATCTGATAAGTCGAGATCCTCCAAAAGTTTCGTGGATAAAGCGTAGTTACTATCGATAACGTTTTCGACGACATTATCTTCCTCTTCCTCCTCCTCCCACTCCTCCAGAAAATACCCCAACTCCTCCAACTCTTTACGCACACTTTCCCCGTAGTCACCAAACGCGTCAAAATCCGCCGAAACACTCCTCACGACATCGATATCATAGTCGTGCAAGATCGGTGTGGAAAAACCGTCCACTCCCGCACTCTCCAAGAGCCTGGCGTGCCTTTGCGCCACCCCCTTCTCCTCGGCGCTCGTTTTGAAGTACTGCGGCATGCAGAAGTTGAGGGGCACCTCGCACTCGTGGAAGCCCGACATTTGCGCGCCGTTCGGGGCAAGTCCGTACTCAAGTTCGTCGAACGTCGGAAACAGGTGCAGGTTTTTTACGATCGGTTGCGCGGTTAGTTTGAGCTTGCGTGGGAGGCGCTCCTGCAACATTTTTTCGATTTTTTTTTAATGCTCTTTAACGTTCAAAGCAATCCATTTTCAATTTTAACGTTCCAACGGGCACAACTTTGCTATTTATGGGGAGACGTTTTATTTTTTATTCAGTAATTTTTTGTGTGTTATTTTCAATTAAATAAATAATATCACATAAGATTTTTTTAATTATTATTAATTCGTTAAATTAAAAATACACTCACGTGCAAAATAATCGATCCACACAAATTTTCGACGAATTTCAATCGCAAATAACTTTTTTATTTGTTGTCGGATTTAAACGAATATTAAAGAATATTGTAGATAAATTAATGGACAATCGCTCACATTTAAAAAAAATACTAAAAAATAGACGTTTGTTTATAATATACAGGTTTAAACAAAAATATGTTTTTTACCATAAGTTTAAGACACTCTGTAGAGTGGCAAAACCGTATATTATTCTAAATTAAGTTTTAATTATCAAATCACATCTATTCTTAACAGTTTTGTTTTTGGTTCACCTCGATATATTTATTATTGTGGAAAATATGGATTTTTTTAAAAAACATTGCAATTTCCAATATTTTTCCTGTATGAAGAACTAAACTTGCTATGGTCCATCCATATGCTATGGAGAATGACAGTGACAGTTTTGTTGAATCATCCCATACTTGGACATGTCATACACGGCTTTCAAAAGCTATCAAATTGTTTTTTGCAAATTAATGTTTAAATTTTGAGGTGTTTTCTTACTTTAAAAAATGGATATGTCTCCGACTGATGTTGCCAGAGCCATTAATTTAATCCAGGATGGACGGTCACAGTATTACGTGGCAAGTGTTTTAAACGTCACAAGAAGTAAAGTACAAAAGGCAACATCAGTCGGAGACATTTTTAAAAGTAAGAAGACATCTCAAAATTAACACATTAATTTACAAAAAACAATTTGATAGCTTTTGAAAGCTGTATATGACATGTCCAAGTATGGGATGATTCAACAAAACTGTCACTGTCATCCTCCATAGCCTATGGATGGACAATAGCAACCTTAGTTCTTCATACTGGAAAAATATTAGAAATATTTTTAAAAAAATCCATATTTTCCACAAAAATAAATATATCGAGGTGAACCAAAAACAAAACTGTTAAGAATAGATGTGACTTGATAAATAAAACTTAATTTAGAACAATATACGGTTTTGCCACTCTACAGAGTGTCTTAAACTTATGGTAAAAAACATATTTTTGTTTAAACCTGTATATTATAAACGCACGTCTATTTTTTAGTATTTTTTTAAAATGTGAGCGATTGTCCATTAATTTATCTACAATATTCTTTAATATTCGTTTAAATACGACATCAAATAAAAAAGTTATTTAGGATTGAAATTCATCGAAAATTTGTGTGGATCGATTATTTTGCAAGTGAGTGTATATCATTTATATAATATTCATAAACTTGTATTTTTTACCTACATTTTGCATTTCTATACATACTAGTACCAAAAGAACTTGTTATTGTGGTAGCAACTTTCATTGAATAAAATATAATTGAAATACAAATTTACATGTTATAAAATAGTTATAATACAAAAAAAAATAAATAAATATCCAAATTTTGATATATATCGGATATATATCGATATATATCAGATATTTGGATATTTATATAAATATCATATTTGCCAGCCCTAGAAATTTTTAAATGGGTTAAAATTATCATAAAAGATATATATTAATGAAATTTATAAATTTTACGAAATTATGTAATTTGCAATGAAAACCCAAAAAAGTAAAAAAATCTAAAAAATAGTAAAAAAAGAACTAAAAAACGTAAAAGAAATAAAACAACAGAAAATTTTGTAAAATCTACTTAATTTAAAATATTTGCTTCTTATATTTGTATGTTTTTAATTATTATTTATATATAATGTTTTTAATTATTTTTAATTCGCTAATATAAAAATATCGTAGAAGAAATTTTAAAATGTATTACAAATATCATAGGACATACTTTTAATTTTTATTTTATTAAATAAGCAAATAATTTTAATTAAACAAAAGTAAAATGATTTTATTTTAGTAAAATTGTAAATTTCATGAAATTTTACAATAAAAACTCAAAAAATATTAATAACAAAAAAGTAAAAAAAAAAATGTAACAATAGCAGGGTTTGAAAATATCATGATATTTATATAAAAATCCGATATATATCCATAATAAATATCCAATATAAATCGAGTGATATATACATATTGGCAAATATCATACGGTAAATTTAAAGTGCCATAGCGTTAAAACGCCCTATAGCAGAAACTTAAATTAAAAACAGTTTTATTAAAAATTCTTTTTTCTACAATTTGACATTTTGCAATAAAAAACGCAAATAGAGATAAAAAAGTCAAAAAATGGTAAAAAAACATTTAATATAAAGAGAATATTTTGTAAAATCGAAAAAGTACGAAATAAACAAAAAAAATAAAAAGAACTAAAAAAACGTACAAGAAATAAAACAAAGGAAAATTTTGTAAAATCCATCTAATTTAAAAAATTTGCTTCTTATACATATTTGTATTATAAACACATATTTTTGATTCGCTAAATTAAAAATATCATAGGAGACATTTTTAAATGTATGTAAATTTGCAATAAAAAACCCAAAATGAGATAAAAAAGTCAAAAATAATATTACCAAAAAAATAAAAAAATCTAAAAAAAGTAAAAAAAAAATAATATCAAAAGTATATTTTGTAAAATCTAAAAAGTGCGAAATAAACAAAAAAATTAAAAAGAACTAAAAAAACGTCAAGAAATAAACCAAATGTAGTTTTGTAAAATCTAGTTAGTTGCTTCTTATATTTGTATTTTGTTGTTAAACACACGCTAAATTAAAATTATTATAGGAATTTTTTTTAATAATTTAATTTAATTTGTAAATATTTAGTATGATACTTTTAATTTGCAGAATAAAAATTCTTAAAAGATATTTCTTATCTAATTGTAAATATCACTTTAGTGTGAATAATTCATGAATGAAAAATAAAACAGCGCCCCATATCTATTCGAATAATAATAATAATAATATTAAATATGGATGAAAATGGATTTTTTTATTATCAAGTTTCCCGTCAACTGTTAAACTTGAATATGGACTTGCCCTTTTACAAAAAAGGTATTTTAATTTAAAATAACGATATTAAATTAAAATAATATATTTTTAACCTTCATAAATTTTATATGAGCATTTTGTATAAAAAATAATTATAACAATTCTTAAAACGTAATATGTACACCACACCGATTGTTTTAAACTTTAAAATTACAAGCCACTTTTTTTTGGCTTAATTTTTGCAACATTAACAACCGCTTTTTTCCCTCCGAACTTTGTTGCTCTTGTTTTTTGATGTTTACCTTATCGCTGGTCAGCGCGAATCCTTCGTCGACTAAAACGTCATTTATATAAAATATTTTTTGGTCAGTCACGTCGGCCAGAAATATTTCGATAATTTTTTCCTTAAAGTTAAAAAAAACGCAAATATTAAATATAATTAACGCATAAACGAAATTATTTGCCTACCTTCCAGTCAATGGAGCTAATTTTGGCCTCCAGGTCCCTGCCCTTGATTAACTGGCAAAATCTCTGCCTGGCCTCTTGGGGCCAAGGCCCCATATCCTCTACAGGGACGACGTTTGCAAGTCTGCACCTTATTTGTTGCCAGGGAATTTGGGCAAACTTCCTGTGCAGAAAGCAAATTCCCTGCGAGGGCGCTTTCGTCAGAGTTCCGTAGTCAATGTACAACAGCTGAAATTGTTTAGTTATCTTAAAATTAAGACCAACTTTGACAGTCTGTAGTTTTGTTATTGTTTAACCAAATAAAAAAATAATTACATCAAATTTTGGATAATTTCATCTACTTTAAGAAAATGTAAATATCTTATTATGCCCCATTATAATATTTCGAGATTATCCACAAAATTTATAGTCATGTCAATTTAAGTTCTCTTAAAATTAAGACCAACTTTGACAGTCTGTAGTTTTGTTATTTTTTACCCAAATAAAAAAATAATTACATCAAATGTTGGATAATTTCATCCACTTTAAGAAAATGTAAATATCTTATTATGCCCCATTATAATATTTCGAGATTAAACACAAAATATAGTCATGTCAATTTCAGTGGTCTTAAAATTAAGACCAACTTTGACAGTCTGAAGTTTTGTTATTTTTTACCCAAATAAAAAAATAATTGTATCAAATGTTGGATAATTTTATCCACTTTAAGAAAATGTAAATATCTTATTACGCCCCATAATAATATTTCGAGATTAAAACAAAATATAGAGACATGTCAATTTCAGTTGTATTAAAATTAAGACCAACTTTGACAGTCTGTAGTTTTGTTATTTTTTACCCAAATAAAAAAATAATTACATCAAATGTTGGATAATTTCATCTACTTTAAGAAAATGTAAATATCTTATTATGCCTCATAATAATAATATTTCGAGATTAAAACAAAATATAGAGTCATGTCAATTTCAGTTGTCTTAAAATTAAGACCAACTTTGACAGTCTGTAGTTTTGCTAATTTTTACTCAACTAAAAAAATAATTGTATCAAATGTTGGATAATTTTATCCACTTTAAGAAAATGTAAATATCTTATTACGCCCCATAATAAAATTTCGAGATTAAAACAAAATATAGAGTCATGTCAATTTCAGTTGTCTTAAAATTAAGACCAACTTTGACAGTCTGTAGTTTTGTTATGTTTTACCCAAATAAAAAAATAATTGTATCAAATGTTACCTTAACTTGTCCCTTGACATCTGGCATTGTATCAACAATTAAAGCTCTGTGGTACTCATTGTAGATGACCTGAACGCAATACAGACCGTCCACCAGCAAAAATTCCGGTATAAGGTACTCATCCTTTTGGGCCTGATAAAAAACCCTACAAATTCGATTGTCGGTACATTTTTGGACATTTAAGGACGCTTTCGAAAACAAAACTCACTGCATTTCGTTCATCATCCGGTCCAGAGGCGAATTGTACAGGTAAATCCAAAACTTTGACGGGTCGTATATTTCCACGACAACCACCCGGATCTGCTCGTTTTCTTTGGTATTTTCCGGTACGAAACCTTTCGAAATTATGTGGCCCACCTTGCACACGTCGCTCGGAATAAGCGGACTGCAGTCTAACCACTTAAAAAGTGGTTTTAACGTTTATTAAATAATTTTTTAATTTCAAATTTTAGGTTTACATTTATAAATTTAAAACTTAAAATTTTTAGTTAAAAGTTTAAAGATTAAAGTTTGGCACTTACATTATGTTTTAACAGAAATTTTTAAAGTTAAATTTTTTTTAACTCAAAACAATTGATAGTCAACAAAATATTTTAAATATAAATGCAACAGTAACAATTTATGTTTAAAAATATTGATTTTTAAAAGTTTTGGTTATAATATTTTATTCCACAAAATTATTGGTTTAAATTTTAAAAGTCATTTAAATGATAGTTGATAAATTTTTAATACAAAAATTCTCAAATTACATTTAAATGTAAGTTTTAAATTTTAAAGTAGTAATTTTTGGATTAAAAATTTATCGACAATCATTTAAATGACTCTTTACAAATTTAAACCAAAATTTTTTATTTTCAACAACTTCAAAGCGATATATTTTAAGACAAAATTTATAACTTTACATTTAAATGTAAGTCGATAATTTTTAAATTACAAAGTGTAAACGTAGCTTTAGTAGAAGGCACAAGAGTCTGGGATCGGAGCCACGATGCAGCCAGTTTGATCCGCAGTGTTGCCAAATCGTGCTTGCTCCATAAATATTTGACGCGTTTTACAAATTATCGTATTGAAATGTTTTTTTATTAAATAAATTTAATTATAGAAAAATAACATTTTTAGTGCCTATTGTACTAAGATAATTTGAAAATTAAAAAACATTTTTTCTAATTTTTAAGAAAATTTTTTTTAAAATGTAGTGCCACAATATTACGTGCCTTCTACTAAAGCTACGTTTACACTTTGTAATTTAAAAATTATCGACTTACATTTAAATGTAAAGTTATAAATTTTGTCCTAAAAATGTATCAATTTAAAATTGTTAAAAATAAAAGTTATTGGTTTAAATTTATAAAGAGTCATTTAAATGATAGTCGATACAATTTTAATGCAAAAATTACCACATTAAAATTTAAAACTAACATTTAAATGTAATGTTGAAACTTTTGTATTGAAAATTTATCGACCATCATTTAAATGATTCTTTACAAATTCAAACCAATAATTTTGAAGAATAAAATATTAAAATTACATTTTTTAAACATCAATATTTTTAAACTTAAACTTTTACAGTTGCATTTTATATTTAAAATATTTTTTGATTATCATAGGTGTTGAGTTTACAAAAATTTAACTTTTTAAACTTTTGGTAGAAAATGTTTTATATGTGTTTTTATTTTAAATGGCTTGATACTATTTTTAAATACTAAAAAATTTAACTTTACCAAATTAATCTCAATAATTTTATAAAATATTTATTTAAGTTTACAAAATGCCACCCAAATAAATTATACTTGAGAAATTATTTTTATTAAAAAATGATAGTTAGAAATTTTTGCAAAAATTGATAGAAAATAATATTGTTTAATACAGAAGTAAACTGTTATTTAGTAAATTTTGTCTTTCAATACATGATAGTTGAAAAGATTTTAAATTTATAAATTTAAACCTAAAATTTTTAGTTGGGAAAATTTTAAACCAATAAAATTTTAAATTAAACAATTACTTAATAAATGTTAAAACGTGCCATACAGTTCACTTCTGTATTAAACAATATTATTTACAATTAATTTTTTCAAAAATTATTATCATTTTTTAATAAAAATAATTTATTTGGGCAGAATTTTGTAAATTATAAATAAATTTTTTAGTATTTAAAAATAGTGTCAAGACATTTAAAATAAAGTCACATATAAAACATTTTCTACCCTAATAGTTTAAAAAGTTATTTTTTTTAATATTATAACAATTCATAATCAAAAAATATTTTAAATATAAAATGCAAATGTAAAAGTATAAAATATTGGTTTTTAAAAATTATAGTTTTAATATTTTATCCTACAAAATTATTGGTTTATATTTGTAAAGTCATTTACTTAAATGATAGTTGATAAATTTTTAATCCAAAAATTACCACTTTAAAATTTAAAATTCACATTTAAATGTAATGTGAGAATTTTTCTATTAAAAATGTATTGACTATCATGACTCTTTACCAATTTAAATCGAAAATTTTGTAGATAAAATATTTGAACTAAAATTTTAAAAATCAATATTTTGAGTTTAAAAAAATGTAACTTAAAACATCATTCTACCTAAATCAATGAATTTTTGATAAAAATTTTGACGGCAAAAACAGACTACCAAATAAAAAATACAAAATGTACTTACATCCAAATGAGCGATGGACTCTTCAACCTCAGAAATCTCATCAAACAAATTGTTATCCTTTCTGGCCTCTAAAGGCAGTGGCTTAGTTTTATCATACAGCCTATAATCGCACATTCCGGGTTGATGACAATGAAATATCCCGGATAAATCCATGCACAAATCAATAAGTCTTCTGTAGCCGTAAATTTCGTAGTCTAGTTTTCTATTGTACCTTTTCCTGTGAGAAAAATAAATGAGCCACAACTCCCAGCAACAAATTTTTATTTATTTATCGTATTTTGCTTGAAAACTAACGCTTTTGAAATTTAAAAACTTTTATTTTTAAGGTATTTTTTAGTATAATTTAACTAATGAAAAAAGGTTTTTTCAAGAGTTTAAATTTACTATAAATAAACCAAATATTTTTAACTAACACTGTGCAACACCAAAAATCAAACCGCACCGGACTATTTTTTTCTGAAAATATACCTATCCAATAGCAAAACCCTCGCTGGGTTTGTAAAAGTTAGCTCGATTTATTTTTTTATGGCCGTTTGTATTTTCTAGCTTCATATACCCCAATTTAGACTTATTAATCGATTTTTTCGCATATATTCGATTTATATCGTCAAGATTTTTTGTAGAAATGTAGTAACTGAACAAATAAACCCATTTTGTGAACAACCCATATCCCAAAACCCAATTTTTGGGACCAAATATTCGAAAAAAAATTTTTTTTTCAATTTTTTCGATAATATTTAAAATTTCTTGCTACTTCTTCTGGCAAAAATGTTGTAAAGTATACTAAAAGAAGTAATTTATAAAATACGCACACAAAACTGAACTTTAAGTTTACTTATTTGCTGGAAAACAATTTTTAAACAAGATTTTCCAAAATATTCATCTTTTCATACTCAACACCAATCTTTTTGCCGAAATCTTTGGAAAATCTGTAGTAAAAATTGAATAGATAAAATAAAATTGTAGAAAAGTACAGAGTTTGATTTTTTATTTTGTATTAATTTTATTATTAAATTTTTTTTTATATCAAAACATTGAGTAATCTGATTCATTGCTGGAGAATTCCATACCTTCCACTTCTTCTCCTTTATTTTCTTGTTCTTCATTTTCATTTTTTGATTCATCACTGGAGAATTCCATCCGTTCATTTCATATATTTTTTATATTCATTTCATTTCAGAAAACTTTGACAGGGCCTTGGTTGACAATGAGATAGTTGCGTGGGCGTCGATAAGAGAAATCATCGTTGGATTTTTAGGCAAACATCGTTCTCCCAATTATGAAGGATCTGTGCGACGAATGTTGGATGTTTTTTTCCAAAATTGGAGTCAATATGTCGCTAAAAATTCATTTCCCTCATCGCCATTTGGACTACTTCAGTCGACAGTTATCGACACAATCATCAAACTGCGATGCCATTTGAGTCCAGATAAAGAGGAAAACGAGCTCCAGATGCCATACTAGCCGAAACATTTTGGTGAAGTAAACATATTTTTGACTACGATCAGAAAGAAAATGAAAATGAAGAACAAGAAAATAAAGGAGAAGAAGTGGAAGGGATGAAATTCTCCAGTGATGAATCAAAAATGAAAATGAAGAGCAAGGAAATAAAGGAGAAGAAGTGGAAGGGATGGAACTCTTCAGCAATGAATCAGATTACTCAATGTTTTGATATAAAAAAGTTTTTTAATAATAAAATTAATACAAAATAAAAAATCAAACTCTCTGTACTTTTCTACAATTCTATTTTATCTATTCAATTTTTTCCTACAGATTTTTCGGCAAAATATTTGGTGTTGAGTGTGAAAAGATGAATATTTTGGAAAATCTTGTTCAGTTTTGTGTGCGTATTTTATAAATTACTTCTTTTGGTATACTTTACAAGATTTTTGCCAGAAGAAGTAGCAAGAAATTTTAAATATTATCAAAAAATAAAAAAAAAAATTTCGAATATTTGGTCCCAAAAATTGGGTTTTTGGGATATAGGTTGTTCACAAAATGAGTTTATTTGTGCAGTAACTACATTTTTACAAAAAATCTTGACGATATAAATCGAATATATGCGAAAAAAATCGATTTATAGGTCTAAACTGGGGTATATGAAGCTCGAAAATACAAATGGCCATAAAAAAAAAATTCGAGCTAACTTTTACAAACCCAGCGAGGGTTTTGCTATTGGATAGGTATATTTTTAGAAAAAAATGGTCCGGTGCGGTTTGATTTCGATGACCCGAAAATTGTCGCACAGTGTAATTAGTAATATTACTTATAAGTTAAAAAGTAGGTTATTTTAGAAGTTACATAACGTTTGGTTAATTTGAAAATGTTTAAAACGTATTTTCAAATTAAACAAACAAATATTTAACTATTTTTTTAATTTAATTTACATTAACCGAATTTAAACCAAAACCAAAGAATTATAAATTACTGATGTGTAAATAAAGTAGTTAAATTAAACCAGGGTTGGAATAAGTCATGACTTTTATAAAAAAGTCCGACTTTTTTAAATAAATCAGACTTTTTGAATTAATTCACTTAAAAAAATATATTCTTGGCTTACTAAAACACAACACAGAAGTTTTTATTTTCTTCAAAAATCTTAATAAATAAAAACCATAAAATAACAAAAAATGCAATTTGTTTCAAAACAAATAAAAATATTGATTATTCAAAAATATTAAAACATAAAATAACAAAACATGCAATTTTTGTAAAACAAAATGAAACATAAATGATAAATACATGAGCAACTTAGTAATACTTATTATTATTGTAAAAAAATTTAATAAAATTCAATAAAATAACCTCGAAAATAACCAAATGGTTAATTTATATTGGTTATATAACCAATAAGTAAAGCATCCTAAAATCACAATATTGTTTGCTGTTCATTGTAACAAAAGGAAATTAATTTTAATAATTTGTTTTATTCCAAAAATAAGGTAATTTAAACAAACCAATATATTATGTTTAAAAGTATTTTAAATCAATTTCAAACGAAATAAAGAAAAAATAACAAAAAAAAATATTCTTTTTAATTTTTATTTTCTTTATTTCCTATTATATTCAAAGCGCATTTAAATTATTATGTACCACCTACTTACTTCAAAAGAAGAAAAAAATTCCCATTGGTTTTTCCCTATCTCTTTAAAATATCAATACCAAATATTACCTTCTTTTTAACCAGAAAACACAAAAAAACAAAATTAATTTTTTATCCAATTAGCAACTAAAATGTGGGTATTTTTTAAGGTTTTGCTAAGTTTAGGGGATTTTTTTAAAATTTTTAAAAAGTTTAAAATTTTTTGACAATTTATATGTAGATAATTATCAGTATTTTTTTTTACCACTAGAATTAGCTATTTTATTTTTTTTAACAGAGAATAGAACTTTAAATTAAAAATAAATAAATAATAATTAGTACTAACCTGTAATATGTGGGTAAATCTGAGCACCAAATACCATCGGGAAACTTTGAAATAATCTCTTTCAGTTCATTTTGCATACATTCCGGCACATTCACATGTTTTGAACTGGTATTTTTAAGCACTTTACTACTTCTAGTATCCTTATCTTTAACCACAGACACTGAACTTTTATCCACTGTACTTTTATAGGGAATACTTATTTCTGGTTTTGGCTCGCATTTGACAACCGGCTTATTTATATTTACATTTGGTGATGGCGCAACACCATTTTCATACCTAACAGGGGCTCCGATTATTGTGTGTAAAAGAGGGGGTGGTTTTTTGGGGGGTTCGACTGGTGTTGGCGGTTGTTTATATGGCATTTGAGAGGGGTATTGCATTTTTCTAATGGGGGTGTTTTTGGGCCGCGCCATCATATATCGTTTCCTGAAAATATTTTTACAGTGATATTTTGTTTTATTTTTTTTATTATTCTTACATTGGCCCCTTTATGGTAACTTTTTGTCTGGTAACCATCTCATTAATATGAGCCGTCTTCTCTGATACAATTGGCAATACTGATGCATTGGGGCCATATCCATTAACCTTAAAAAAGTCAAATAACCTACAAAACACGGATTATAAAAGAATGTGTACTTACAGAACATGTGTCAGGTATGGACTTGAGGAAGTGTTCCAAATTAGAGTACCCCATTCTTTGGACGGGAATGTCTTCGCCAATTGTGTTTTTGTAGTCATTTTGCAATTTTCTAACAGTCAAAACCAGTGGAGTCGACGTCAACAAACTTCTTATGCACGATTTTACCCCGTTTTCAAAGTCTGAAGCCATTTTGGGGTACACGTTATTATCACAATGCGTTAATAAGTCTTTACTATGATTTGTTTATGGCTAACAATATTCCCACGCAAAAATAAAAAATAATTATAGGTAAGCGATTTTTTATACATGAAAAAAGATTTCTTTAAGTGTGATACCAACCGAAGAATACCAAGTTGGTGTTATGATACCAACATTAAAAATATTTAATATGTATGATGGGTTGCCTATATAATTTCTATGCATATTAAAATATAGCAGTATGTAACACAAAATGGTTTAGAAAAGCTGTGTAGTATTTCTATATGTGTATGTGGTTTGAATTTCACATTCACAGATTCACAGATTATAAACGTCAACTGTCAAAATGCTTTTTAAGGTTAATTTAAAGGTAAACAAGATCTGTTTTGTTGTGAATAGTTTTGGAAGAAACTAAATTTAAAAATAAGATGAGCCACCACGGGGGCAGGTATCGCAGCAGGTCGCGATCTCCAAGGCGAAGATCCCCAAAAAGGGTGAAACATTCGCATTCAAGAATGGACTCAGATAATGATTACAAAAACCACAACAGCAGTCACCATCGTGGTTCGCAGCAACATTCGAGAGGACCGCCTACAGCAAAAAAGTTTTTATCGCAAGAGGATGATTTCATGGAGGCCCGTAGGCAAGAGAGAGAAATTATGGGAATGAGACCATCGACTGTATGGGGCAGGTCTCCCTCGCCACATCAGTAAGTTTTGGCATTAATTTTACAATCTCTTAAAGTGTATCTAACATTTAATATAATTGTTTTTATAATTGGGTAAAAAATAACAAAACCTCAGACTGTCAAAGTTGGTCTTAATTTTGAATTTAAAAAATAACAAAACCGTTAAAATATTATTATATATATTGTATCCTATTTAAACAAGGTTGAATTCAGACAATGATGAGAAGGTGAAAAAGGAGGCAGGTGTAAGTAAAAAGGAAAAGAAAAAGAAAAAAAGCAAGAAGCATAAAAAGGAGAAAAAGGCGAAAAAAGATAAAAAGAAGAAGAAAAAAAGGAAACACAATTCATCAAGTAGCGACAATAGTGGGGCTGAGGAGGAAAAGTGGGTTGAAAAACCAGGTTAGTAAAAAAACAAGTTTTACAAGTTTTATTTTGTTTTGCTACATACTTATTTTGAAATAAATAATATGTAGTTATTCAGTTATACCTAGTTTCTGATTTTGTCTTTTTAAAAAGTGTTGCAAAATAAGCCAAATAAATCGTTTTTGTGAAGTACTTCATACGTATAAGTAAATTTTTAAATTTCAATTTTATCATATGTAGTTTTGTAAGAAGAAATGGACTATTTTACAAATTTTTCTAAACATGTTCTAATCAAATTTGTATGGCAAAATGTTTTAAAAATACGCTAAAGAAGCATCGCTAGTAGCGTCACATTTACATCACAAAACTAAAACCTTCTAGTTTTGTGAGTTATTTACATAGAAATAATTTCTATAATAATTATATAATTATTATATAGATAGAAGAACTAAACCCAAATATTGGCGCCAAAGTTGAAGTGGAGAAATTACGCATAAATACCTACTATGCATTTGAACTACTGCAGTTGCCACTTCCTGCCACATTCTCGAAACGCCAAATTAATTTTTCTTACTACCTCGACTGAAAATACGTTGTTTCGTCCCCGATTCCACGGCAGAAAGTTTACGTTTCTTGCATTGGTCAAGCTATACGCGCACACTCTATAATAGCGGGAGTAAAAATTTTTTATTCGTGTGCTCAACATATGCAACTCTGATTACGACACTAATATAACCTCAAAATTTGGCAGGCATCAATATGTTTCGATATACACATTTAATTTTTTCCCGTATTTTCGGCCAGGTTGTATTTTCGGCCGAGGTAGTAAGAAAAATAGTATACACTACATGGGCAGAAAGTGTGAGAGCCCTGAACATGGCGCGCAGTGCAGGAATCTCACACTTTCTGCCCTTGTAGTGTAATATACTACACCTTTTCCAGTTGATATTCAGAAAGTAGGAATTGTAATTCAGTTATTCCAGTTGATATTCAGATAGTAAGAATTGTAATTCAGCTATTCCAATTGATTTTAAGAGAGTAGCATATGTAATTCAGATAACACAATTGATTTTAAGAAAATAGCAATTGTAATTCAGATAATTCAATTGATTTTCAGAAACTTGCAATTGTAATTCAGAAAGTAGCAAATGTTTTTCAGATTAAATCAAATGTAATTCAGCCGCAGCAATTGTTTCAGGAACAGTGGGTTGCATACAGTAAATCGATGATGAATGAAAGTACACGTTTTCTTTATTAACTAAATAAATGAAATTTATATAAAGTACAAATGAAGAAAATTCGGTCCTTACTTGCAATAAGTTGACAATTACGACAAATATACCTACTTAAATGGTAATAAATTTGTTTACTATTGTCAATTCCATGGAAACAAAGCAATATACATATATGTATACAAAGAAATACTACATTAAATTGAGATTTTAGAAAATAAGTAAAATGAAGTATGAAAATTATATCATTTGTTAATTTCTGAATTTCAATTGACATATTCTGAATTACAATTTTTACTGTCTGAATACTATTTGTAATTTCTGAATATCAATTGCTACTGTCTGAATATCATTTGCAATATCTGAATTACATCAGCTACTTTCTGAATATCATTTGAAATATCTGAATAACATTTGTTATTTTCTGAATTTCATTTGCAATATCTGAAAATCAATTGCTGCTTTCTGAATATCAATTGCTACTTTCTGAATATCAACTGGAAAAGGTGTAGTATTTGTACCATATAAATTTAAATTTTTAAATCAAAAATTACCACTTTAAAATTTAAAACTAACATTTAAATGTAATGTTCAAATTTTTGTATTGAAAATTTATCGATTATCATTTAAATGACTTTACAAATTCAAACCAATAATTTTGAAGAATAAAATATTAAAATTCCAATTTTTAAAATTAATATTTTTAAACTTAAACTTTTACAGTTGCATTTTATATTTAAAATATTTTTTTATTATCAATAGTTTAGAGTTTACAAAAATTTAACTTTTTAAACTATTTTGGTAGAAAATGTTTTATATGTGTTTTTATTTTAAATGGCTTAAGCCAATTGATACTATTTTTAAATACTAAAAAATTAAACTTTACGAAATTAATCTCAATAATTTTATAAAATATTTATTTAAGTTAACAAAATGCCACCCAAATAAATTATACTTGGGAAATTTTTGCAAAAATTGATAGAAAATAATATTGTTTAATACAGAAGTGAACTGTTGGTTAGTAAATTTTGTCTTTCAATACATGATAGTTAAAAATATTATAAATTTATAAATGTAAACCAATAAAATTTTAAATTAAAAAATTATTTAATAAATGTTAAAACGGCGTGCCATAGTTGAGTGAAGAATGCTTTTACGTTAATTGAAACCACCAATTTATTCCACTAATTACGAGGTTCTGAATGAGGATTAAAAATTGGAATTTCCTTAATGGGGTAGTTAAATTTTTTTTTACCTATATTTTTTATGGTTTTATTCAAGGCGTTTTGTAATATTAAACATTTCTGTGAAATCAGAATTTCAATTGTGTTTACCGTTTTCGAGATATTTACAAAAAATATAAATTTTTATGACGTCACAAACCTCGCCATGTGACCAACATTCTAAGATTTCTATTGGTTGAAAATTACCCTGTTGTCAAATTGTCTTGTTAATGATTTCATTCGGTTATGTCAGAAAATACCCGAAGAGGTTATGTACAAATACTGTCACTGTCAGTTGAGTGAAAGATGGTCACCAAATTCATTAAGTACCTATCTTCCTTATTAGGAGGTATCATATTACTGTTTGATATTTTAGAGTCCAAGATATATCTAAAAGAATATAAAGAAGTAGGCATTATACTAATGAAATGCATTTACGACAAAATATGATTATAATTATAGGTAGGTACTTATTTGTTTAAAAGCTCCAATGTTCAATGTAACCAACCATTCCACAAGATTCCTCTGCTTTGGAGTCCGTTATTAATAAATCACTTATCTAATATCAATTACAAATAACATTGATTTTCAATAATCTAAATTTAAAAAAAATATTACCCGAAAAAAAGAAACGTCAAAAAATCAATTCTTCTTCTTCTTCTCAACTAAAATTATAGATCAATTGGTTTTAAAACTAAAATATTATAACGTGGCGCCATCTATCGTAAGAATCTTAAACTGAACACACTGGCAACCATAGAAAAAGCTGGCAACGTTGTCAATGGCCTAGTGACGTAATTAGGAGATTTTTTTTTGTAAATATCTCGGTAAACTCGATTGAAATTCCGATTTCACAGAAATGTTTAAAATTACAAAACGCCTTGAATAAAACCATAAAAAGTAAAGGTCAGAAAAAATTTAACTACCCCATTGTCAACAATGCTACGAGAGGGCGCGCGCGTTGCTTCTTTAGCGTATATTAATTTTATTGTTATTTTGACATTGAAACCGCAAATTTTAGCGAAAAAATCGTCGACCTCCGACTCGGAGAGCGAGGAGGATGGGGTGGTGGGCCCCGTGCAGAAGAGCAGCCACGCCGCCCTGAGCTACAAGGAGATGGGCAAGGCGCTGTTGCCGGGCGAGGGGGCCGCCATGGCCGCCTACGTGGCCGAGGGGAAGCGCATCCCGCGCCGAGGGGAGATCGGCTTGACTTCGGGGCAGATCGAGACGTTCGAGAGCGTGGGGTACGTGATGTCGGGATCGAGGCACCGGCGCATGGAGGCGGTGCGCATCAGGAAGGAGAACCAGATCTACTCGGCGGACGAGAAGAGGGCCCTGGCGATGTTCAGCAAGGAGGAGAGGAGCAAGAGGGAGAATCTGATCCTGGGGCAGTTCAAGGAGATGATTACTTCCAAGTTGGCTGATAAAAATACTTGATTTTTTCATTATTTATTTATTATATTACCTACCTACATATATAAATATATATATTATTGGACCATTTCCTCCTTCATAGACTTTGACTGTTAAAAAAATAAAGATGTAATTGATTAAATAGCATTTTTAATTGCAGGAAATTAAAATAATTTTATTGTGGTGAAATTTGTAAATTTTGTGAAAATATGTAAATTTGCAATAAAACCCAAAATAGAGTTAAAAAAGACAAAATAATCTAAAAAAAATCAATATAAAACGTATATTTTGTAAAATCTAGTTAATTTAAAATATATTTTAAATTTAATTTAAAATGTATTTGCTTCTTATATTTGTATTTTTTTACTAAACGCGTACTTTGAATAAAAAATATCAGGACATATTTTTAATTGAAGAAAAGTAAAATTATTTTATTGTGAAATTTGTATAATTTGTGAAATTATGCAAATTTGCAATAAAAAACCCAAAAGACTTAAAAAGTAAAAAAAATTATATTACCAAAAAAGTAAAAAAATCTAAAAAATAGTAGAAAAACTTAATATAAAAAGTATTTTTGTAAAATCTAAAAGTACGAAATATACAAAAAAATTAAAAAGAACAAAAAAACATAAAAGAAATTAAATAAAAGTAAATTTTGTAAGTTATAGTTATTTTTAATTGAAGAAAAGTAAAATAATTTTATTTTAATGAAATTTGTAATTTTGAGAAATTATGTAAATTTATAATAAAAACCAAAAAGAGAGTTAAAAAGGCAAAAAAATATTAGTTAAAAGAATCTAAAAAATAGTAAAAAGAATTAATATAAAAAGTATATTTTGTAAAATCTAAAGTATAAAGTATAAAATAAACAAAAAAATTAAAAAGAAGTAAAAAACTTACAAGAAATAAAACAAAGTGAAATTTTGTAAAATCTAGCTAATTTAAAATATTTGTATTTTTTTTGCTAAACAAATATTTTTAATTCGCTAAATTAAAAATATCATAGGAGACATATTCAAATTTATTAAAAATATCATAGGAGATTTTTTGATTCGATTTAATTTAATAAAATTTTATGAAATTATGTAAATCTACAATAAAAAACCCAAATAGAGATAAAAAAGGGAAAAAACAATATTACCGAAAAAAAATCTAAAAAATAGTACAAAAAAATAATATAAAAAGTATATTTTGTAAAATGTAGAAAGTAGGATATAAACAAAAAAATTAAAAATAACTAAACAAAGACGCAAAATAAATAAAACAACAGTAAATTTTGTAAATTCTAGTTAATTTAAAATATTTGCTTCTTATATTAATATGTTTTTTATTCGCTAAATTAAAAATAACATAGGACATATTTATAATTCGATTTAATTTTTATTTTATAAGCAGTATTTTGAATTGAAGAAAAGTAAAATAATTTTATTTTAGTGAAATTTGTAAAATTATGTAAATTTGCAATAAAAACCCCAAAAAAGGTAAAAAGACAAAATAACAATATTACCGAAAAAAATCTAAAAAATAGTAAAAAAAATTAATATAAAAAGTATATTTTGTAAAATCTAAAAAGTATGAAATAAACAAAAAAATTAAAAATTTAAAATATTTGCTTCTTATATTTGTATTTTTTTGCTATTAGCAGTTTGAAACACATTTTTAATTCGCTAAATTAAAAATATCATGAGAGAAATTTTTAATTGCGTTAAAAATATCATAGGAGATATTTTGAATTCCACCTAATTTTTATTTTATTAAATAAGCAAATATTTTTAATTGAAGAAAAGTAAAATAATTTTATTGTAGTGAAATTTGTAAATTTTGTGAAATTATGTAAATTTGCAATAAAAACCCAAATATAAAAAATAGTACAAAAAATTTAATATAAAAATTATATTTGGTAAAATCTAAAAAGTACGATATAAACAAAAGAAAATTTTGTATATCTATATTCTTATACCTATTTGTATTTTTTTGCTAAACATATTTTTAATTTGCTAAATTAAGAAGAAATTTTTAAATGTATTAAAAATATCATTGGAGATATTTTTAATTCGATTTAATTTTTATTTTATTAAATAAGCAGATATTTTTAATTGAAGAAAAGGAAAATTTTATTTTAGTTAAATTTGTAAATTTTGTGATATTGTTAATTTGCAAAAAAAACCCAAGTGTAAAATCTCCTATGATATTTTTAATTTAGCGTATTAAAAATATGTGTTTAATTCAAAAATACAAATATAAAAAATAGATTTTTTAAATTCACTAAATCATGAATAAAAATCTTAATATATAAACTACTGATTGTTAAATTTTAGATTATTTATTATAGTATTTTCATTGTATAGTACATAGTATAGTAGTAATTCACTTATAAACCCTGTTTTTTGGACCACTCTTCCCAGCTTCCTTTGTAAACTTTGACTCTGCAAAAAAAAATAGTAAATAATCATTTTTCACCGATTAATTGTTAATTACTTCTCGTAACCCAGCCTGGAGGCGATCTCAGCCGCTTTGGTGGCTCTGCCCCCCTTCAGGCAAGTAAAAACCAGCGGAAAACCGGCATTCGGTTTCGGTCGGCCATAATCTTTAGCGAAATTATCGTTATTCATTAACAGTGCATTTTCCAAAGTACCCACTAAAAAAGTCATGTGCTATGTAGAAATAATATCAGTTTTATGTATAAAAATGTATTTGTGTGAGAAGATATCGACTATTTTCACAATATATAAATCATTTCCCACAAAATTACATAAAAAACTTACGCGCAATGTTGATGCTTCCGGGAATTTTCCCGGTCGACTCGATTTCGCCTGGATCGCGTACATCGAGGATCAAGTAGTTGGCGTTGTCTTGAAACTCCGTCATTTTCTCGTAATCGACGACTTCAATTTTGTTCTCGCCCATCTTTGCCCGCTTTGTTGTGTTTGTGGATGTTGCGGTTGCCGGGAGGGAATTGATTATTGGCCCAGGAAAATCATCAAGTGCCACTTGACAGGTGCTGTAAACAAAAGTGACAGAACCCGGCAGTGTTGCCGGTTCGATTGTTATTTAAATTCATCCCTGTGCTTTGCATCGGCAGGTAGAGCTGGCAACGTGTGATGTTACTGTGAAAACTTGATGGGTAAAGTTTGTAAAGAATGAAATTAACATAGTTAACATAATCACGTGTCAAATTCCGAATAAAATAAACAAATACTATCTGAAAATTATAGAAATATATTTTGACAATTATATTTCATGGGAATTTGCAAAGATGGTAATATCTTTGGTCTTTTGTCCATAGGTGGCGCTAAATAAGCAAATTTAAGTTTAAAACCTATCAACATTTTTAACAAATGGTTTTGGTATTATTGTCAAATCTAATTGTTTTTAGAAATAAAACACAATTTTTTATTACTTTTAAAAAGCCTGTTACGTAATGTGTTTTACTATTTACTATTAGGTAAACACTTTAATCGGTATTGTAGTAACTGTTTTAGTTATTTATTATAATAATTATGTAAACCACGGTAGGTACATAACTAATGGACAATACAGCAACTCTGAAAATGGAACAAAATATGCCTTAGTAAAATGTTAATAATAACCGGGATAAATGTGAGAATATAATTTTAAACATTTGGAAAACAATTTAATGTAAGTACCATACAAATTTGTACAGTAGGTAATGTTGAGAAATAAAAATTTGTAATATTTTTTTATGGTAGGTATAATATATTATTAGTATTAACGTTTAAAATATACCTATATTATTTAGTTAAAATATTTTAGTAAAACTAATATATAACTATACAGGAAAATATCGGGAATTTTCGTTTTTTGAAACAAATATTTATTTATTCGTCTACATTAATGTTGACGCCTTCAAAATAGTCCCATTGGATATTATGCACATGTGCCAGCTCTTCTTCCAATACTCGAAACACTTCTAAAACTCGATCTTTGGGATAGCCTTTAGTTCTTTCAGCGATGCGCTTTTAATGTCATCTATGCTTGCAAAACGACTGCCCTTTAAGGTTCTCTTTATTTTTGGGAATAGGAAAAAGTCATACAGAGGCATGTCTGGCGAATATGGAGGCTGGAGCATCATTACAGTATTGTTTTTGGCCAAAAATTTTGTTCAAAATTTAACAATTTTAGAACAAATTTTGCTGCCACACGTTTCATACCCAAAACATTCGAAAAAATTTCATGGGATGAGCCAATCGATATACCAACATCATCAGCGACTTCTCTGATGGGTTATAACCATTTCTTCCACTTTTTCCATGTTTTTATCGGTTTTTAATGTGCTTGTGCGTTCGGGGCGTTCGTCATCTTCAACGTCTTCACGGCTATCTTGGAAACTCTTATACCACTTGTAAACTCTTGTTTTACTTATAGCAGACTCACTATAGGCCTTTGTTAACATTTCACAGAATTTATTTCATTTTTTAAGCAAAATTGGATACAAATTCTTTGATCCATTTCTTTTAACGAACGAAAATCGCCGAGCTCATAAAGCACGTCTAACGTTAGCGGCTGCCACAGACAAAGTAAACAATGAAAACAGCTAAAGTTTTTATCATACTTCGGGGGCATGTATACCAACATAATAAAGAAAATTTTATGACAACCGGACGCTTTCAACCCGCGAAATTTAACAATTCCCGTTATTTTCTGAACACACCTCGTATATATCTTAGAAAATAAGTTAAAATATATATGTATATTTTAAACAAATTATTTATATTTTAAACAAAATATTTATAATTTTACAAATTATTATATATTTTATAAATCATAATTATGGCACAACTATTGTACAAAATATATTATAGTCATATATGACTATTATATTTTATAAAATAGTTAAATTATTTTCAAAAAATGCATTTTAAACTAAAAAAATGATTTTATAAAATAACTTGTAAACAATTTAAATTTTGGACTTGTACTGTTCCTGATCTCACCAATTAAATTATTATTAACATTTTTCCAAGTCATATTTGTAAACAAAATATATAGGTACATAATAAAATACCCGTTTTTAGTCTTTTACCGTTAACAGTTAATAATATACGAACACAGGTAAGAGGAATAGTAACTGTAATTTAACTAGGTTTATAAAGAAAATAAGTGCACAAACAATGGTGAGATGTATAGTAAATGTGGTAAGATTACAATTATTGAATCACCTTATTTGTGCATCCTTCTTGTTCCACGTTTCTTAAATTTAAGAAACGTAGCCTAAGGATGAAGTTGCATACATATTTTTTTTATTAAAAATAAAAATTATAATGCATAAAAAGCACACAGGATATTCGTAGGACGTCTCTTGCTATCTGGGCAGCGGTTTATAATATGCAGATTATTGTTATCAATTTAACACGACCCAGGAAATATTTTTAAACCTTTCCTGAGTTATTTTTTAGTCGTTCTTGTATAAGATCTGCGATATTATGTTTAAAAAATTCACCTGTAATAGTAAATCTTGATGTGAGTATTTTGAATATTCATTTTGCTTAAAACTGTTTTTTGTTTTATACAGGGTGACTAATTAATAATAACAAATCTTTTCTAAACTAGATTCTTCTGTGAGAGGTTTTTTATTTGAGCTTTTGTTTTCGGATAATAAGGAAAAAGTATCTTTATAACGGTTATTGTTCTTTTAGATGTATCCATTCTGCGTTATATTGTTTTTACAAATATATACTGGATATGCCCGATTTTGTGAAGGAGATGGTTTTCATATTCCCGACCATTGGAAAGATCGCAGATGTTTTTCAACAGGGCCAGATTGTATACCATTGGAAGGCCGCTGGTTTGGCGAAGGCAGAGGTAGAACTTTATACTGTTATAGTTTTAACATAAAGGCAGAAAATATTTCATCATCGTTTATTCAGAGTGTATCGAATTATCATCCAGAAGCACTGCATTCAATATTTTTTTATAGTGATGTGAGCCTTTTTCCAATAAAACTTAATATATCCAATATACTACCAGGATCCTTTGAAAAAGTTAACAAGAAATTAACTCAATTATATTTTGATATAAATAATATTAAAATTATAAGGAAGGGTGTATTTAACTCATTGGGTGAGCTTAGAATATTAAGTTTCAAGTTTAATAAAGTGGAGATTATTGAAGAAGATGCATTCTCTGGTTTAGAAAAGCTAACACATTTAAATTTAAAACACAATTTCATTTACCACCTAAATCAAAATACATTTTACCCCTTAAAAAATTTGTACTTATTAGACATTTCTAATAATTTTATAAATACTGCTAACCAATCTCGTTTAAGATTTACCAATATTACAGAATTTTATCTTGATAATAATGAAATTAACCAATTGCAAAATGTTATGTTTAATAATGTATCAGTAAATATTTTAGATATAAGTTATAATAATTTATACGTTATTGAACCTGAAGCTTTTCTTAACCAAAATAACTTATATGATCTTAATTTAAATAATAATAAATTAGATAAACTTTCAAGTAATTGTTTTTTAGTCGTTCTTGTATAAGATTTGCAATATTATGTTTGAAAGTTTTACCCGTAATAGTAAATCCTGATGTAAGTATTTTAAATATTCATTTTGCTTTGAACTGTTTTTTCTTTCATACAGGGTGTTTAATAAAAATTAGCAAAAAATGGGGATGATTTCTTTTTTGAAAATCAAGTAGATCTAGAAGTTGTAGATCTCATCGAGACTAACAAAAAATAGCTATTTACATACTATGGGAGGAAAATAGTGCTTTTCCTCCCGCGAATAGTTTGATGCCCGACGCGAAGCGAAGGGCATTAAATATTCAAGGGAGGAAACGCATTTTCCTCCTGAGGTATGTATATAGTTTTTTTATTACCTTTTAACAGTTTTAAGACATTTTAAGCGTTCCGGTTCTTTTTACTAACCCGGTATGGGGCTATAAAATTATGACAAAATATTAAGTAGGTGTTGACAACGCTTTGTTGCTATGGTATTTTTGGTAATACAATAATAACAGTTTTTATAAGCTGTCAGAATGTTTATCATAAATTTGGAATTCTTCCTACGTTTTGAAAATGAGTTCTAGCGAAGTAGACCTGCCGCAAGATCTTGCTAAACAGGCAAGAATAGTTCAATTGATTTCTTTCCTTAAAAATCGAAAGAGCGATATGAAAATGAATACCTATAGTTTTTAAAAAGAATGGTTGGACAAGCGCGGAGTAAATCTTTTTCCTACAAAATCAAATAGGACTAGACAAGGTACAAAAACTCTTGATAATGTAAAATTGTTAAAAAAAAAGAGGGAGGAAAATTTTTTTTCTCCCGGGGAGGAAAAGTGGCATTTTCCTCCCTCGCTCGGGGGTGGAAAATTAAGTTTTCTAGTAAGGTAGTAGAAAAAATATTTTTTCTACTCCTATTACGGAATTTGACCCTTCTAATATCACTTTTATCTATGGAATGACATATATTCCGTAAAGTGTTACAGAATGAAATATTCTATCATCTGATGACGGAATAAACACTCGTGGCGACATCTCTGGTTTTAATATCTAACGAGTTTTTGTTATCGAAGTTTTTTGGAATTACCATTTTTTTAAAGAAAAATATTTTACTACTCAAAATTTACCCAACTGTTTCATAATACAATTCTATACTTATTCAATTTTTTTACATGAAATAGATAGTTTTTTTTTCTGCAAGACTGTCTTACAAGGATTTTGCAACATCAGATTAATTTTTTTTAGACATTGAGAAAAATTAGATATAAAAATGCAACACTGTAGGTATCTCGGAAAGAAAGTTTTTGCTTATTTTATGCAAGAAATATTTTTTTTTGTTTTCAAAATCAAAAGTTGTAATTCGTTAATAATAAATTAATGTTTTGAAATAATCTGACATGCAAAGTTGAGAAGGTCACGTTAAAAACTAGATATATATTCACTTTCTTAGAATATATCTTATCTGTAATAAAGAAAATATATTTTTTTAACAAACACTATTTTTTATACTTTAAATAACTATTGCACATACGTATGGAACGCCGTTGTATTTTTTAATCAGGAATTTCTAATATCACTTTTGAATTTCAGATATCTGAAATTAATTTCAGATATCTAAAATTATAGGTATTAAAAAGTACTTTGGCGTTCCGTTAACGCCAAAATAATTTTTAATCAGGAATTTTTGTTGTAACTTCAACTAATAGTCATATTTGTAATTACAATTAATTGTGTCAACTGTTTTAAACAATATTTATAATTCAACTAATTTTAAACTCAAAAATAATGTGGAATTAAAAATATCAAAGTGACCCTAAAATTCAAGTCAATTTTTAATTCAAAGTGATATTTGTAATTCACAGGAATTATCGATATCAAAGTGACCAGAAAATTCAAGTTAATTTTTAATTCAAACTGATATTCATAATTCGCATGAATTATAAATATCAACTTGAATTTTTAATTCAACTTATTTTCAACTAAAAAATGATGTAGAATTAAAATATTAAAGGGAAACTAAGAATTATTTCATATTTGTAAATGAAAGACATATTTTTAATTCCCACAGTTTGGACACCCCTGGTATATTTGCCTTAATCTCAGTTCAATTATTTAGCGGCACTATTTGTTTATATAATAACGTTTTTATTAATACTTACCTATGTAGTAAATATACCAACAATTTTAGCTTCGTTCCCGGTAGAGATAAACCTAGATAGATTTATCTAGGGAGATAAAGAAGGTTAGGTTTCCCGGCGGGAAATTCTCGCATTGTCAAATTAACGGATAGGATAGTTGCCGTGTTTTTATTTACAAAATAATATTGTTCTATTATATAACCAATGTCAAATTTTTATAAATAGTTCTAAACTAAAGCTGTTTAACAAGGTTTTTATTTGTCAAAATTAGGTATCGTGGTTGACTGTTTAATTCCTTAAAAACTAATAATTTAAAGCGTAACGGACGGGACTTCGTAATAGTCTATAGTTTATAAAAATTTGACATTGGTAATATAATAGAACAATATTATTTTGTAAATAAAAACACGGCATCTGTCCTATCCGTTACGCGTGGAATGGCTCAGTAGTTCAACTGACTCAGTTTACCTACTTAACGATTTATGAGAATACCTGTGTAAATATTTAAAATATTAGGTAATTTAATTAACATTAATTATTATGCCTATTATTAATAAAAACGGTATTATATAAACAAACAGTGCCGCAAAATAATTTAACTGAGATTAAAGCAAATATACCTACTGTAGTAGATAAATTGAACCGTCAACATTACCAGGGGTGTCCAAAACTGTGGGAATTAAAAATATGCCTTTCATTTAAAAATATCAAATAATTCTTAGTTTCCCTTCAATTTTTTAATTCTACATCATTTTTTAGTTGAAAATAAGTTGAATTAAAAATTCAAGTTGATATTCATAATTCATGCGAATTATGAATATCAGTTTGAATTAAAAATTAACTTGAATTTTCTGGTCACTTTGATATCGATAATTCCTGTGAATTACAAATATTACTTTAAATTAAAAATTGACTTTAATTTTAGTGACACTTTGATATTTTTAATTCCACATTATTTTTGAGTATAAAATTAGTTGAGTTTAAATATTTTTTTAAAATAATCGATACAATTAAAAATATGACTAGCAGTTGGAGTTGCAACAAAAATTCCTGATTAAAAAATACAACGGCGTTCCATACATACGGGTATTGAATACTAAAAGCTGGCCAAAAATCGGGAAAAGATATTGCCTCAATGTTAAATAGTTTTTAAATCTGTATACCTATTTTAAACATATACATACGAGGTGTGTTCAGAAAATATCGGGAATTTTCGTTTTTTGACACAAATATTTATTTATTCGTCTACATTAATATGGAACGCCGTTGTATTTTTTAATCAGGAATTTTTGTTGCAACTCCAACTGCTAGTCATATTTTTAATTGTATCGATTATTTTAAACAATATTTATAACTCAACTAATTTTATACTCAAAAATAATGTGGAATTAAAAATATCAAAGTGTCACTAAAATTAAAGTCAATTTTTAATTCAAAGTGATATTTGCAATTCACACGAATTATCGATATCAAAGTGACCAGAAAATTCAAGTTAATTTTTAATTCAAACTGATATTCATAATTCGCATGAATTATAAATATCAACTTGAATTTTTAATTCAACTTATTTTTAACTAAGAAATGATGTATAATTAAAATACTAAAGGGAAACTAAGAATTATTTGATATTTTTAAATGAAAGACATATTTTTAATTCCCACAGTTTGGACACCCCTGGTAATGTTGACGGTTCAATTTATCTACTACAGTAGGTATATTTGCTTTAATCTTAGTTAAATTATTTTGCGGCACTGTTTGTTTATATAATACCGTTTTTACTCATTATTATATAAACAAAAATAGTGCCGCAAAATAATTGAACTGAGATTAAGGCAAATATGCCTACTGTAGTAGATAAATTAAACCGTCAACATTACCAGGGGTGTCCAAACTGTGGGAATTAAAAATATGTCTTTCATTTAAAAATATCAAATAATTCTTAGTTTCCCTTTAATATTTTAATTCTACATCATTTTTTAGTTGAAAATAAGTTGAATTAAAAATTCAAGTTGATATTTATAATTCATGCGAATTATGAATATCAGTTTGAATTAAAAATTAACTTGAATTTTCTTGTCACTTTGATATCGATAATTCGTGTGAATTGCAAATATCACTTTGAATTAAAAATTGACTTTAATTTTAGGGTCACTTTGATATTTTTAATTCCACATTATTTTTGAGTTTAAAATTAGTTGAATTATAAATATTGTTTAAAACAGTTGACACAATTAATTGTAATTACAAATATGACTATTAGTTGAAGTTACAACAAAAATTCCTGATTAAAAAATATTTTGGCGTTAACGGAACGCCAAAGTACTTTTTAATACCTATAATTTTAGATATCTGAAATTAATTTCAGATATCTGAAATTCAAAAGTGATATTAGAAATTCCTGATTAAAAAATACAACGGCGTTCCATACATTAATGTCGACGCCTTCAAAATAGTCCCCATTGGATATTATGCACATGTGCCAGCTCTTCTTCCAATACTCGAAACACTTCTTAAACTCGATCTTTGGGATAGCCTTTAGTTCTTTCAGCGATGCGCTTTTAATGCCATCTATGCTTGCAAAACGACGGCCCTTTAAGGTTCTCTTTATTTTTGGGAATAGGAAAAAGTCAGACAGAGGCATGTCTGGCGAATATGGAGGCTGGCGCATCATTACAGTATTGTTTTTGGCCAAAAATTTTGTTCAAAATTTAACAATTTTTGGAAAAAATTTCCTGCCACGCGTTTCATACCCAAAACAATCGAAAAAATTTCATTGGATGAGCCAATCGATATACCAACATCATCAGCGACTTCTCTGATGGTTTATAACCATTTCTTCCACTTTTTCCATGTTTTTATCGGTTGTTAATGCGCTTGTGCGTTCGGGGCGTTCGTCATCTTCAACGTCTTCACGGCCATCTTGGAAACTCTTAAACCACTTGTAAACTCTTGTTTTACTTATAACAGACTCACTATAGGCCTTTGTTAACATTTCACAGAATTTATTTCATTTTTTAAGCAAAATTGGATACAAATTCTTTGATCCATTTCTTTCGAACGAATGAAAATCGCCGAGCTCATAAAACACGTCTAACCTTAGCGGCTGCCACAGACAAAGTAAACAATGAAAACAGCTAAAGTTTTTATCATACTTCGGGGGCATGTATACCAACATAATAAAGAAAATTTTATGACAACCGGACCCTCCGAAGCCGCGAAATTTAACAATTCCCGTTATTTTCTGAACACACCTCGTATAGGATAAGGATTAGTTTCCAATTTGACACACTTTTTATTTACTATTTTTATCTACATTTTCCACAAGACGAAAATCCACAAATGGATGGAAAGTATTAGCAATACATAATTTTGTTTTTATTTTTATTTTTTGTTTATACGTTTTTTATTTTTTTATTTTGTGGACACTGCATAATTTACAGTATATCTCTTTAACGGTTGTTGTTATTTTAGATGTATCCGTTCTGCGTTATATTATTTTTACAAATGTACACTGGATATGCAAGATATTGTGAAGAAGATGCTTTTCATATTCCCGACCATTGGAAAGATCAGCAATGCTTTTCAACAGAGCCAGATTGTATACCATTGGAAGGGCGCTGGTTTGGCGAAAGCAGTGATAGAACCACAGTGGGTGGAACTTTATACTGTTATAGTTTTAACATAAAGGCAGAAAATATTACTTCATCGTTTATTGAGAGTGTATCGAATTATCATCCAGAAGCACTGCATTCAATATTTGCTTATAATGATGTGAGCCTTTTTCCAACACAACTTTATATATCCAATATACTACCTGGATCATTTGAAAAAGTTAACAATAGCTTAACTGAATTATATTTTGATAAAAATAATATTCAAATTATAAGAAAAGGTGTATTTAACTGTTTGGGTAGGCTTAGAATATTAAGTTTCAAGTTTAATGAAGTAGAAATTATTGAAGAAGATGCATTTTCTGGTTTAGAAAAGCTAACACATTTAAATTTAAAACACAATTTCATTTACCACCTAAATCAAAATACATTTTACCCCTTAATAAATTTGTACTTATTAGACATTTCTAATAATTTTATAAATACTGCTATCCAATCTTATTTAAGATTTACCAGTATTACAGAATTTTATCTTGATAATAATTTAATTAACCAATTGCAAAATGTTATGTTTAATAATGTATCAGTAAATATTTTAAATATAAGTTATAATAATTTATACGTTATTGAACCCGAAGCTTTTCTTAGCCAAAATAACTTATATGATCTTAATTTAAATAATAATAAATTGGATAAACTTTCAAGTAGTTTACATTATTTAGTTAGTTTAAAAAAACTGGATTTATCTTACAATAATTTGCAAACAATTTCTATGGGCTTCTTTGATCATTTTAACTATTTAGAAAGTTTAAACTTGACTCACAATAATCTTGTTTCTGTTATTGGATTAAATGTTTTAAATGTAAAATACTTAGGACTCGCTCATAACAATATAAAAGATTTTGATATCAAATCATTAAAATCTTTCCCCAAATTAAATCAAATATCATTAGATGGAAACATGTGGGATTGTAAAATTTTATCAAGTGTTGCCCAAGAATTATCTTCCCGGTCAATTGTAATTGAAAAGGGACACGATCGTAATTTAAGTAATGTTTTGGGCATAGAATGCTCGGAATCTAACGATACAACTAAAACAACGATTGGCGTTGAAAACTCTTCATTTTTTAAATATCTCGAGGAAGGTTACAAAAAGAGTAATTTCTTTAAGTATTTGGATTCACTTAATAACACATCAATTGATGACAAAAACACTTCATTTTTTAAATATTTTGAGGAAGATTACAAGAAGAGTAATTTTTTTAAGTATTTGAATTCATTTAATAAGGACACCTTATTAGATCAAAACACTCCAATTGTAATAATTCTAATTGCTACTATTGTAATTTTGTTATTAGTTTTAAGCACTTTGGTGTATATTATAGTTAAATTATTTAATAAAAAACCATTTCAGGAAGAAATACCACTTATTTAATTAGGGCAGATTTTCTAAAAAATTGCATTAAATAAATAAATACCTATATTACTACTTTTTAGTAGGTGATTTTGTAAAAAATATTTTAGGTTTAAAATGTACAAAAATGTTAACTAAGAATAAATATTTTGTCTGCACAAGGTTTTTTATTCTATGACATCTAAATGAGTACATGTACTCATTTAGATACAGAAAGATAAGTGACTGCAGTCACTTATCTTTCTGTATCTTTCTGTATCATAAAACGATGTGAGATAATAAAACATGACCTAAGCCGTTGTTAATAATAAAATGTTGCTAATAACACATTTTTTAATTCCTAACTTTTTTATTTAATTTCAATAAAGTTGATAATGGACAGTAGTTTATTGTCATAAAAATTATTTTACAATTTTTCAAAAATAACATATCACATTTATCTTGTATCTTGTTTAAATAATTAACCTATTATTAACATTTTACCAAGGCATATTTGTGTTAATGGGCCTATTTGGATATATATATAAATTATAATTCGCCGATCGGATGTGTGTTTTGTGTGCTCCGATAATGTTTTTAAATTGTGATTTAATTTTAAAACCTTTACCAGTTTGTATAAAGTGGATTTTATTTGAATAAAACAAACTTTAATATTGCATTTGCACACATTTCAGCGGACAAAAAGTGTAAAAGAAAAAAACTCCAGGCAAACAAAAAACTTTATATTAAAATAAAATAAAACTTTCCCCGTCAGGGATTCGAACTCGGTTCGCTGCGGCCTGTGTTTGCCATGGAATTTGGAAATTTGGAACCTGCAGGTTCCAAATTTCCAAATTCCAAATTCTTTATTATACCTATTTAATTACATTATAATGTTAATAATATTATTATTAATAATATTATTTAATTTTCTCGGGAGAGTACAACAAAAATCTGTGATATATATATGTTGGTATACCAACATATATATATCACAGATTTTTGTTGTACTCTCCCGAGAAAATTAAATAATACAAGTATGTATTGTATGGCCCATAAGGGCACGGGTGCCAAAAGGACATAAGTCCAGTTAGCCGTCGATGTTAAACAGGGTACAAATCGCAACATAATAGTTTGATTATTGTATAGCAGTCTCTGGTATGCGCTTTGCGCTTTTTGGAGAATTTTGTTTTTTACCTTGGGGGATTTTGTAGTTTAATGCCTAGGGCGTAATAAGTGTTTATTTTTTGTTTGCCAGGTTGGCGATTTGCCCACTGAGCTATTGCTGCTATGTCTGAGTCCGAGGTAATAACTAAGCAATGCGGAAGGTGCAAGACGGTTCCTAAGGATTATCTTAAATGTATATAATATTTGCGAAGCAGTAATGCACTTGAGTTGAGCTAAACTTAGCAAAAAAGTAAAAATAATCAATGAAAAGGATATGAATTGCTGTGAGGCTACCAAGGAATGTTCACAAGGCAATAGGTATTAATGTTGTTGATAATGATCCATTATTAGTGGAAATTTATTATCTAAAAGAATTACTGAATCAAAAAGATGTAGGTAAATATATCCAACCAACAAATTGTTATTGCATCTCTGCAGGAACAAATAGTATTATTAAAAAGTCTTAATAGCACAATGAACCAAAAAGATGTAATTAATTCGATGGATGGTCCCAACCCTGATAGCACAGTTTATTCTAAGAATGTTTTTTAAACCTTCCAGTGGGAATATTCTTAGGATCATGCTATATTTCTTCCAGTCATGTTCTAAGAATGTTTTTTAAACCTTTCAGTGAGAATATTCTTGGGATCATGCTATATTTCTTCTAAAGAACATGCTTAAAAGAAATATAGCATAATCCTAAGAATATTCTCACTGGCCTATAGGCAGGTTTTTAGAAGGTGCAAAGTTTAGTGGTAAAAATTAATCCACTCTAAACATATGCTTAGAATGTTGAGAAAGTAATTGCTATAGAAAGTTCATTTAGGAATATTCCTGGAACATTCTGTTAAGCATATTCAGTTCAGTTAGGTACCTATATAATAGTAAAATATACCATAATCTACGTATAAAGGTACCTTTACTTGGTATTAAATACTAAGTAAAAAACACAACCCAAAATATTTTTTTATAGTTATTTGTCAAATTAAAACAATATTCGATAACAAAAATACTTTTACTATAGGTATCTAAATTATCCGGCTTTTACATAAAATCTTCTATCCAACTTAAATACAATGAGAAATGTTTGCGTTTTGTAGATCACAATTTAAAGGTGGCGGAGTTGGTATTTGGTGTCATCATACGCTTAAAGCTATATCTTTAGGTCTTTCTCAATTCTGTGTTGAGAAAGACTGAAATTTGTGGTATGACTTGTAAACTCGATTCAAAAAAATCGCTACTGATATTATGTTGTTATAGATCCCCAGGAGTTGGTGATCTTAATTTATTTTTTGGTAATATCACCAAGGATCTAGTTTACAAAAATAATGCATCTTTAATTATTTGTGGTGACTTTAACATTGAACCTGATAGAGATACTAATGCATATAAAAACTTATGTAATATATTTTTAACTTATAATCTTGTTAGTACAGTCAAAGTAATAACCAGAAAGGGTAATACTTTAGATCACATATTTACCAACATGGAGCAGGGTACTTCTGATATCCATGAAAACTTTATATCTGATCATAATACTTCATTTTTTAATTTTAACTATTCTTATAAAAAACAAGACTACATAGAATATAAAAGATGTTTCTCACATGAATCTATTGAGAAATTTAAAAATGATTTAAAAAACGAAAGTTGGGACACTGTTTATAAGAATGATTTTGAAGAGTCTTTTAATTCTTTTTATAGTCTTGTCTTGTATTACTTCTACATTAATTTTCCACTAAGATCTTTAAAATATACGACTAATGGAAAGGAATGGGTAAACAAAGATATAATACTCTCTAGTCAAAACTTGAAAAATATTTATTATTTAAAACAAAAATACCCACTACTTAACGACCTATATAGAAGTTCAAAACAGAGTCACTCCCTTCTGATCCTAATCAATTCAAATAGCAAACCGAAAATACCAATGGAAAATCTAACTATTATTAATGATAACATGGAAATATTTCGCCGTAGGGTTCCCTCTCCTGAGTTGCTTTTTACAGAGTAGATTATTGTTATCATTATAACATATGACCCCAGAAAATATTTTTAAACATTTCCTAAATTATTTTTTAGTCTATCTTGTATAAGATTTGCAATATTATGTTTGAAAGTTTTACCCGAAATAGTAAATCCTGATGTAAGTATTTCAAATATTCATTTTGCTTTGAACTGTTTTTTCTTTCATACAGGGTGATTAATAAATATTGGCAAAAAATTTCTTATTTTCTAAAATCAAGTAGATCTGCTGGAAGAAGTTGTAGATCTCATCGAGACTAACACTAAAAATATTTTTTTTTAAGTTTTTGTTTTCGGATTACCTTCTTTTGTTTTTACATTAACTTTTTTATCTCCGTTATTTTGTACGTAATTTTAAAAGTTTTTTGGAATTACCATTTTTTTAAGAAAAATATTATACCACTCAAAATTTACCCAAAGAAAATCGTAACTGTCAAAACAAAACTAATAACCAATAAAATAAACTAGTAAACAACCATACAAGTTATGAGTTCCATTTTGAATCTCGTAGAATGTGGTTGCTCTATGAAAAAGTAGATTTATATAAAGCTATAAATTTTAAGGTTATAACCTATTTTTGTTCACGTGTTTGTTGGACAACCGTTGTCCAATGGTTTTTGGATCTTACTAAAATCATTGGACGTTAATACTTGTACCTGGTTAATAAGGATTTTTGTCCTCGACCAAAAGGGCGGTAGGTGTAACCGTAAATCCGCTCAACTTGTAGAAGAAGAAGAAGACATAAAAGTTATTATACTATCATTGAGTAAAGAACATCTTACTCAATGATACTATGTTTTTAATTTTCATACTAAAATTCTATAATTATTCAATTTTTTTACATGAAACAGATAGTTTTTTTCTTCTGCAACACTGTCTTACAAGGATTTTGCAACATCAGATTAATTTTTTTTTGACTTTTGGAAAAAATGCAACACTGTAGGTATCTCGGAAAGGACGTTTTTACTTATTTTATGCAAGAAATATTTTCTTTGTGTTTTCAAAATAAACAGTTATAATTCGTTAATAATAAATTAATGTTTTGAAATAATCTGACATGCAAAGTTGAGAAGGTCACGTTAAAAACTAGATATATTCACTTTCTTGGAACATATCTTATCTCTAATAAAGAAAATATATTTTTTTAACAAACACTGTTTTTTATAATTTAAATAACTATTGCACATACGGGTATTCAATACTAAAAGAAAGCCGAAAATCGGGAAAAGATAATTCAAGTCCTCAATATTAAATATTTATGAAATCTGTACTTATTTTAAACATATACATATATGATAAGGATTTAACACACTTTTTATTTCCTATTTTATTTACATTTTCCACAAGACGATAATCCACATATGGATGGGAAGTATTAGCAATACATAATTTTGTTTTTATTTTTATTTTTTGTTTATACGTTTTTTATTTTTTTTATTTTGTGGACATTGTATAATTTACAGTTTATATCCCTTTAACGGTTGTTGTCTTTTTAGATGTATCCGTTCTGCATTATATTATTTTTACAAATATACACTGGATATGCAAGATTTTGTGAAGAAGATGCTTTTCTTATTCCCTACCATTGGAAAGATCAGCGATGCTTTTCAACAGAGCCAGATTGTATACCATTAAAAGGGAGCTGGTTTGGCGAAAGCAGAGGTGAAACTTTATATTGTTATAGTTTTAACATGGAGGCAGAAAATATTTCATCATCGTTTATTGAAAGTGTATCGAATTATCATCCAGAAGCAGATCATTCAATATTTGCTTATAATGATGTGAGCCTTTTTCCAACACAACTTTATATATCCAATATACTACCAGGATCATTTGAAAAAGTTAACAATAGCTTAACTGAATTATATTTTGATCTAAATAATATTCAAATTATAAGAAAAGGTGTATTTAACTGTTTGGGTAGGCTTAGAATATTAAGTTTCAAATTTAATAAATTGGAGATTATTGAAGAAGATGCATTTTCTGGTTTAGAAAAGCTAACACATTTAGATTTAAAACACAATTTCATTTATCACCTAAATCAAAATACATTTTACCCCTTAAAAAATTTGTACTTATTAGACATTTCTAATAATTTTATAAATACTGCTAACCAATCTCATTTAAGATTTACCAGTATTACAGAATTTTATCTTGATTATAATAAAATTCACCAACTGCAAAATGTTATGTTTAATAATGTATCAGTTAATATTTTAGATATAAGTCATAATAATTTAAGCGTTATTGAACCCGAAGCTTTTCTTAACCAAAATAACTTATATGATCTTAATTTAAATAATAATAAATTAGATAAACTTTCAAGTAGTTTACATTATTTACTTGGTTTAAAAAAACTGGATTTATCTTACAATAATCTGCAAACAATTTCTATGGGCTTCTTTGACCATTTTAATTATTTAGAAAGTTTAAATTTGACTCACAATAAACTTGTTTCTGTTCTTGGATCTAATGTTTTAAATGTAAAATACTTAGGACTCGCTTATAACAAAATAAAGGAGTTTGATATCAAATCATTAAAATCCTTCCCCAAATTAAATCAAATATCATTAGATGGAAACATGTGGGATTGTAAAATTTTATCAAGTGTAGCCCAAGAACTATCTTCCCGATCAATTGTAATTAAAAAGGGACACGAGCGTAATTTAATTAATGTTTTGGGCATAGAATGCTCGGAATCTAACGATACAACTAAAACAACGATTGACGTTAAAAACTCTTCTTTTTTTAAATATCTCGAGGAAGGTTACAAAAAGAGTAATTTCTATAAGTATTTGGATTCACTTAATAACACATCGATTGATGATAAAAACACTTCAATTTTTAAATATTTTGAGGAAGATTACAAGAAGAGTAATTTTTTTAAGTATTTAGATTCATTTAATAAGGACACCTTATTAGATCAAAACACTCCAATTGTAATAATTCTAATTACTACTATTGTAATTTTGTTATTAGTTTTAAGCACTTTGGTGTATATTATTGTTAAATTACTTAATAAAAAACCATTTCAGGAAGAAATACCACTTATTTAATTGGGGTAGATTTTCTAAAAAATTGTATTAAATAAATAAATACCTATATTACTACTTTTTAGTAGATTATTTTGTAAAAAATATTTTAGGTTTAAAATGTACAAAAATGTTAACTAAGAATAAATATTTTGTCTGCACAAGGTTTTTTATTCTATGACATCTAAATGAGTACAGTCACTTATCTTTCTGTATCATAAAACGATGTGAGATAATAAAACATGACCTAAGCCGTTGTTAATAATAAAATGTTGCTGATAACACATTTTTTAATTCCTAACTTTTTTATTTAATTTGGAGTCCATTAAATGGACAGTAGTTTATTGTCATAAAAATTGTTTACAATTTTTCAAAAATAAGATATCACATTTATCTTGTATCTTGTTTAAATAATTAACCTATTATTAACATTTTACCAAGGCATATTTGTGTTAATGGACCTATTTGGACCACCAAATCTACAGTCACCGTAAGGTTCCCTCTCCTGAGTTGCTTTTTACAGAGTAGATTATTACTATCATTATAACATATGACCCCAGAAAATATTTTTAAACATTTCCAAAATTATTTTTTAGTCGTTCTTGTATAAGATTTGCAATATTATGTTTGAAAGTTTTACCCGTAATAGTAAATCCTGATGTAAGTATTTTAAATATTCATTTTGCTTTGAACTGTTTTTTATTTTATACAGGGTGATTAATAAAAATTCGTAAAAATTAGGGATGATTTCTTGCTTGAAAATCAAGTAGATCTTCTGGGAGAAGTTGTAGATCTCATCGAGACTAACACTAAAAATATTTTTTTTTGAGTTTTTGTTTTCGGATTACCTTCTTTTGTTTTTACATTAACTTTTTTATCTCCGTTATTTTGTACGTAATTTTAAAAGTTTTTTGGAATTACCATTTTTTTAAAGAAAAATATCAACCAAAAATATTATACTACTCAAAATTTTACCACACAGAAAAAACGCTAGCATAGCATGAATGGGTGAGCAATTAAACCAATGGGATCTTGTAATCCGTATTCCTGAATAACAGTTCCTATAATACCAATAGGTAGTTAGCACTTGGTTTATGATCGTTTACTGTTTTTAAATTATCAACAAAAGTTATCGCTCCTAAATCTTATGATATTCATATTGATATTTATTTGTTAGAATGTTAGAATGTTATTGCATTAAATACTAATTTAATTTATTTAATATCGTCACTATTGTATGTATACTATGTATACATTTAACGCAATAAATTCTTTGACATTTAGGCAAAATATTTCCCTATTTTGGTTTAATAGTAATTAATTGAGCAAATAACAATTTAGATTGCTTCAATTTTAATGCATTTAATGACAGCGCTGTTCTTGGTACTAAGTATGTTAGATTTTTTTATGTGCAAAGAGAATCGTAAACAAAACCAATTACCACTAAAATAAACTAGTAAACAACCATAATTTAATTTTTATAATAAAATTCTATGTAAGGGTGATTCTACAAAAGTTGGACAACTTCACGGAAAGAAACGTTATGATAAAATAAATCAAATCCATTTATTAATTTAAGAAAAGTAAAAAATTATCCTAAATAAATTAGTTTAATCTAAAATAGAATAAATCAAGAAAAAAACTGACAAATCTTAGTGTTTTATGATAAATCTGTACATTTCGCAAATGATTAATATCATCATATTAAAATTAACATCATTAGATAGACATAATCGTTTAAGTGCTACATTTAATAAATTTTTTTCTGGGAACAGTAAAATTTTAGATTGGTCACAGAAAAAGTTTTTCTTAAACCAATCAAACATTAAGATTGGCTTTATGTAACGTCAAGCTTAATTTTCGTAGGAAAGATACTCAGATCAACTCTTGGATTTTATTATTATATTCCAATTTGGATTAATTTTATCAAATAATATATAAATAAAACTAAATGGATTAAACTTTATTTTTACTAGTATAAGTAAGTACAGGGTGTTTTCTTATAAATGGGACACCCCTATAAAATCTTTATTTAAAGAAATATCAAAATCCAGCATGCATGGTTTAAAAGGGTAATTTTTTACAAAAATTTAAAAACAAAAAAGCATCGGTAAATTTAATAAAATAGCATTGACATTGTTTTTTTTCAATGAAACACCATGTATATTTTAAATAGTTATAAATAAAGAAATATAGAAATAAATATTCTAAAATATACAGGGTGTTCCGTTCAGAAAAACAATGTTATAGTCAAAAAAATTACTTTTGTAGCCCTTGAAGCTGGATTTTTTAATATATATATATATATATATATATATATATATATATATATATATATTATATATATACGTATACGAAAACACCCTCTACATTTGGAATAAAATCAATAAAATATTTGCTTAATATCACTACATGCTAAATTAAAATAATCCTGTCTGGATTAAATTATTAAAAAAATTTACTGAATATTGTGTACTAACATTAATCAAATATAAGACTAATTCTATCCAATTTTTGATACGACTATCCAATATTTGATTGAATTAATAAAAGTCCGCTAAAATCAAGCTATTATTTTGATACGATTACCCAATATTTGACTGAATTAATAAAAGTCCGCTAAAATCAAGCTATTATCTTGACCAAATCTGTAATATAAGGAGCAAATTTAGCAAACATGCCAATTTTTAGTTTTTAACGCGTCTTAGTTTGCAGTTGCTCTTCGCGTGTAGTGAGTTGTAAACGATCGTGTGAGTACGTGTCCGGTTTTAGTTTGTTTAAACCATCGTTATTATTGAGAATATTAAAGGTAAGTAACAAATAAACCATTTTTTATAGGTATGTTTCTACCCTCATTTTTACCGAACATTTTGACTGTCAAGTGGACGTCGATTTATTTGGAATGCGAACGAAATCGGGACTGTTGTGCGCACCACGTGAGATATCTCCGGCCATCATCTTTGATATATTTGCCGCCGTTAAATTAAATTTTAAATGTTGTTTTTTAAGTTTTAAATTGATTGCAAATATTTTAAAACTTTAAGTATTATTCATTATATTAGTCAATTAAACATAAAAAGCAATTGTTAAACCATTATTATTTTTTGTATTTTGTACCTACTTATAAATTATTATTATATTAAGTTCTTTTTTTATGAAAGTTTGTAAACTGAAATAAATAAGTATTTATAGACACAAAATTTAGTATACTTTACCTACCATGGTAGTGCACTATCACAGATTATTACGAAAATCAATATTCCAGTCAATAATCAAATATTGAATAAAATAATTAACACATCAAACAAGTTTTATTTAATTATTAGATTAAAATATTAAAAAATTTGATAAATTTAATATATTTTTTACTAACTATTTTGCACAAATCAATCAAATGATCTGATAAACTTTATCCTAATTATTCTTAATTTTGTCAAATTTTTGATAACTACTACTTAAAAAATAGACTAAACTGACCTAAAAAGAGCTTAATTGAATCCAAAAATTGGTAAATTAAAGAAAATATTATTTAAATTCTAGAATATCGTAGACCAAATTAATTTAATTTTTACTATTATTATTCCAAATTTTGTTGTGATTTATAAAACTAATTTGCTGCTATTTATCACGGTTTGATACATTTAAGCATAGCAAGTAATTTAATCGAATGAATTATTGATATTAGTCTAATTTTGGATTGGCGCTATATTGATCAAAAATTTGATTGAAATACTACCTTAGCGGATTAATTGTATTCAAAATTTATTTCCGTGTTGTTGTCATCAGTCAATAGAGTAGGTATTTTAATATTTTTTGTAAATCTTTTAGTATATTACAAAAGATCCAGGTTTTTTTAACTTGTCCACCCAATTTTAATGTATTTTTTCAAAATCACCTTTGTAGAAAAACATAAAAAATATTTAAAACATCAGTACATTGGCGTGTCGCAACTCCTGAATCAAATATTTGAGTGATTTTAATTTATCTTAAATTTTTCAATTTCACTACAAACTATAAAACATTAAATAATGTATTTTTCATATTTTATCATAGATTCGAATAATAGCAATTTTTACTTTGAACTCATTTTTACCCGTCAGTTCTGTGTCCAATGTTAAAATTCAAAATTCCTGCGAAATATTGAAGTTTAAACGTCAAATCCTCGTTTTAACTCAAGTGTTGGTAAAAAATTACCTACAGAGCCCTTCGTTTGCACGACAGTCATCTTGAAAACAATGCAAGCGAAGTTGTGCTGAATGCACGTGTAATGTACCTTAGAATAAATTATCGTTATCCTAATTATTAAATAAAGTTATCATTATCATAATTATTAAATATAGCTATCATTAACATAATATGTAGTTCTTGTTTATAAGTTATCATTATGATAATTATTTCAAATACAAATAAACAAGAACTACTTGACTAAACAACCCCACTACCCTGTTTGGTTAATAATATCCATATATATATAAGTACAATGAATAGTTAGATATAGTTAGTTATTGTAATATTTATGTAAAATTAAGTTAAGTTAAGGTTTAATAATAAAAGTGTGTGGTGTTTTGATCCTATAACAGTGCCATTACACACGTATAGTGCCAGTCAAAATTTCAGTACTGTGGTGAGTAGTTATTTTCTTACGTATTTATATTTCATTGTAATTTATATAAGGCTATATGTGATTTGTTGATAAGTAGCATCCACTAATAAAAAATATCAGTAAAATACTTAATTCCGAATTATAATCTCAAATTTGTATCCCGTTCATCAGTTCCATGTTCAATGTTTCGGCTATCTTTTTTTCGCAAACTTCAATTTAAATTCTGCTTGCGCAGAACTTGTTTATTTAATGTCATTTTAAACTCATATAAATTTGGTGTGGGTCCCATGTCTAATAATTGAGATATCGGTATACCCAAAATTCACCAGCCGCCACTGATGTGTGGTATTATTTGATTTTAAGATATTTAATGTATAATATGCTCAAAGTTGCAATAAATCTTATATTTTCCAATAAATTATGTATTTAATTAGTACCCTGGTATACTCGTCACTTCCCTTGCATTTAAATTTAGAAAACACAGATATTTCAGAAACAGTTTGAAAAAGTGACTGGCCCGGTCTGGAACAGTATATTTATTATATTATCTATGTTCTCATAACAAAATACTGTTTAATTTTCTCCGAAAACTATATAAACAAAATGAGGTCAAAAGTTGCCCAACTTTTTTTTTGTAGGATTAGTTTCCTATTTGACACACTTTTTATTTCCTATTTTATCTACATTTTCCACAAGACGAAAATCCAAATATGGATGGGAAGTATTAGCAATACATAATTTTATTTTTATTTTTATTTTTTATTTATACGTTTTTTATTTTTTTATTTTGTGGACACTGCATAATTTACAGTATATCTCTTTAACGGTTGTTGTTTTTTTAGATGTATCCGTTCTGCATTATATTATTTTTACAAATGTACACTGGATATGCAAGATTTTGTGAAGAAGATGCTTTTCATATTCCCGACCATTGGAAAGATCAGCAATGCTTTTCAACAGAGCCAGATTGTATACCATTAGAAGGCCGCTGGTTTGGCGAAAGTAGAGATAGATCTTTATACTGTTATAGTTTTAACATGAACGCAGAAAATATTTCATCATCGTTTATTGAAAGTGTATCGAATTATCATCCAGAAGCAGATCATTCAATATTTGCTTATAATGATGTGAGTCTTTTTCCAACTCTATTGAATATATCCAATATACTACCTGGATCATTTGAAAAAGTTAACAATAGCTTAACTGAATTATATTTTGATATAAATAATATTCAAATTATAAGAAAAGGTGTATTTAACTGTTTGGGTAAGCTTAGAATATTAAGTTTCAAGTTTAATAAAGTGGAGATTATTGAAGAAGATGCATTTTCTGGTTTAGAAAAGCTAACACATTTAAATTTAAAACACAATTTTATTTATCACCTTAATCAAAATACATTTTACCCCTTAAAAAAATTGTACTTATTGGACATTTCTAATAATTTTATAAATACTGCTAACCAATCTCATTTAAGATTTACCAGTATTACAGAATTTTATCTTGATAATAATGAAATTCACCAACTGCAAAATGTTATGTTTGATAATGTATCAGTTAATATTTTAGATATAAGTCATAATAATTTATACATTATTGAACCCGAAGCTTTTCTTAACCAAAATAACTTATATGATCTTAATTTAAATAATAATAAATTAGATAAACTTTCAAGTAGTTTACATTATTTAGTTGGTTTAAAAAAACTGGATTTATCTTACAATAATCTGCAAACAATTTCTATGGGCTTCTTTGACCATTTTAATTATTTAGAGAGTTTAAATTTGACTCACAATAATCTTGTTTCTGTTCTTGGATCTAATGTTTTAAATGTAAATTACTTAGGACTCGCTTATAACAAAATAATGGATTTTGATATCAAATCATTAAAATCCTTCCCCAAATTAAATCAAATATCATTAGATGGAAACATGTGGGATTGTAAAATTTTATCAAGTGTTGCCCAAGAACTATCTTCCCGATCAATTGTAATTGAAAAGGGACACGAGCGTAATTTAAGTAATGTTTTGGGCATAGAATGCTCGGAATCTAACGATACAACTAAAACATCGATTGATGACAAAAACACTGCATTTTTTAAATATTTTGAGGAAGATTACAAGAAGAGTAAGGATTTGAATTCATTTAATAAAGAAACCTTATTAGATCAAAACACTCCAATTGTAATAATTTTAAGTACTTCTATTGTAATTTTGTTATTAGTTTTAAGCACTTTGGTGTATATTATTGTTAAATTACTTAATAAAAAAACATTTCAGGAAGAAATACCACTTATTTAATTAGGGTAGATTTTCTAAAAAATTGTATTAAATAAATACCTATGTATATTACTACTTTTTAGTAGGTTGATTTATAAAATTCACAAAAATGTTAACTAAAAATAAATATTTTGTCTGTACAAGTTTTTTATTCTATGACATCTAAATGAGTAATACACACATTTTTTTATTATTAAAAAATTAATAATTGATAGTAACACATATTTTAAGTTCCCAATATTTACAGTAGTTTATTGTCAAATATGAAAATGATGTCTTCAGGGAAAAATCATGAGTGCGTTTTGTAAAAGTCTCAAGGGTGCAGTTCGGCAAAATGCGCGGGAATTCGGACACGGAAACCGACTCAGGCATTCCGACAAAACACGGTCGCATTCGCATAGCCTGCTTGCACAAGAACCGGGCCCTCCGTAACCGTCATGGTCAATAGCTAAAACAGAAATATTGTTCAAGAATTACTTTTTTATATTTCTAACTTTATCTTTGGATACATTGTGTATTAGGGTGCCTGTTATTCCCCAAAATCTCGAACTACAAAATTAAGATTAAGGCCTTGGCATAAATCAATTGTTTATGAAATTCAAGAAAATTTATAACAATATTATAAAAAAAGTTAAAAAAAAATAAAAAATTGCACTTTTTATTTAATGAAAAAAAAAAATTTAAAGGATAAATTAATTCCATGGAAATATTTGTATAAAAAAAATATGTTAAAAAAATATATCTACATTATTTATCTAATGACAAAATGTTTTAACTAATGAAAAAATGTTATATGATTTGAAGAAAAAAAATTAAAAACAAAAATCAAAGGAAAAATATTTTTTAATGAAAGAAATTAATATATATTATTCAAATCAAAAAACAGTTAATATAAAAATTTAAAAAATAAAAACCATTTCTTTAATAGAAAAATTTAATCCATAGCAATTTTTGCATTAGTTATCTAATGAAAAAATATTTTATTTATTAAAAAAAATATAGAAAAATAAAATATGTAAAAAAACATTCAATGAAAAAAGTTAATATAAGCAAAAAAATGCACTTTCTAAAAAATATATTTTTTTTCAATAGAAAAATTCAATACTTAAAAAAATAATAAAATATACATTATTATTATTAGAATTAGAATTCTAATGCTATGGAATGCTGGGAATATTTTTATTTAAAAAAATGGATAAATTCAATCCATTGGAATATTTGTATCAAACAAAAATGCATTATTTATCAAATAAAAAAATGTTTTAACTAGTGAAAAAATGTATATTATTTGAAAAAAAAATTAAAAACAAAAACCGAAGGAAAACTATTTTTTAATAAAAAAATTATTATATTTTTATCAAATAAATAAAACAAATAAAATAAAAATTGAAAAAACCATTTAATCCTTAGGAATATTTGCAATATTTTTCTAAAGAAAAAATGTTTTATCTATTGAAAAAAAAAATAGAAAAATTATGTAAAATATGTAAAAAACATTCAATGATAAAATGTTAATATATTCGAAAAAATGCCCCTTTTATCTAATAAAAAACAATAATAAAAAAATTCAATTCACAGCAATATTTTTATTAAACAAATTGTAATAAAAATATGCATTATTTCTCTAATGAAAAATTTATCTAATGAAACATATTTATTTAATAGGAAAATTTAATCCACATGGGAATATTTTTATCAAAAAAATTATGTAATTAAAATATGCATTATTTATCTAATAAAAATTTTACCTAATAAAAAAATTAATAGATTGAAAAAATGTTGTTATATTTGAAAAAAAAAATTATAACAAAAATAAAAGAAAAAATATTTTTTAATGAAAGAAATTATTATATTTTTGTCAAATAAAAAAACAATTAAAATAAATAATAAATTTAATAGAAAAATTTAATGCACATGGGAATATTTTTATTAAAAGAAATTATGTAATTAAAATTTGCATTATTTATCTAATGAAAACATGTTTTATCTAATCTAAGTGAAAAAATGTAATATTATAATATATACCTATATGTAAGTATTTAAAAAAATTAAAAACAAAAATAGAAGAAAAAATATTTTTAATAAAAGAAATTATATTTTTGTCAAATAAAAAAAAACAATTAAAACAAAATTAATAGAAAAATTGGATACAATAAAATATTATTATCCAATGAAAAAATGTTAATATATGCAAAAAATTCACTTTTTATCTAATGAAAAAAAAATTATTAAAAAAACTAATGAAAAAATGTATGTAATAAAAAAATGTATCTAATGGAAAAATGTTTTTTTAAGGAAAAAATTATTAGATAAATAAAAACAAAACAATGGTTTTTATCAGAAGGAAAAATATTTTTTAAATCTACAGAAATATATCTTGTCTACTGTTGGATACGATAGAATTGTTCAAAATTATCTTTATAGGTTATAAACAATTGATTTGCCCCATGGTTAAGTAGAAAAAGCAAATTTGGTAATAATGGCCAATTTACTGTATTTCATTTAATATTATTTACCACATAATGGCCTGTTGTAATAACATTTCCACACATAGGGCACAAAATACTCCAAAAACATTGGACAATTAGCTGCATCGTAACACCAATCGTGTTTTTTGCAACATCTAAAAAATATTTTGTACTTTACTAATTGTAAGAGAATAAATAAATAAAAACTTTACTTGTCGATTCCGTCGACTGGATATCCAGATCCCAAAAATCCGCAAAAACACCCATATCCTTTGTATTTCAGGGGATTGCAACCAGTTGCACAGCTGACCATATTGTACAAATGTATAACTCCTCTTTTTGAACGAGATTCTTCATTCAAATTACTCGTATACGAAGAGTTTTTATCATTTAGTTTACTAGCTAAAGAAGCATTAAAATAACTGAAAATGTTTTTCAATTAAATATAATAATTTTGAATTAAATACACGGATAACTTAATTCCAATATTTAATAGATTTTTATATACAAAAAAATACAATTATCATAATCAAAAATTGCTTCAATTTTACATATGGGTTATTCTACAAAAGTTGGACAACTTGATGTCATCAGTCAATAGAGTGGGTATATTAATATTTTTTTTAAATATTTTAGTATATTACAAAAGATCCAGGTTTTTTTAACTTGTCCACCCAATTTTAATGTATTTTTTCAAAAGCACGTTTGTAGAAAAACATAATAAATATTCAATTTCAATACAAACTATAAAACATTAAAAAATGTATTTTTCATATTTTATCATTGATTCGAATAATAGCAATTTTTAAAAAATTGATAATCTTTGTACTCACTTTTCCCCGTCAGTCCTGTGTCCAATGTTAAAATTCAGAATTCCTGCTAAATATTGAAGTTTAAACGTCAAGTCCTCGTTTTAGCTCAAGTGTTGGTATAAAATTACCTACAGAGCCCGCCCTTTCCACGACAGTCATCTTGAAAACAATGCAAGCGGCGAAGTTGTGGCGAATGCACGTTTAGTTCCAGTCAAAATTTCAGTGCTGTGGTGAGTAGTTATTTTCTTACGTATATATATTTTATTGTAATTTATATAAGGCTATATGTGATTTGTTGCAAATTGATTGAAATTATAATCTCAAATTTGTATCCCAGTCATAAGTACTGTGTTCTCAGTTTCATGTTCGATGTTTCGGATATCTTTTTTTCGCAAACTTCAATTTAAATTCTGCTTGCAAAGAACTTGTTTATTTAATGTCAATATAAACTCATATAAATTTGGTGTGGGTCCCATATCTAATAATTGATATATCGATATACCCAAAATCCACCAGCCGCCACTGATGTGTGGTGTTATTTGATTTTAAGATATTTAATGTATAATATGCTAAAAGTTGCAATAAATCTTATATTTTCCAATAAACTATGTATTTAATTAGTACCCTGGTACACTCGTCACTTCCCTTGCATTCAAATTTAGAAAACCCAGATATTTCAGAAACTGTTTGAAAAAGTGACTGGCCCGGTTTGGAACAGTATATTTATTATATTATCTATGTTCTCATAACAAAATACTGTTTAATTTTCCCCGAAAACTATATAAACAAAATGAGGTCAAAAGTTGCCCAACTTTTGTAGAATCACCCATATTTAAAAATTTAATACTATAGTATGTATACATACTAAAATCTTGTTTTTAACAACTCAACCTTTATAGAGGTTAATTTAGTTATATCGCATTATTTCGGTCTTTTATATAAATATCGAAATTTGTTTTTCTCCGTTTTGTCATGCTCACCTATCATTTTTTCTAAAAATCCTGGAAGACGACCCAAAAGGATTGTTCGCGTACCCTATAAAAGCACTAGAATTTCTGCCAGCTTTTACTCCCAGCAATTTCAATTGAATCGTCGGTCTGTAAGTGGTTGCGTTAAAAACTTCATCATACCTAAAATCTTGACCGTAAACACCTACAATTTAAAATAAACGTGCTGAAATTTACAGTTTTTACTCTAAATAATTCAGTTCCGCTACCCAAGACGAGGCTAATGATCATTACATGTTGGCTAAGTAGGCCACTAACCACCTGTCGCTTTAAATCTTCTCTTTTTATTATCAAGTAACCCTCTACCCATCCAACATCAATATACCTTTGATCTTAGGACCAAAGTAGGCCATGCTGGGTCAGTTTACTTGCTAAGCATGTCTCTAAACAGGCAATTAAATGTCAGATAATTATTTGACAAAATTTTATAATATTGATGATATCGTAAAATTAGATATACAGGGTGATTCACCAAACTAATTCATTAGAAGTTTTATCATTTTTTGAGATATTTGTTGTTTTGTTAAGAGCAGGGCTGTGTTTAAATTACAGTAAAAAATATTTCTAAAAAGTGCACAGATCAGTGTGTGGTATAAATGTGTTCCTTATGGTTTAAACATTGTCACTTTAATGCGATTTAATTTTAATTCTAAAAACAAACAGTAAATTGGACAGTGTCCAATTACTGGTTGGTAAAAAATGTAAATTTCTATTATTGGACATACGTCCAATATCATACCTTATTTGTATCCCGGACATTTACCAGCCAATTCTTATGTAAAATTGTCCCCTGAATCCAAAAAGACCGTCAAAAACTATAAAAGTTAAGCAGTTTTTCCATATTATATGTAAAATTAATTATATTTCAAAAACTGTTCTACTTTTATAACTTTTGACGAAATTTTCGGATTCAGCGAATGATATTTCATATATATATATTCCTATAGGAATTGACTGCTAAGTGTCCAGGATACAAATTGCTGTTGACGAGAATTATTAGTGGCTGCTTTTTCGCTATGACATTTTTGACTAATTTATTTTTAGAGAGTAAGTAATATAGTGATTTCTTCGTCACAGGACATCTTGCAGAATTACAGTGATTTAAATACAGTGCATGATACTCTCTAAAAGTGAAACAGTGAAATTTTCACTATTTCCGTCAGTGAATTATTATTCACTGTAAAATTAGTGTTTTTCAATATAAATTAGTGAAATTTTAACTTCTTCAAATTAGTGTTTTTTATTATCACTACTTTTCCGGAACTCTCGACATAAAATAGTAAATTTTAACTTTTTTGAACTAAACCTATTTCACTAATTTGTACAGTGAAGAAATCGCTACATGAAAAAGTGAGTATTCACTAATTGCTAGTGGTATACTTATCACTGCGGCAAATAGTTAATAAGCACTGTCAATCAGTGAAAATCCACTGTTTCATTTTTAGAGAGTAGAGAACATAAAAAACTAATGGCAACAAAATTAATAAATTCGAAAAATACTTTTAAAATACCACCCGAAAAAATATTAGATATATATAAATCATCCTGTTCCGGCCTTTGCAACAAACTATTTCAGAAGGCAGACCAAGGAATTAGTAGTTACCTTCAGAATCCAGAAAAGGGATGAGGAATCCGAGAAAGAAATATATGAATTATGTGATATTTACAAAAACGAAATAAAAAAAATTACCTAAAACAGCAATTTATGTTTAAAAAATATTTAACAATTTGTGTTATTTGATGTAAAGTTGTTATTTTATATAAAAATTGTATGTCCAATAACTATGGTCCATGTGTCCAATTACTATATAAAATATCCAATTACTATACTTTTTGCATGTTTTTATAAAACTATTATTAAAAATTAAAATATTCCTATTTTTAAGTAAACGTAAATAAAGTTTAAACAAACAAACTATCCTTTTTATATATTTATAAAAAAAAACAACGGCAAATATAAATTTTAAATAATATTCCTTAATTGTCCAATAACTATGTGCTTTACCCTATAGTGTATAGATACATTTTCCAAAGTATATAAAAGTGTCTAACATTTAATATAATTATTTTTAAAATTGTGCAAAAAATAACAAAACTGTAGACTGTCAAAGTCTTAATTTTGATACTATAGTCCCTAAATAAGTCATTAATCTATATTACGTCTAAATAATAATTAAACCAGTATCATTTAGCAAAGTCACTAACTTATTATTCTTACAATTAATTGCCGGGCTTACATTTCCTTTCAGATACACCATAATAACTTTAATCATATCATATAAAATGGAAAGTACCTCATGGATTTGCATTTTTAAGCAATATAATACAACAGTGGGTGTCATAATAATATATGCAATGTTTGAAATTAGGATTAAGTTTTAAATTTAAATTTAATGAATAAATCACTTTAAAAACGCTTTTTAGGAAGGTGAAAACAATTTTTAAAATAAAGTCAAAATTAAATTTTACCGAAAATTTCTATTTGGATAAAAGGAAGAAAAAAGATAATACTACAAATTATTTATTCTTTAACACAATAAACAATTTTAATAACTCAACTGAAAACCTATTTAAATAGTGCCCCAACTTAATTACTATACAGGAAGTTTTACATTCTTTAACATTTTTCAGGCCTTCAGTCACTCTACTGTGTTAAAAATGGATAAATTTCGATATTTTGTAATAACATTTTTATTTAAAAACGTATATAAAATAAAGTGTAGACCTAATTAATGGCAATAAATCCACGTATTATTTTTTTTAGGTTTTAACATACAGGGGGCGCTGGGGACAATTTAATTTAAAGTTTTACCATCTTTTAAGGGTTAAAAAGTCGAAGAAGCAACGTTGTTTTATAATTTTGAGTATATTACTTTAAAGTACTGATAATTAACTATTATTTGATATATAAACTTCTACATGCAAATTATGTTTCGACGAGATACATCATTTTTAAGTTAGGTCTTCAAAGGGCATAATACTAACGTAAATATTCTTTTATCTAGTTTTATAAGATATTATATATAACATACAATTCTTATATATACAGTGTGTTCGCGTATGGGGTCCCAAAGGGGGAAATAATCTTTATTATTTATTTTACGACCAAAAGTCATTCTTTATGAAAAGTTCTGCTTGTTGAGAAAATGAATTCACGATAAAAAAATTAAGATCAGATGTACAGGGTGTTCATAACTTAGGAAAATATAGTTTCATTAAATTTTTTTAATAATTTTTGCAATCTTTTTTTTGACAAAGGCGTATTAGGAAATTTTTCATGAAAACCATCTACTTATAGCGTATTGATAGTATCAGTATTTAATACAATGTTACGGTATTGGAAATGTGTCGTATCAATTTGAGACGACACATTTCCAATACCGTAACATTGTATTAAATAAATACGCTCTTCTTTGGTTAACATTTTTAAAAATGACTTTACGAAAACAGAATACTGACATGTAAATAAAATGCTGACATAAACATGAACCTACACAAAATCTTTTTTTTTTTGTAAAATGCAAATAATTATTTAATAATTTTGAAATTTGTATTTAGTCTATTTTTTATAAATTTTTTGTTAAAAATAATAAATAATGGTACTTCTCTCTTGAAGAATTTTCATATTTTGTTAGTTTATAACGAACTTTGTTTAATTTTATTTTAGTTTATAAACAACTTTGTTTAATTTAAAAAATTCGAATTTTAATTGGAAGCATGAAAGATAATTTAACAGTTCAGTTTATTAGTTGAAAATCACTGTTTGCATTTTTTAATCATTGCCTTAAAAAAGCATTATATTACATTATTAGATATTACTGAAAAAAATAATTATATTTTCCAAAAATGGTGGATGCGCCGGGATATATTCTAAATTGATCTGCCCTTTTACAGTGTTTCAATGAAATCTGCGGTATTTAATTAAATTTGCCACATCGATAATACACTAAAACAAATAAAGTGAACTGCTTGGTAATTAGTTGTAGTTGCAATGTTCTCAAACAGATAAACAATGCAATTAAAGCCTGTACATGATCAATTAGCCTTTTAAAATAAAAACATTACACCCCTAAATAATGTCGTAGTACTAAAAACTACTTATTATTGAATTATGTAAAGGTTTGGACTTTTAAGAAACTATTCGAGTAATATATTTAGTATACAGGGTGTTTTTTTGTAAACTTACCGATAAAATAAATAGGAAATATAGCGAGTTGCACGAACATGCCACATAAACAAGCAATCATACTTAAATCATTATTACAAAACGTGGGAGATTGTGTAGACATGTGCGGTACGCAAAACTGACAGTTCGCGGATTAGAAAAGGGTCGCGCACAAAAAAATGGCACCGAACTTGACAGATATCCGGATATCATAGTCGACACATCCGGACTGATAGACTACGGACTATGTTTGGTCGGCATGAGGTAAAAGGTACGTAATAAGCGAAGCGGTAAGTAAACATAACAAACGAAAAATAAAAGAAAGAGGTCGCGTGCCAAACCTGTTCATTATATGTTTGTATGTATACACTCAGTGCTAGTGCACAATATTTATTTCCCGTTCTTCATATATACATACAGTGCTTTAATTCAAAATATTAAATGTAACTGGGTGAATATATTGAGATCCCTTTGTTTATTTGGAATAAGTTATTGTATCTTTTGACACCTTAATATTTTAAAAAAATACAATTCACGGTGGATGGGTTTTTAAATAGCAAATTAATGAACTTAAACTTTTGAATTATAAAACAGCAACACTCTCATCTGCATATAAATTCTAACTGACCATCAGGAATCACATGCATCTATAATGTCGTAAACAGGTTTTTGCTTATTTAAAATGATTGTATAAAATTTAAAGCAAAAACAGATTCACGCAGGATAGAATCAATTTTTGTAACACCTACATAAATGGTTATAAAAATTATTTCTTTTAATTTTTAATAATATTTTATATTTGATTCGATTGCTTTGGATGTGTTTAATTTACTTAGTAAACTGATATTTTTAGTATGCTTTTACTACCTCAGATATTTGAAAACATGTAGGTTAACCTAGAAAGAGTAACAGTCACGGAGGATAGGTTTTGACCCAATAAAAGTGTAGGTCAAACTCATTTGGTTTTATTAAATATCACG